TAATCACTAAAATTTTACTTAATATGATCTAACTATTACTTAATAGCCCTCCTGGCCCTGAAATTGAGATCATCGAAAATTTGCCTACTTATACCGCCATTTCGGTTTGCAAGATAATTCGGTCCAAAGTGCTTCTTACAGATGTAAACAACAAATGTGATTGATAGAGGAGTAAGGACTTTATAAAAATCTAGATTTTTTGCAATTGAGGTAAGAATTTGGAGAAATTAATCCAGAACCAAACGCATTTTTTTGTGCGCAATAAATATACAGTTTTTTCAATGGGTGGCACTGTAGCTCTCCGGTCTATCAATATATATATATATATATATATATATATATATATATATATATATATATATATATATATATATATATATATATATATATTTTCGGAGAGCTACTGTTCTGCAGCTACTGTCAATGATATCAAAAAGCCTGCATGGATTTTAATTTGTGGCTTTAGTCAGACTGTTTTATTGATATAGACTTATATGTTATGAAAAAGACACCGGACTAGAAAAAATTAACATTTACTGACAAGGGACGTTTTCCTTATAAACTGCGATTTCTTAAAGCCTGCTATCAAGAATAGGCTGTCAGTTGCCTAACACATGTAAATTTAAGTTTTTCTTCATGTTTTAAAATAAAAGGACCAATTTAATAATTTTTACATAAGAAATATTTGATTTTAAAGCTGACGATCATGAATTCACGCATGGGCATGTGATTGCCAACCAAAACTTCTCAAGATGTAATGTGGATATCAATTTTATTACTCTTTGTATGGAATACTGAATGTTTTATCTGTTCCCCAAAATTTAAATTTAATCTCGAAATTGGTCCAAAACGTCACATTTTATGCATTATGTATAAATTTTTGCATGTTTTGAATGACAACGGACGGATATTTTCAAAACATTTTCTGTATTTTCATGACGAGCCATTTTCAGTGCTTAACTTTACAGGTTTCTGTCTTGGAACTTAACGTGTTCCTGGCCGTGATGATGCATTAATTGACTTTTGATGACTTTAAGCCAAATAGTACATTATTTAAGTGTTCTAATAGTATGTTATAATGACTAGAGTCGATACACTCCGAGTACTCAAGGTGCATCAACTCAGTATGCTAACAATTCTTAGCCTATTAAAATCTAACATGTAAGATGTTTTTAATTGATTGATTGTATGTTGTTTTTACGTCCCTCTCGAGAATTTTTCACTCATATGGAGACGCCACCATTTGCCGGTGGAGAGCTGCAAATTTTGTCCTTTACTCGGCACTTAGGGCCATTGAGCAGGGAGGGATCTTTTTCGTGCCAGCACCTACTGCGACACAGGACCTCTGTTTATACGGTCTCATCCGAAGGACCGGTCTCCACGTCCCGCAATGGATTCGAACCCGCGACGCAAGGATTGACTCCTTACTTCGCGACTCTAGAGCACACGTGCGCTCTCATCACTGCGCCACGCTGGCGACAGATGTTTTTGAAGTTACACACACACACACACACATCCAAACATACACGCAAGATGATGAATGGAAATAGCAAAGATTTGGAATTTTCCAAAGGGTATAAATGTCAAAATTTGTTTTATTATACCCAAAACAGATCTCGGACCTTGATATTTTTTGGATAATCTGACGGTTTATAAAAAATTTTATTTTAGTATGTGAAACCTCGTAAAGAAAATGAACATAAACTGAGGATGGACAGACAAACAGAACGACCAACAGAAAGCAGCAAAGCAGTATGCCTTCCCATCATCGAATTGGGACATGCATAGTTATAATCTTAAAATAAGAAAACATGTTAATAACTATATATTTCCTTTATTTTAAAATTTATAAAAAATTAAAAAGGTAATACAAAGAGGCCAATGGGCTATATAACTCACCTGAGTACTGGGGCTATGAGAAAAAAGAGATCAGTTTATTACTGAAAACTTTAAAACCATAAGTGGTCCCAACCTACCCTTGAAGCGGAGGGAGGTATGATTTGAACAATATGCACTACCTCTCAGGATGCTTCCATATAAATAAGACCAATCATAGCTATGCTTTGTTTGTGAATATTTTCTTATACTGTGTCAGGGGGAGCTTTGACCAAATTCCTATTGTATGTAAAACTTTGAGTGTCCTTTGTGGCCCTGTCATGATTTGATCAAAATTAAATTTGCACTACCTAAATATGTCTCCCTATAAGTTTCATCTTTACTGGCACATACAGTAGATCTGGAGAAGAAATTTTCTTTGGAAATTTTTACAAGATTGCCACAAAATTTTCATGAATTCTTAATTATATCCCCATTTAAGAGGTTAATTGTGGCACTTCCTGTGAACAAACTTGACCTCCCTTTGCTCAAAGATGCTTTGTAGCAAGTTTGGTTGAAATTGGCTCAGTGGTTCAACAGAAGATGCTTGACTGATTGATTGTATATTGTTTAATGTCCCTCTCAAGAATTTTTCACGCAAATGGAGACGCGACCACTGGAGTACTGGAATTTTTGTCCTATGCATGACTCAAGACCATACAACAGCGAGAGACCTTTTTCATGGCAGCTCCTACTGCGACACAGGACCTCGGTTTACACGGTCACATCCGAAGGACTGGTCTCCATGTCTCACGGTGCGATTCGAACCTGCAGCGTAAGCATCAACTCCTCCTTACTTAGCGACTCTAGAGCAGAGGCTCTAACCACTGCGCCACATGAGCGACTTCTAGAGAAGAGGTTGAAGATGCTAAAAGTTTACAGACAGATGGATGAGAACCGGACAAATTGTGATCAGAACAGCTTAAGGATGACGTTTACTCAGGTTTCAGAAAACAGAGACGAAATTTTATAAAGTTTTTCTTAAATCAAAAATTGCTCTAAATGGATGAAATAACAAAGTCTAAACTCAATATCAACTCAAAATAATAATATTTTATTATTTGAAGAAAATATACGAGAACAAATGTCAATGTACGGTAATGCAGAGGAAACTCGGATTAAAATTTTAATATTTATTTTTTGTCAAAATATTTTATTTCTTGCAATATTAATCACAATGTAAAGGTTACATGTATTTTTAAACATAATTTTGCAAATATTACCTGTGATTAAGCTCATAAATTAATTCAAATATTTAAATGCTATGATATAAAGAAATTCAAAAATATGAACAAAATCCAATCTAGACAACATATCTAATTAATTTGATCATTGACCCCATTCAATGTTAATACCATGAAAATTTGGGCAACAAAAGTAACCTGAGGGTATTAATAAATTAGAGTTCTTATCGGTTAGATTTTTGTTATATTCGATTAAAAATGGGGGAAAAAATATAAATATGACAGAGGAAATTCGGACTGTAATAATTATTAAGTCTATGGCCAATACTCTAATCCTTTCTTGATATGAAGCAATGCTATTCCATTGATATAATATTTCATTATTTAAAGAGTTTTGTTCTTGTAGTATTTTTTGAGCGAAGAAAAAATTGGTCTTGTGTGAAAAATTGAGGTATTTCCAGCAAAATACTCAGGGGCCACTACCATGAAAAGTAGGTCATGACTTAGTAATTTGAAATTGAAATTTAACAAAAGAATTATAGGTGTACAATGTGCAATAGGTGGTTTTTCGTTCTTATCAGTGGAATTTTTAGTCATCTGGGTAAGGGTATACATTAAATGAGCTAAAACCAGATATGTCTTTATTAATAATACATGTAATGGTACGTTGGTTTATGGGAAAAAATGAAAGGAGAATAACAACTACATAATCAACTAGATAACTGACCAGTCAGCAAGGGCCCCGCCATGGGGTAGAATTAAAAGGGTGCAGCTTACGGAATGATTAAAAAATGTACGAAGAATAAGCAACAGCAACTGTATTCTTAAAATTTCAAGATAATTGATCCTGAATATTCAAAAACCTGAAAATAATATCCTTGTATTTACATTAGGCAGTAAAGAACAACTTAACATTGAATGTATATTTAAACAATTATGAAGCTTGTGTTACATAGAATGCCAGCCTTCAATGAATGCAAATATCATGAAGGCTTGACCTTAACTTCAAACAAACAGCAGTTGCAGACAAAGGTTTTCATTAATCTTAAAGATAAAGAAAAGCCTACTTAAATTTTCTGCAGCAGGCTAGATAATTAATCCCAAAGGATTAATTGTACCTCTCTCATCATTTTGTTCTAAAGTTACAATAAGAACTTTTTCAGTATTAATGATAGAATGGGGTTTTTATACAACTACCTTAAAAATTAATTAACATAAAGTGAAAAAAAGTAAATCAAAAAATCTTCTTTAATCTATTTCTTGTTTTTAGAATTCAATGAAATCATAACTATTAAACAAAAATAAATTATAAAAGTTTATATTTAAATCCACATTTCAGAGTGTTCATAGCATTCCAAATTGACTTAACTTCAAAACAAACTTCATTTGCAGACGAGGTGGTAATTCATCTCAATGTGACAGATAAAGATAATGCTCTGGACTTTCTTCAGGAGGAAAGCTAATTAATCCCAAGGGACTCATAGCCAGCATTCAGTTTACAATGGGAACATCTTCAGCAGTTATCTCTCTTTGCCAATGCATTCTTATTTAAAGTTAAGGAATCTACCCCACCACCCCAGCTCCAAACCAGGGGACATAGAGAACCAAACTTAGCATCAAAATATGCAATTCTGCCTACTGAACTACCATACCAAATTTGTACTTGATTGGGCAACCATGAAAAAGTTGCCCATTCATTCTTATGCATAGTTAAGGAATCTACCCCACCACCCCAGCTCCAAACCAGAAGACACAGAGAACCAAACTTAGCATCAAAATATGTATTTCTGCCTACTGAACTACCATACCAAATTTGAAAAAAAGTTATTAGAAAAAAACAGAAATTTGTGGACGGAAGAATGACAGACAGACGGAGAGACAGAGTGATTACTATAGGGCACCCGCAAATCCTTGCGGGGCCCTAACAAGTAACATGTCAGAAATATAAAGAGAAAATTAAATTATACTGAATATTATGATTTCATGTTCCAAATAAAATTGTTTTACTTTATAATAATCACGAGAATTATGTACACAGATTTGATCAAATTTCGGAATACAGAATTCAAAATTCAGTTTCCATTAGTCTCTTCTGGGGTCTTGGAACATCAACCAGATCTACCCTCAGCCTCTGCTTAGAATCGTTTTCCAGTGCATCATAAAATGCAAGATTCATGAATGAAATATTGTATTGATTTTCATCAACAATAGATATCATTCTAATAGTCTTGTCTTGGTTTTCATAACTATATTTTACAATGATTCTTGCTGTTTCTCGAAACACCCTCTTCTTAAGTGTGTCATCATGTACGCCTTTAAAATAATAAAATATGGTAAATCAAACAAACCCCAAAACAAGAAGAACATAATTTTTATGCAACAACGCTTACCTGAGTCACTTTGACCCTGTTGTTCTTCCTCAGAGAAAATGTATATTTTTTTCTTTTTCCAAAGTACATATTTTTATCAAAAACTTACTTAAATGTGCATACAATAAAGACCTGTAAAACACCCGTTATCGACTAGGGCAGTGTATTTACAGTAGATAGTGACCAATCACCTGGAACACAGCTGTTCTCACCTATTGTGGTCCTTAATCTTTGGATGGCTTCATTTGATTTCACTGACCATCGTTTAAGTATGTTCTGTTATCTTTAAATTATTCTAGAATTATTTAGTAAACATTATCAGAATTATGGGCCTACCAATCTACAAAATTGTCACGCCATGCAAAGTCCACCTCGTTTCCTATGACATGATAAAGTGCACGCCAAGATCTGATGGTGCGGAGAAACAATTAACGCTCATGACGCCATAATATCAGACGTCAATCTTTGACGCTGCTGTCCTGCATTCACACCGTGCCTAACCCCACATATGGGGGCGCGGAATGGTGCCACCCGGGGGGAGGAATTCGAAGCGGAATTTTCAATGTTCGTTGACCTGATTAGCTTTTCTACAGTGATTGAGATGAAAATAATGATAAATTCACTTACGGCGGAACACAGTGATATCCCAGCTTACTGTTACTCGTTTCCCAGCTCGGAACTCGTCCTAGAAATACATGAACACTTCTGCAATACCTGGCAAGAGCATGCGGGAACGCAAATTTCACCGTTTCTTTGTGAAAGTTGGTGCCTTATATATCACTCAGCTTCATTTGATTTATGTGAGGGACTTTTAGATATGATTTTGCCCCAGACACTCTAATGTTTCGGAGAATTCCACCTCAAATAAAGGGGGCAGACTTCAGTATAAGTATGTGGCACTCGGGGGTGAAGATTTTAGTGGAGGCTGGGGGAAGGAATAAATCTCTAACTAATGGAAAGGAATCGTTTCTATAAAAGTTATACTGATTATATAGAAACATTGAATTGCTACAATAAATTTATCAACTCTCATAATTTCATAAACCTTTTCTCTGAATAAGAGCGCTTTAGCGCATATTCAACTGTTTACTAGACATCTATTTGTATATTTCGATATACTAAAAGTAATTTAATTTAATTTTAGTTGTAAAACGTCATTTGATTGGATAAAAGATTTAATCTACATTGTATCACATAACTTGGCTACGTCACAATGAGCTACGACAAAAACTTTTATACTCCGCTTGAGGTTAATTTTATAATTTGCTCAGTTTGAAGCCATTTTGGAGGAAAAAATTGTCTCTTTGTTTACACTGAAATATATGGAATGAAGCTTAATGTAACCCATGTTATACGATACATGTATATTCATGTACATAAATTGGTCCAAGTTATGTTTTATCGTATATTATAGATATATATATTAAGATAAGACCGCGGAACATTAACTGGCAAAATTGGAAATTGTGATAATGAAATGGGCGGGTTCAATTCGACCCGGCCGTGGGGAAAACATCTCATTGAAATTCATTTTCAATCCACCTGAGCTGTTTTCAAAGTAGAGAGTGAATGAATGATCCAAAAATCAAGTAATTTCAACTCCGAAATACATATTGTTTGAAGTTCACATTAATATGAGTTTTAGCTTATGAAAGATCAAAGAAGACAAAGATTATTTTTCAGGAGATATTTGATTCTAGAAGGGGGGGGGGGGGGTAAAAATTTTCGAGTCAAGTCATGGCTTAACATGACAATATACTTTATTTCTAGGATTATAAGAGTGCATGAGTTTTATAGTTATTCTCACTGAAAACTTTATTTAAAAATCTCCAGCCCCCTTTCCCCCTCAACAACACTAAGATATATATTTACCAAACAGAAATGAAATATTTGTCCCTTAAATATTAATTTATTTAAAACACTGGACAAAAAAATTCAAACTGTACCAAATTAAAATTATTTGTCTTCTGGGTCAATCAGTAACATAAATGTACCTTCTAGCCAAGCTGAGGTGGATTGAAAATGAATTCCGATCTGCAATTTCAATCCGATGTTTTCCCAAAGCCCGCGTCGAATTGTACCCGCCCATTTCATTGTCTATCACTGAATGTTTTAATTGCCAGATAATGTTCCGCGGTCGCAAGATTCATTCCTTAAATATACTTAAGGTATACATATCTTTCTTTTACAGTAAATAGAACTTTAGCAATAGTTAAGAGTACACATTACATATATACTACTTGTTAGTCCGTTATTTATACACTGAATTGACGAGGGATTTTCCAGTTCATGACAAGGGACATACGGCGGGTGTGACCGGTCGCGAAGGAATGCTCACTCCTCCATGGTACCTGATCCCACCTCTGATGTTTAGCAGGTCCGTGTTTGCTCTGCTCCTGTTTTGTATTGTTTTATGAACTTTTGATCTTGAATACTGTTCATTATCTCCATATATTCCATGTATATAGAATTGATTTAGAATTTTATATACGCGTGTTCATGCAGTGAAGTTAATTAAATATACTGACTATTGAAAAAAGAAGAGGAGCTAATATAACAAGGCGTTCAGAATACCCATAGCTTCAGATATATAAAAATCATATTCAATCTGTGAAAAGAATTTAGAGTAAATTTTTCGTTATTGAAATTAAGATAAACAAAACCTTTCTGAGAAAAATTTTCTCGAAAAAAAAATTTATTCCAGACCTGTTATTGTAAATGGTATTCATGGGGTTCGAACCCCCTAGCAATTAAACATTGAGTATCACCACAGGCACTTGAGGGCTGGGCCCCCTTTTTTCACATCATCTTTACTATTGAAAATGTCCATTGAAAGATTGGTTGGACCCCACACTTCTCACCACAGTAAAGTGATGTCAAGGAAATGTAGTATTGTATCACTATGCCAAGAAAAAAAAAAATGGCCACCCCCCCCACCTCAAAATAGGAATTTGTTCAAAATCCCTCCCTTCTTTTTTGTTTTCAACCTTTGCAGGTAAGTAATTTTTCTCTTGCCCCCCCCCCCCCTTTAAAAAAGGTCGCACGTAGCATCGTTTTTAACCCCCCTCCCCAATCGGCCCCTGTTGCTATACGCGCCTGTTGTAGCAGAGGTTTTACCACAAAGATCAATAAGATGATTAATGACACATTTTATGTTTGTTTAAAGAACTATATGCGGTATTAACCAACATTTGCCCCCCAAAATCAAACTTTGATGGAGTAGTATTTAATTAAGTCCTTAAACAGGGGAGTATATGCTGACTTCAAAGCACTGAATAATTTTATAAGTAATGACGTCATATGTACGTAATGACGTCACAAATATGACGTAATTTCAGTTTTTTTATGAATTTTGCAGAAAAATGTACATATTTCGTCGATTTTTTAAATAAAAGTCACCGAGCGCATGTGTGTTCAGGATAAATATTTTGATATAATGTGTAGAATGATAATATCAATGAAATATATCAATATTGTTCCTGAACACACGTGCGCTCTATAAATTTTAAAGCTTAAATTGTTGAAATTTTGTCCATTTTGTCCTCTTTCTGAAAAAGGATATAAAATCGGACTAGTTTGTGACGTCATAAAAACAGAAATTGTGAATACACTGCTCCGGAACTATAATATTTTCTGTTAACTTATATTTCTCGTACAATTTATTGAATTCAGCACATTTCAGGAAGTTTTCAAAATTTGACTTTTGTGGGGGCAAACATATGCAATATACCGCATATAGTTCTTTGATTTTGTTGAGTCTTTGCACAGATTTTACAGGGAAACCGCGCGTACTTTCAACGTCTACATGAAAAACACATCTGAAAAAAAAAAAAAAACTGAGAAACTTAATTCTAATTACACTTCATAATAATTATCTAATTTCTTAAACAACAGATCTATGTTAAGCTGAACATAAAAGACAGTTCCATTTTAAATTTATAAACCATGATCTTAACAATTAAAACAGAGCAATACGATTGATATACATTGACTAAAAATTATTCCTTCCCCCAGCCTCCACTAAAATCTTCACCCTCGAGTGCCACACACTTAAATTGAAGTCTGTCACCTTTATTTGAGATGGAATTCTCCGAAACATTAGAGTGTCTGGGGCAAAATCATATCTAAAAGTCCCTCACATAAATCAAATGAAACTGAATGATATATAAGGCACCAATTTTTACTAAGAAACGGTCAAATTTGCGTTCCCGCATGCTCTTGCCAGATATTGCAGAAGTGTTCATGTATTTCTAGGACGAGTTCCGGGCTGGGAAACGAGTAACAGTAAGCTGGGATATCACTGTGTTCCGCCGTAAGTGAATTTATTATTATTTTCATCTCAATAGCTGTAGAAAAGCTAATCAGGTCAACGAACATTGAAAATTCCGCTTCGAATTCCTTCCCCCGGGTGGCACCATTCCGCACCCCCATATGTGGGGTTAGGCACGGTGATTCAAAAGCCATCACTCGCACACATTTTTACTGATTTAGCAAGAAACTTCCAGAAATATAAGGAGCACTCAACTGATTAGGGTTATTCCTTGCTTAACTCTTAAACCCCGGGGATTTAGGGTCTGTCCTCAAACTCTTATCAACTGATTAGGGTTCATTTTTGCCTAGCAGCAACCCAAGAGATTTAGGGTTAGTCCTCGAACACAGGTTGACTGGATAAGGTTAGTCATGCACACACCTAAGATTTTCTAGGGTATTCTTGTTTCACACTTTTCGAGCAATTAGGATTCACAATAGTTTCACACCAGTATTCAAGATCGTGATTAGAGTTTTTCTTAGCATATGTTAATGCATATTTTATTTGTATTTAAGATCTTGACATGGTGCGACATTGGAATTTGGCACAGTACGTACTTAGCACTATGATGTCACATGCCTCAATTGATTATCCGAACCATCTGACTTTGACATTTCAAACCATATCAGGGTTTGGCACAGATCATAAGACTTTGGTGTGACCATTGGACTTTGAAGTCCTTCATATATTTATACATAGTGGTTCATTTGTTAGAGCATCTATACAAATATACAGCATATACGTATTGTATGCTCTTATTTCTAATATGTAAAACAATCAATTCAATTTTCAGTATGCATTTCCTTACCTGCGCCAAATATTGGAATAATAATGCTCTCTAGCTTTTGAACTGAAGCCTCTTTTAGTAAATTTTTGATGCAATTTTCAAGTTCTTGTATATGCTTTTCTATGTTTTGCTTCCTTGTTTGGTTCCAGATTGGAGATTTAACATGCAGAACTTTCTTGATATTTTTTAGGCTTTCTGGGGCGCAAGTAGACTTGACACTTCCATCTTTAACATATCTCCCTCTAACTGATGCCACCTGCTTTTCATATTTAGTGCATTTGCATTTTTTTAGTTCGCTTGCTATATGTCGTTCACTTTTGAAATCTTTATCTTGTTGAACAACCAGTGCATCTGCATGGGTGAGGATGGCCATTGCAGGAAAAATTTTAACCACCAATCCAGAGCCAAGATAATAATCTTTATCATTGCTGCTCTTGTGAAAAACCCAATGCTGTTTCTGATGAAATGCAAGCTTTATGCTGTTAAGTTTTACATAGTCTCTGTCAACAAAGTAAATTTCCTTCAGTTTACTTTTATTCCTCTTTGGTTGTACATCAATAAAAGACAGAACAGCTTTGGCATATGCACTACAACAGACTTGAAGTGGAACTGAGCCTATCTCACCTGCAAGAAAAATAATTAAATATATGAAATAATCAGTTTTTACTCCTGTTTTATTCCAATGTAAACATTTTAAACCTAAAAGTACCCTATCTTAGCCTCAAAGACAGAGAGAGGATTAACTGACCAAAGCAACACAAAATGGAGTGCTTCAATATCATTCTGACTGACATGGACTTACTTCTATGGACAAGAAGATTTTTTTTGTAAAAAAGGTACATGTGTTACATGTTATGATATACATGTATATATTAACAACTTTTATTCCCTTCTCAACTAATGGCAAACACGGCTTCTCATACGATCGAATTCAAATTACCTTTACCAAAGGATAACTTTGTACAAGGTTAAATTAAAATTAGCTCAAAAAGATTTCAATCAGAAAATGAACCTGGCTTAGGTAACTTAAATCAAAATTTAATAGTGAAACTCCTATTGTCTGAGCTTTATGGATATGATGAGGTGTTTTAGATCCCCAGCAAAATTCTTAATAATTCTTTTTACAATTTTTCGGATTTAATGAATACAAAAATAATGAACTAACAGAAACATCAAATTGATTTTGTGTCTCTTATTAATCTAAGTAATAATAATGAAATATCTTTCAAATAAAATTTTCAATAGATCTCAAAATATTCAACTGACATTATTATTCGAAATTACATCATGTTCAAATTACAATTTCAGTTCTTCAAAATGATCTTTATTTTGTGCATTTTATAGGATAATGTGCAATGTGATTTTGCTCTATATCTAATGTCTATATCATATAGACTATATGACATAATGAAATCATGATATGGATATAATGAATTACTGAATTAATCAAATATAGCAAACTAAATTCACAGGTTCCCCGTACTTTTCTTTAACCCAGTTTTACTGTACTAAAATCTGATTGGTTTACACACGTATTTACCAAATTTGTACTATAATTGTACTTTTATATAAATAACTTGAAGTTAAATCGTCACAAAGCATTGGCTAAATACACCGTTTCCCTCTAAATGATGAATCACACCCATCACTACCATAAAATTTATAGAAACATATTTGATAATGGGTAATATTCTAAAAACAAAAGGCTTTGGGCCACAACACTCACATGCGTAACTTTAGTCGAATTGCTATTCACCAGATTTTCCTCCCTGTAATACTTATTGTGGCCCAAACATATTCCTACTTAGTGTGACCCAAACATATCCCTGTAAGTATACATACGTGTATCAGTAAAGAAGAAAAGAACTAGTTTTGACATTCAGATTATGCATGCATTAGCGAATCCAGGAATCTTGACAAGGAGGGCAGCTAAGGTCGGAGTAGGTGCCCTCAGTCACACAAGAAATTGATTAATTAATTGAATCTTATTTATATTTTGGTCACAAAAAGGAGAGGGTCCTGGTCCCCTATAAATCCACGAGTGGCATGATATGCAAATTGAGAAAAAGCCTTAGCTGCCTTACCGACGACTCAGCCTACTCAAGTATTTAAATGGAAATCACCTGTTTCTATTTACAGATACAGGTACCTTTTCAACTACATGTATGTAATCTTTTGTGGACCAGTGTTACATTTTCATAGTTGCAAGTTTGTTACATGACAATAATTTTACTTGTTAAATACTCTTATTCTAAACGAGATTGTTAGAAATTTTAAAAAAATAATACAAGCTAGCAGCTATGACTTGGGGTCATTAAAATAGTTTAATAAGTTTATCCCGAGATACTTTCAAGGTGTAATGTTGTATTATATATTTCTTACATTATTTATAAAAAAAATAAAAGAAAACATAGGAAAAATGCACAGAGAAAAAATTAAAATCGTAGATAAGAAACACGCACTGCATGTGAGACTCGAACTCACAATCATTATGTCTACAATCCAGCAATCATACCATTACACCACAAAGTCAAATTAGTTCAAGGAATAAAATTAAGACAGTTTGTCAAATCTTGAAATAATTTTGGAAGAAAAATTAAACACATATTTTCAACATTTTCAATATGAAGACCACCTCTAACCAAAATTATCTAAATGTAATGAAGTGCAGTCATATCCAAATAAAATTTTTCAGAAGTTGTTTTTCTGGTTAAGGGTGGTCTTTATCTACAGTTTCTCATTGTTTAGGAGGGTACCTCAGCATTTACTATATTCTCCATATAAACTGAACGATTTTTATATCTATCATATGAGGGAACTATTAATATTTGAGTATCATTTTTGTGTGATTTGCTTTAAGGCATGTATAAACTAACACTGTATGACAAAAATTTTGGTTAAACAATGGATTTAAAAATCACTACTAGAGTAGGCGAAAGTGACTATCAAATGCGCTATGGCTCTTTAAATATAAATTTATAGCTGAAATATAAGAAAGCATTTCTTGCAAAGGAATTTAAAAGGATATTAACTTTTAGCTCTACTGGTCAGAGACCAGAAGAGCTAATGTGATAGTAATGCGTCCGTCGTCCGTCCGTCTGTCTAGCTGTCTGTAAACAATTTTTCAAAATGCTACTCCTCCTACAGTTTTGGTGTGAATTTAATATAACTTGGCACATAAGTAGACTAACTAAGATACATAATTCTAGGCATCGGTTTTTGATTTTGATGAACGGTGTTGCCATGGTTACTAAAAATAGAAATTTTTGTGAAATTCTTTCAAAATGCTACTCGATATCCTCCTACAGTTTTGGTCTGATTTCAATATAGCTTGGCACACAAGTAGACTACATTAAGATACATAATTCTCTGCATCGGTCTTCATTTTGATGAGTGGCAAGGATCATTTTTCTATTGATTGCTATTTTAAAGTTTCAAGTCCCAACTGCTACTTTTCTTCCTTTGTTTTAAGTATAAACCAGTAGAGCTACAGTCTCGACAGAGACTTCTGGTTCCTTTTAATTGCAACCTTTCAGACCTGAGCGGAAAAACAAACTCTAAATGTTTCACGGTCGGGGTTATACCCCCGCCACCCCCCCCCCCTTTCCAAAACATCACACTTTAACTTCATTGAATGTAAAGATGATACATTAATTTTACTACAGTTAAGATTTACAACTCCATCTCTCCAAGAATTTAATTGACAGGAAGCGATTCTATTTTGTATAAAATTTAACAACCAGTTTTACAATCGAAGTGTTTATCCGGGCTTGCTGGAAAGGGGTGCTCTAATAGTAATGTTAAGATTTTTAAAACTTTTTATTTTTCTTACCAATTACCATTATTCATTTAGATACCAAATATTGCCTCCCCCCCTCAACTGTTTACTGAATACAGTATAACCTTTTTACTATAGAAATGTTCACTGAAACCCCAACACTTTCGGTCTATTAAATTGATGTAGTAGGTTGGTGTAAAAAATAGTACTGAAAGAAATTGGAGTTGGAATTTATCCTCAATTGTCTTTTTTCGCTTGTCAAGTTCGACTCCCCCCCCCCCCCCCCCATGTCACTACTATTGTCAGCGTTTTTCGTTAGTGATTTAACATGACTAGATCAACTTGTATTTATCAAGGAATGATTAAATGTGAATAACATACATTGTTTCTGAGAAAATGTATGCATTTCAAATGATTTAATCGAAAATAATATTTTCCGTTCCGTTCCGCGTTTTAGCAACATCCTATCACTTGGGTGATAGATTGAACATTTTAGAATCTACATAACCCCAGTGTGCTTCAACATAAGTTTCAGTTTTTCTGGCCTCATGGTTCTTGACAAGATTTTTAAGGATTTTTCCCTATATATTTCAATGTAAAACTTAGATTCCCTATTGTGGTCCATCCTAGCTCCCCTAGCTAGGGGTCATGATTTGAACAATTAAGAATCTACACTGCATCAGAATATTTCCACATACAGTTCAGCTTTTCTCTACTCCAGTGATTCTTGTGAGGATTTTACTATGACCTAGCCCTATTTTTGTCTTTTCTTTATTATCTCCCCAATTTTGAGAGGGCTTGTCCCTTCATTTAGACAATTTAAACTTCCCTTCATCTAAGAATGCTTCAATTAAAAGTGGCCCAGCCATGAGTGGTTCCTGAGAAGACAAAATTTGGGAAAAGTTTACAGATAGTTGGACGTGTGACCAATAACAGGTGTTCAAAGAAGCTCACTTGAGCTTTACATTCAGGTGAGCAAAATATTATGATTTTAGCCAATTTCTTGACCTTTTTTAGTGAAATAATTAGGATTCGCTTACCAGCACTTATTGCTGGGATTGCAATGGACATTGCACCCTCAAGCTCAGGTTCAAACAAGCAGGCCTGAACTGTGGATATAATGTCCTTTAAACATGCTTCACATGGATTCTCTGTATCTGCATAATTCTCCCATCTTGGTATATTCACATGAATGATTTTTAGTAAATGTTCCTTTTTTCCTCCATCTGTGACAAAAGTTTTTCCAATGGGGAGTATGCCATCTCTTTGAGCTTTAATGAATTTAGTACACTTGTCTTGCACTTCATGACCAACCACTTTGCAAATGTGATAAGACAATCCTGATTTTGAATGAAGCTTTTCATCTGAGGGATTTACAATGACATCCACATTTACTCTCATAAAATCAAAATTAAGAGTAAACACTTTAATTCCCTTCTCTTCATGGATAACATCTGGTTTATTTCTTTCTGCTGTTTCATTTGTGCTCTCTGCCCTCCCACTTCCTTTCTTGGAATCAAACTTTATTTTGTTTTTCCTGATCTTGTCAATGTGGTGATCTACTTCTTGTTTTGCTTTAAAGACTTCATTTTTATTTGGACTTGTGATGAAAACCACCATTCCTTCTAATCTAATATAAATATTATCATTTTGACTTGAAAAACTTGAAATGAACATTTCTGCTTCATCTTTGACATTTTCACTTATGATGACACGCTGTGTAGTATAATTAACCCTTGCATAAGCCAATGCAGCTTTGTACTTCTCTACCATAGATCTTGGACCTGATATGATCACTTTATCATCTTTCTTTGGAAATTCCTGACATAAAGATTTCTCAAAGTAAACAATAGCGTTAAAATCATTTACAGGTATCTCAATTGAGTCTTGTAGTGATTTCTGATATTGTGCAAGACATTTCTTAAGAACTTCAGAAATCCTGGAAAAAATTATCATGCTTTTTTTATCTTCTTGAAAAGAAACAGAAACACCCTCGAATTTTATTTCCATTAATTCTTTGCATTGCTTCTCAGTAACTGGAGATATTTCTTCATATTCAAGTTCATCAAGGGCTTTCTCAAATATTTTCACATTTTTCTCTGAGCCTCGGATCAGCTTCATCCCTTCACCTTTTTTTACAGTTAACTCAACATTTCTGAAAGGCAAATCAGGAAATAATTCTCTCAGAGCTTTCTCTTGATATTCAGTGCACATCTTTGTACACTTTCTAGGCACAACTGTGCCCAACTTAGGTTCACTTGCCAAGTTATTTTCCAGTTTTCTGCTGACAGGAACAGTTTCTGTCTCTTTGACTACAAGCTCCTTAATAAACTTCTCTCCATTCTGAATCATAAGCAGATTTCCACCAACTGTCCAAGTATCCATACAAATACATGCTCCTGTCTTTCTTTTGAAATCCTTTGATGTAATTCCGTTTCTTTCTAAAATGCTTATTACATTGGAACATAGCTTTGCTTTCACATTATTTATTGCCTGCAACATATAAAACAAGAGGCCCATGGGCCACATCGCTCACCTGAGTAACTTGGGTGATGCAGATCTTTTTTAAAGATTTGTTCTATATATATTTCTATGTAAAACTTAGGATTCCCTATTGTGGCCCCGCCCTACCCCTGGGGGTCATGATTTTAATAACTTAATATCTACACTACCCAAGGATGCTTTTACATAAGTTTCAGCTCTCCTGGCCCAGTGGTTCTTGAGAAGAAGATTTTTAAAGATTTGTTCTATATATTTCTATGTAAAACTTGGATTCCCTATTGTGGCCCCGCCCTACCCCCGGGGTCATGATTTTAACAATTTAATATCTACACTACCCAAGGATGCTTCCACAGCCGTGTTTAGTGCGTTTACTCTACGCTGCCAAAACGCCATTGAAGACCATACTACGATGCTACAAAGACCTAGATGACTGTACCGCGATGTCGCAACGGTGGTGCCGATCATATTACGATTGCATTACGCTTCTAGTACGATTTTGGTGATGATGTAAATATATCTTGAGAACTGCAGATTTTTGTAGTACAATTTTAGCGATGATACATATTTTGCGACCGCAGATTTTTTTTCCCGGCCTTTACCACATGGTTTAGGGCATTCTCAATTATTATAACTGTAACAAGATGTGAAAATGCTCAATTGTAAATGATTATCAAGTATAGAGTCACCCTTTACATGTAGTTAACAGATGATGATTGGTCAAATATCAGCGGTATAAGAACAAACTCTTGTTTGATAGGTCGTGATATGATCGGCGTAAGGTCATTGGTGGTCTTCGTAGGATCTTCAGGCACGTAGAGAGATCGTAGTGAGAACATAGTACGAACGTAGAGGGAGCGTTGTAAGAGCGTGCTTGCTAAGTTCCTACGCTCTCACGGCGCTTTTACTACGATCATGAAGATCTCTCTTCCACGCTGCTTGTACGATTACGGCCCTTCTACTGCGCCCTTTTTACGACTTCACCCCGATTCTTGTTGGCCACGATCCCGCTACGCTTGTTTTGAACATGTTCAAAATAAGCGCGGTGAGAGCGTAGAGCTCTCCGATCTAGAAGACTCTACTGCGATCATACTACGCTTCTGACGACCCCACGACGTTCCTTCTGCGATTTGTCAAGATCGACCACGCTTTTGACCACACTTTGATCATAGTAGAAGCGGCGTCTATGTGTGAACGGGGGGGGAGGGGGGGGGGGGGGGGTAAGAAGAAGATTTTTAAAGATTTGTTCAATATATTTCAATACAAAACTTGGATTCCCAATTGTAGCCATGCCCTACCCCCGGGGATCATGATATTAACAATTTTATATGTACACTACCCAAGGATGCTCCCACATAAGTTTCAGCTTTCCTGGCCCAGTGGTTCTGGAGAAGAAGATTCTTAAAGTTTTGTTCTTTACATTTCTATGTAAAACTTGGGATTCCCTATTGTGGCCCCGCCCTACCCCGGGGGGTCATGATTTTAACAATTTTATATGTAAACTACCCAAGGATGCTCCCACATAAGTTTCAGCTCTCCTGGCTCAGTGGTTCTTGAGAAGAAGATTTTTAAAGATTTGTTCTATATATTTCTATGTAAAACTTGGATTCCCTATTGTGGCCCCGCCCTACCCCGGGGGGTCATGATTTTAACAATTTTATATGTACACTACCCAAGGATGCTCCCACATAAGTTTCAGCTCTCCTGGCCCAGTGGTTCTTGAGAAGAAGATTTTTAAAGATTTGTTCTATATATTTCTATGTAAAACTTGGATTCCCTATTGTGGCCCCACCCTACCCCCGGGGGTCATAATTTTTACAATTAAATATCTACACTACCCCAGAATGCTTTCATATAAGTTTCAGCTTTTCTGGCCCAGTGGTTCTTGAGAAGAAGATTTTTTAATGACCCCACCCTATTTTTGTATTTTCTTGATTATCTCCCCTTGGTAGGGGTCTTGGGACTTGATTTTAACAATTTAAATTCCCCTTCACCCAAGGATGCTTTGTACCAAGTTTGGTTAAAATTGGCCCAGTGGTTCTTGAGAAGAAGTTGAAAATGTGAAAAGTTTACAGACGGACGGACGACGGGTGATCAGAAAAGCTCACTTGAGCTTTCAGCTCAGGTGAGCTAATAAATTGAATTAATTTCTTTTACCCAGCACTTCATAACAGTTAAGTTCATTTCTTGTTAAACATGTTAAATCGAGTTTTCTTTTTATAAGTACTTTATAAGTTTATAAGTTAAAGTGATCTATTCATTAATTCATTCTTTTTCAATTTGAATAAGATTGAATAGCTAAGGCAAGTTAATCATGTAGAAGTTCTTTAATTTCATTCCTAAACAGACCACAGTGCAATATATGAAGACTAGGCATCAGTTTATATAATGATATTTTAACTTATGTCTTATATATAATTATATACTTACAGACCCTAAACCGTGCTACTACACCACTGGAACGGTACGGTTCGGTACGCTTTGAGCACGGAACGGTACGCTTTGTGCACGGTACGGTTCGTTTTGAGGACGGTACGTTTCGTTTCTTGCACGGAACGGTTCGCTTTGTGGACGGTACGGTACGCTTTGAGAACGGAACGGTTCGCTTTGTGCACGGAACGGTACGCTTTGTGGACGGTACGTTTCTAGGGCTGTCACGGTTAACCGAAAACTCGGTTAACCGCTCCGAAATGGCATTCGGTTCGGTTCAAGTCAGGTTTTCCGGAATTCGGTTCGGTTTTTTTTTATCTTTTATATAATACTAATTTGCTTGCAACACGCGTTGTGATTGGTTGTTTATTTCAATGAAGGGTTCTTTAACCAATGAAAATACAGGTAACATCGAAGACATTTAAACATGGCATACACATGTGGAAGGAAAACCAAATCACAAGTAATTGTTTTGTCAACCACGTCCCCTTCTTTCAAAAACGTGAAGTATTCCCACACTTGTGATTTGGTGATAACTCTAGTCAATAACTATATTTATTTTATTTTATTTTAAACAAGAAGTTTATTACTTTGTTATTTTTTGTTACATTTAACAACTTGTTCTGTTGAATAAAATGGATAGAAATTTGTGTCAGCAAAATAGTACTTTCTACAATGTCCTTAATCCTTATTATCCTTTGATATATATAAAGATGTTTTATTTAAATTCTCAAAATGAAAACCGAACCGAAAAAACCGAAAACCGAGAATTTATTTTCTGAACCGAACCGAACCGAAAAATGTCTGAACCGTGGCAGCCCTATACGTTTCGTTTCTTGCACGGAACGGTTCGTTTTGTGGACGGTACGCTTTGGGAAACGGTATGCAAATGAAGTGGGCGGAGCCTGTCAGCTTTGGTCCCTGATTGGCTGGGATACTTTAGTTCATTTTAAATGACTTTTGGAGTACTTACATGTAATGCACGTATATAACAATTTTCCGTTATTAAAGAATGTAATTTAGTTATTGTTTATGTAAATTTAAGCATCAATGAGTTAATTTCTATTTATTACGGAAGTTCAAATATTGTATTACGTGTACATGTATGTAATTGTGTTTACTTAGTCATGTTTGCTATGTCTCGGTTTCAGTTGAAAAATTAATTTACGCTGCAGTACATGTCGAGGATAAACTGAAAAACATCGTCCCATTGATCTTTTTAGCAACATAAAAATTTCAGTACGCGTATATTTTACGTAGGCTGGGGCTAATTATAAAAAAGAAAATATATAAATATATGTATATGATATTTTTTTTCTCTTTGAAAAAAAAAAGCCGCAATATAATTTTAAAAAGGAATATACATATACTTGATCTATATAATTTTATAGCACTAAACGCGTATATAAATTATTTTTAATTGATTGATCTATTACAGAAGCACAACATGACTAATCGTACTTTTAATTTTAGTGATAAGCAAATTAATAAACATCGTTTCTCTATTCTAAAATTATATATTTATCATTTATTCTTTTGCTTCAGAGGAGTAATATCAGTAAATTATTTTTTTTTCTTTTAGAAATATCAGTAAATTATTTTTTTTTTCTTTTATACGTGTATTTTAATGCATGTACTGTACATACTAGTATTCTGTCTTCATTAGTGTGCCAAATTAACGTATTATCGACAAAATTAATACACTGTATTAAAAAATGATTTTATATATTTATCTATCTATCTATTCATTTATTCATTCATTTTATCTATCTGTCTGTCTTTTTATTCTTAAATAAACGATTAAAAATTTATTTGTTATGTAAGCATGTACCGGCACGTGGCATTGTTGCAAACCTTATGAGGGATCTATACAACACAAACTTGTTGACCAGCTAAAACCCTCTCTCCTCACCCCCCCCCCCCTACCTACACAAAACAGTGACAGGGGTAGTGGTATGGCTTCGAAGGAGTACCCGATTTGGTGTACATGTAACACAAAAGTCCAGTGCCAAGTTGACCCCCTCTCCCAAAAAAGACAATAGATTGGGCTAAAGGTGTTCAGTTGGTTTGCCGATATTAAGCCGTCGTTTAATTACTTCACAACCACTCCAGCTGTTTCTGCAGTAGAAGAATCTGTAAGTACGTAAGTTTAAAATGCGAACACAGTACCTTATTTTCATGTTGGAACATTGCATATGTAATTCAGAGTGCGGTTTTTAGTCTATAGTGCTTGAGGTATCAGTTTGTACAAATAATTAAAAAAGAGACCTACCAAATCTTGAGTGTTTCAAATTATCCCTTAAACTATTAGTAGTCATTTTATCGTTAACAAATCCCTTTACATAATCCATATTTTAAATTTTTTTGATGTTGTTTCAGTTTGTATTTCTATACGCTATTGAAATAAAAAATTATGAGTGATTTAGGTCCGTAACTGGGGGTGGAGGTGGGGTGGAGGGGCTAACCCCCCTTCCTAGACCCCCATGGTTCCGACGCCTATGCATTTCAGTAGGTCTCTGATAAATTAAAATGTTATAATACAATTCATATGAACGTACTGATTAGGAAAAAGCAGATATATTATATTTTCTGTACAAAAATAACTTAAATATTCAAAATATTGCTACAAATTTGTAGCGTTATGGTTTTATATATTTGTCCTTTACTATACCGTAACGCTATAGATCCCTAATGCTAAAAAGATGCAATAAAATGATGTTTTTACCCTCTATCTATTCTTAATTTTCATTGGTTAAAAGCTTTGTATTGCTATAAATCAAAACCAAACACGGAAAGGCATAGGCTGATAAAGTCGGACGGCGACAGTGAAAGTCGGACATGTAGAATTTAAAATCGGACACAAACTGTTTTCTGCATTTAAGTCCAATTTACTTTATTTTTTTTGGTGTTGATTGTAATGGACATTGCACAAAGTATCAAGGAATGGGGTGGGGGGCTGACCTCTCACCCCCCCCCCCCCCTTAACATTTACTTTACACAATTGTAAATTCAAGTTCATTGAAAGGCTTGTTTCATCATCTCCACCTTTAATATCTTTCAGTCAAATCAGGGTAATCTGGTAATGTATGAATAAAATTCGGTTTTGAAAGATATATAATCAAATTGATAGTAGGTATACCTCCCATCAAGCTCTGAAATAGAATTTTATTTGAGTTTGGACAATTACCCACTCTTTCTATCTTGTCGCTTTTTTCTACACTCACTACTGTGTTGAATTTGTTAGCTCCTCCCCAGCGTACAAAAATGATACCAAGTACCCGGGAAAAGATTCGTGAACATATAAACTTAAAATTAAATTAGTTTACGTAATGTACTTAGTATAATCGTGTGGATTATTTAGATAAATGTTCCATTTATATACCAAGAAATTTGAATTAGCATACATAGTACATGTATTATGCGATCTATAATCTATAAACCAATGCGTTATCGTGCGAATAATTTTCGGGTTTAAATTGTCTCCAAAATAAATCCCATTTTATACATTTATTAAGTGGTTATAAACAGAAAACTATTTATCCTACTATCTATAGAATCAGTAATCTGAAACATATTTAATTTTCAAGAAAGAAACTTTTTGTATTCCTGAATGAGTGATGAGTTATAAACATGAGACTCAAATAAAGCCACGAAAAAATGATTTTTTTTATATAGAATTTCTTTCCTTCTCTTTGTTCTCCTTTTCTTCTTTTATTTCCCCCGGTTTGTGTCTACAGTATTTTATTTATCTGTAATATTATATCAGTCTGTTGCCGTTAAAATTCAATGAAATGGGTTTTGCTTTACGTGTTTATCTTTGTGTTTTTTTTTTCTGAAAAGAAACAATGTCTATAAGGCAAGTGATGAAAGGTTTTTTTTTTAAAAATAAATTCTTCCTTCAAAAAGTTGAAGCGAATTGGCAAAATTTGATTGCAAAAGCTAAAATACTCTTAAATTACCAGTAAGTTTAATTATATTATAAAAATTGTTCTAGTATATAAAAATATGACAATTTTTTAAAAAACAATTGCAATTTATTCAATACATGTATAATGTGCTGTCCGACTTTAAATTCTTCCCTGTCCGACTTTAAATGACCGAGAATGTAAAGTTGGATAGTTTAATTTTAATAGTTTACTTAATAAATATCCACAAAAGAATTATTATTATGGGAATAAGTAATATTATTCATTTACAAGTTTGATTTAATTACAAAATGTATAGCCTATATTACAGAGTACCGACGGCAAACTGAAGATTTCTCCAGAGATAACTAAGGTCATTGCCGACAGGTGCGCGCTCGGTGCGCATGCGAAAATTATCCGGATCCATGATATGCGTATGTATACTCTTAATTTTATACATTATTTCAAACTTTTTCACGACTATGTTTGCATGAAACAACCAGAAACATCCTGTAGACGGAGATACTGAAAGAAAAATACACATGACACTAAATTTAGAAACGATTTAATTCTGAAAGAGAAGAGTGTCCAACATTCGATGCTGTTTGACTTTAGCTGTTCCTCCCCTACTCATAACAGATTAAATACATAGTACAATTTAGTTTGTTGGTGTAAAATGGTTTGTCCATTTGATGATTGTAAACTAACATAGAATGAGTGGGTAAACTAACGTACATCATACCCCCCCCCCCCCCCCCCCCAAAAAAAAATACATGCACAAGACAAAGGGATTTACATATTTTCATTTTAACATTTAAGCTTAAAAATGATTCTTTAGTTCGTTACCATTTCTCCCATGTATCTGTTCATGGATCACAAACGACGATTAAACAATTATTTTTTTGCGTACAACTATATTAAATCCCATGTTTAATGTCCAAAGCAAATTTTTTCGCTAGCAGAAATTAGTAAAAATAAAAAATAACTATTTAAAAAGCTCAACAAAATTGGAAAATTATAATTTTGGGTAACATATTACACATGACATCTCATCCGAATGAATAAGAAAATTACGTATCACGAACACAACCCGTTGATTTGTAGCGAATAAGGAATCGTCTTACACTCTGTCTAGTTGTTTTAAAGTTGTGGTTTGCTTCGAGTAGTTTCGATATTTTTACAGATGAAAGCCCAGATGCGTGGTACTTGATTATGGTGTTTCGAACAGCCAGGAACAACCTACGTCCTCCCTTAATGGCGCCATAGCGAGAAATAAACCAAAATGACTTATTTGGTCATTGCACGGTTCGAAAATCATTCGGGGCGTGGTTTGCATAATTAAGCAAAGGACGGTACGGTTCGTTTCTTGCACGGAACGGTACGCTTTGAGGACGGTACGGTACGCTTTGTGCACGGTACGGTTCGTTTTGAGAACGGTATGTTTCATTTCTCGCACGGAACGGTTCGCTTTGTGGACGGTACGATACGCTTTGAGAACGGAACGGTACGCTTTGTGCACGGAACGGTTCGCTTTGTTCACGGTACGGTACGCTTTGTGCACGGAACGGTACGGTTCGTTTCTGAGGTGTAGTAGCACGTTTTAGGGTCTGTAAATATAACACATACTGGTATCTATACATTGTGAAAATTTAAGGTGAAGGTTTTACGAAAGTAAATAATTGCAAAATTTATATAAAAGGATTAACATTTATTTTTCAAAAATGTTTTTTTTATCTTACCTGGTTGGGAATTTTCCTCAAGTCAAATTGTTCATTTGAAAACTTATTAAAAAATGTTTCTGCATCTGTTTGTATAAAAATAAGATCATGATAGTTTATACTGTCCTACTGTGGAATCATTTTAATTCATGAGGGTCAATGTTCCTGGGTACACAAATATTTGGGTCATGGGGACAAAATTTTGTGGGTAACTCATATACACAGAAGATTCAATCAATGAATATGTTGACAAAATAAATGTTTGTGGGGATGTAAATTCGTGGGTCAGGGTTACCCATGAAATCCACAAAAATATTGGATCCCCACAAGAACTGATGATTCCACAGTATCTCATAAATCAGAGTTATTAAAAGTATATTTATATAATTATATATGTCTACCATAATTAATTGAAATCCATTTATAATTTCCAAAGACAATTTATGAACAGCAGACTGCAACAAAAATTACTCAAATTTTTACCTTTCACAGATTTGAATCTGATCAATGCACATCCATCTTTTAGAAAAGGACAAATAATATTTTCACATTCCACATCTTTCATTAGAGGTCCAATATTCTTCTCTGATAAAATGCCCCCATCTTTACTACTCAAGATCAGACAAAATTGGTCCTCATGTGGAACAGCAAGCCTTTGGCTGCAAAAGATTGTTTTGGAGCAGTTATTTTTACACAATATGAAAGGTAGTAAAATGGAGTTTCACAGGATAGATTTTTTGGTTGCAATTTTTTTTTTTGAGGAATTCGTATATGTATCTCTATCATTTTGCACAACTCATTAGAAAATATTTCCATTTCTATTTGCTTTCTCTGTAACAGGTCTTTGAAAGTAAGTGGACTTGATTTCCTTATCATTCTACTGGAAAGTAAATTTCACCAAAAATTATGACCAGAAGCTAAGGAGGCCTAATATGCATGTAAATATGTAAATCTCATGTGTCTGTCTTCGTGTCTGATGCTAAAGAGGCCTTGTATGCATGTAAATCTTGTGTGGCAATCATTGTGTTGATGTCAGTGGGCGCTGACTATTGAAACTGACATGGGAGGCCTCGTGTAATTTACATATGTATATCTTATTAGTCTACATTCTTGCAATCTAAATTTATAATTTCATTAAAATTTTATTTTTCACTGCCTAGTTAGAGGAGTGTGCGACATCATACTAACTAGAAAGTGATTCCTTAAATATTAGCTTTGTAAGTGAATTTCATTGTAAATTTAATCCCAGCTAATTCCAGGGTACATCAAAACAAATCTGAATAGTTACAATACATAGGACTTAAGTTATACTAGCATTTTTTTATGCTGAAAAAGAAATTTTAATAGGTACAATAAAACTCGTTTAGTATGAACACGGATATTGCAAAAGTCATCTTGGATCCCTAGCTGTATAAATTTGATGAATTTCTTATACGGTTATAACAATCTTAAGGATATAGCAAAGTAATTTTATAGGTCCCAGTGATTTCATTATAACCAAGTTTTGCTGTATTTTCCTTTATACTGTCAGGTTTCATCAATTTTCGATGCCATCAATTTTTGTAGATTTTGTAAAACAGACGTTTTTGAGGATACATAATTTCATGAACAAAAGCAATGCCTATACAAATGAATAATACCTTTCTTAATTCAATATAAATTTAAATTTGTAGATCTGCTCAACAAAGAAATCCTAAAAAATTTGTGCTCTATGAAAATTGATGAAACCACAGTATATATTAGTTTAATGTATATACTGGTATTTATCAAACAAAATTTTACCCCTAAATTCTTTTGTATTTGTTTCAATTCATTGTAGTTAGTATTTGTTTGATCTTATTTTTGTACTGAAACCTTGTGTTCACTCTAAGGACAGAGTAGCATGGTTACAATGGTACATGTATAAAAATTGTAAATTTATAAATTTATTATATACCCTCTTACAACTAACGTAATATAGTAAAAGAGATCAATTTTATAATATTTTTCCATTAAACAAATCATAATGTCAAGGGACTTTTTAACGTGCAAGAAAAATAATGTCCAGTTTCTGCGTACTATGTCATCAGTCTCAGAGAGTGGTGATATGGATTCAGAAAACCAGTGTGGTGATCCAGAAAGTTGGATCACAATGTCATGTGGTTGCGTAAAATCAACAGTAAAATAGAGTGATAAGCAGGTGGGTATATAATAAATAAATATATCAAACATAAAACTTACTCCTCCTTAGATACTGCTGCAGGTTGCTCAGAAATGTCCCTTTCACCTGAAATATTATTTTTAAATTAAATATAAGTTACCCAAAAGAAATTTTATCTTTTAACCTAGTAAACTGCTTGAGTATACATTATGATTAGTAAATGTAAATGCATTTATTTAACATCTCTTAATTGCTCCACTTAACAAGAGGCCCATGGGCCACATCGCTCACCTGAGCACTAAGAGTAGGAAAAAGTAGAAAATGGCTTTTTATTGTAAAGTTTAAATCCAAAAGTAGTCCCATAACCAATCATGGACTTGCTATTTTTAGAAAATGATTTTTAAAAGAATTTTCCTATATATATCTTTTATAAAAACTTTGGTCGGCCATTTTGGCCCTGCCCTACCCCTGGGGGTCATGATCTGAACAAATTTGAATCTACACTACTTGAGCATGCTTCCATATAAATATGATGAATTATGGCTTTGTCATTCTTGAGAAGAAGATGTTTAAAGAATTTTCCTATATATTTCTATGTAAAACTTTGGTCGGGCATTTTGGCCCCGCCCTACCCCCGGGGGTCATGATTTGAACAAACTTGAATCTACACTACCTGAGCATGCTCCTATATAAATATGATGAATTCTTGAGAAGAAGATGTTTAAAGAATTTTCCTATATATTTCTTTGTAAAACTTTGGTCGGCCATTTTGGCCCCGCCCTACCCCGGGGGGGTCATGATTTGAACAAACTTGAAACTACACTACCTGAGCATGCTTCCATATATATATGATGAATTTTGACTTTGTCATTCTTGAGGAGAAGAATTTTGAAGAATTTTCCTATATATTTCTATGTAAAACTTTGGTCGGCCATTTTAGCCCCGCCCTACCCCCGGGGGTCATGATTTGAACAAACTTGAATCTACACTACCTGAGCATGCTTCCATATAAATATGATCAATTATGGCTTTGTCATTCTTGAGGAGAAGATTTTTAAAGAATTTTCCTATATATTTCTATGTAAAACTTTAGTCGGCCATTTTGGCCCCGCTCTACCCCCAGGGGTCATGATTTGAACAAACTTGAATCTACACTACCTGAACATGCTTCCATATAAATATGATCAATTATGGCTTTGTCATTCTTGAAAAGAAGATTTTTAAAGAATTTTCCTTTATATTTCTATGCAAAACTTTGGCCGGCCATTTTGGCCCCGCCCTACCCCTGGGGGTCATGATTTGAACAAACTTGAATCTACACTACCTGAGCATGCTCCCATATAAATATGATGAATTATGGCTTTGTCATTCTTGAGAAGAAGATTTTTAAAGAATTTTCCTTTATATTTCAATGTAAAACTTTGGTCGGCCATTTTGGCCCCGCCCTACCCCCGGGGGTCATGATTTGAACAAACTTGAATCTACACTACCTGAGGATGTTTCCCCATAAGTTTCATTTTTCCTGGCACAGTGGTTCTTGAGAAGAAGATTTTTAAAATATGCCACCAAATTTTCATTAATTCCCAATTATCTCCCCTTGAATGAGTGCGTGGCCCTTCATTTGAACAAACTTGAATCCCCTTCACCCAAGGATACTTTGTGGCAAGTTTGGTTGAAATTGGCCCAGCAGTTCTTGAGAAGAAGTCGAAAATGTGAAAAGTTTACAGACAGACAGACAGATGGATGCCGGACAAAATGTGATCAGAAAAGCTCAATTGAGCCTTCGGCTCAGGTGAGCTGAAAACATCACAGTAGGGAAATACTGTAATGTGCACCACAATGGTACATGATATGCCCAACACACAAAAAATTTTATCACAGTAAAGCTGCATGCATATATCAAAGAAGTTTATAATAAATTGATGCTTAAAGCAAAGTGATTAATTATTATTCCTCATATATGCTGATAACAATTTTTGTGTCTCTAGCACTTTGCTATATAAGCATGTTTTACTGTATTCCTATGTATATGCCTTGTCACATGCTATGTTCCCGTCATTTGCAGCTAAATTAAAATAAAGTTATCAAGCAATAATTACTTCCTATGTTTTCCTTTGGCTGAACTTCATCATTTCTCTCTGGTTTTGGTGTCACAATGGCTTCCCCCTTCTGTGCATGTTTAACCTATAAATTAATTTACACAATTTAACATTAAATAAAGCTTATTCATTTGCTAGAATAAACTATTCAACAGCATCATTTTTTTTTTTTACATTTCCTTTGACTTTGATATTGCTTTTCTTTAGTGATTATCTCAATCTCAAAGAAACTTATGATGTTTTTATCAAATCTTGAATTCCTTACATATTGATGAGAGTTGTTCATACTCATTAAATTATTTTACCTTGACCTTTCCTTTAACCTTGACCTCCCTCTCCTTTAATTAAGTGATTTTCTCAATTTCATAGAAATCATTCCAAGACATTTTAATCCAACCTTCTATGCTGCTGCATATTGATTTGCATCAACATTTTACCTTTACCCTTCCTTTAAATTTGATCTCATCTTTTTAAATTTAGTGTTACAATGTAAGCTCTCCAGTTTCAAAGAAACTATTACAGATATTTTAATCAAACCTAATATGCCGATACACATTTGTGGGTGCTATTCGGCAGCATTGTAAATAAACCAATATTTATACAAGAACCAAAAATATTCAAACAAATATGTGATTAGTTTCGATAAATTGGGGAATCCCTTACAGGTAACAAAACAGAGTTGATACCATGCATCAACTCAAAAAAATAAATGGGGAATGATCAGTGAAAAAAAACAAGAGTAAAATGAGTTAGTGGGGAGTGAATGCAGAGATTTAATAGTGAATGAACAAATTGATAACAATTGTTTATACATGTATTTCTAACTGCACTTATTTAATGAAATCAAGGTTCTTACCATCTCATAATTTTGTATAATGTGCTCATGAAATAAGCCCTCCAGTAAATTCATTGCACCAATTATATTATGTTCCTCCCCACAAACAGACATTCTGTATAGTGGGGGAATTTTCGCTTTTTGGACACAATCTGTGAAAGAAAATCAAAATATATCAAATCAACTAAATTTAGTCTGAAAAAGCTCAACTTTTGTTTAGTAAGTTCATATAAAAAGAGTCTCCGCACCCAGACACCTAGAGCAAAAACTCTCAGCATTCTTTTTAGCATCAGTTGTTTCACAAACAAGGTCTGAATGAAGTATTTACTAGAATGTTACCTTAACAAGAATTAAGGAGCAATTACATACCATACATACTTGCCTATATGTAAAATTTTTTGGAGTTAAATTTGGTGAAAACTAAGCGAGGTATAAAATGACTGGTATTTTAGAGAGTTAAATCCTTTTAATACAAGCTTAAAAATATATCTGACTTATAAGGGGACTGACTTATAGGCAAGTATATGCGCTATGTAATTTTTTATTTCATTTGACTAGCTCAGGTAAGTCAAAAAGAGTCAATTGGTGGTTACACAATTTTACAAATTAAATTGACAAGATTCTTTTAAAACTTAATAATTTAAACAACATATGTCTTAGAAAACACAATAACAAATAATTTTAGTTGTAACAAGTTATTTGATTGGATTAAAGATTTAATCTATATTCGTCAAGCAAAGTAATACGTTTTTGATGTGTGACTCATCATAGGCATTTTGTGTTATACAACCTTTTAAAATATTCTTAATTTAAAGTGAACATTGGAGAAAAAATTGTCTTTGTCAACATTGACATTAAATTAAACTAATGAAGGTTATTTTAACCAATGTTATATCATATAACATAACTTGAGGCAGTTTACGTTTTTTTTTTTGAACCACTTCTAAAGCATAAGCTGCCTCAAGTTATGTTGTATTGTATTACATATTAGGTTGAAACAAGCAAATTCAAAGAATTGTGGACCCCAACTTTCGGTGTCTTTGTGGGTGAGATGTCATTTTTTATGACATATTGTGTCTAATATGAACACCCTATCATATGTCATTTATTTAGAAATTATCACTGAAGTTGATTTTTTTTAACAATAAGGTCAATTGTGAAGGTCAAGGGGTAAGAATTCATAGCATGCTCGGAAATATCTTGTCACAGGTAATGCACATGTCAAATATGAAAGTCCTATCTCTTTTCAATATAAGGAACAAGATGTGTTTGTGAAACACAGATGACCTCGTATGGCAACATAACAAAGACTTAACATTTCTTAAATGCAAATGAAATATATTTGATATAACCCTAAGTAGGTTTTTCAGACAAGAAATACGATTGTGATACAAAATCCCCCCCCCCCCCATTCAAAAGAAAGTTATGGCCAAGGATAAATTTTTGAAAGGTAGGTCAAACTCCAAGGTGAAAGGATCTGAGTTGTTGATTTCTTAAAAAAGGTCACAAGTAATACATATGTGAAGGATGAAAACCCTAACCTTAACTGTTCAATAGTTATGGCCAAGGTAAATGTTTTGGAAAAGTAAGTCAATCTCCAAGGTCAAGGTCAAAGGGTCGAAGCTCTTGGTATCCAATGAAAGGTCTTCTCTTTTTTTTTATAAGTACAGAAATCTCCAAGGTCAAAGTCAAAATGTCAGAATGGTTGGTATCCAATAAAAGGCCTTGCCACAAAAAATAAATATGTGAAATATGTAAGTCCTAGTTTCTACCTTTCAAAAGATGATATGACCAAGGTTAAAGTTTTTTCATAAGTATGGAAATCTCCAAGGTCAAGGTCAAAAGGTCGAAGTTGTTGGTTCCAATGAAAGGTCTTGCGACAAAAAAATACATATGTGAAAAAATATAAAGTCCTAGTAACTACTGTTCAAAAGTTGTGGCCATGGTCAAAGTTTTAGAAAATTAGGTCAATCTCCAAGGTCAAGGTCAAAAGGTCAAAGTTATTGGTATCCAATGAAAGGCCTTCTCACAAGGATTACATATGTGAAGTATGAAAGTCCCAGCCTTTTCTGTTCAAAAGTTATGGTCAAGGTAAAAGTTTTTTCATAAGTACAGAAATCTCTAGGGTCAAGGTTAAAAGGTCAAAATTGTTGGTATCTGATGAAAGGCCTTGACACAAAAAATGCATACCTGAAATATGAAAGTCCTAGTTTCTACCATTCAAAAGATATGCTCAAAGTCAAAGTTTGGATTTTTTTGTGTAGAAGTGGGTCAAACTCCAAGGTCAAGGTCAAAAGGTCAAATATGGTGGTACCCAAAGAAAGGTCTTCTCACAAGGAATATACATGTGAAATATGAAAGTCATAGCTCCACTAAATCAAAAGTTATGGGCAAGGTTAAAGTTTTTGTGACGGACGGACAGCTAGACAGAATGACAGACTGACGTACAGATGAATGAGATTTAATGTCCCCTCGCTTTTGCGAAAGCGGGGGACAATAAGCTTCATTCCTTAAAGGGATATAATATATACATGTATCGAAAGTCATTCAAATGAATGACTGTTATGGATATTTATTTTAAAGCAAAAGAGGACAGAGTGATATTTTTATGCGTTTGTCTGTTTAGCTGTTTGTCTGTCTGTCTGTCTGTTGTCAACTTTAACCTTCGCCAAAACTTTTGAACCATAAGAGATAGAGACTTCATATTTGGTATGCATACTCCACTAATAAAGTCCTTTCAAATGACATCAAGGTCAATGACCTTGTGACCTTGACTGTGACCTATATGCTAAAAATAGCTTTTTCAACTGTTTGTCATAACTTTTGAACCATAGGAGATAGGGACTTCATATTTAGTATGCATACTCCACTAATTAAGTTCTTTCAAAAAAAACCAAGATCAATGACCTTGTGACCTTGACTGTGACCTATATACTAAAAATAGCTTTTTTCGAACATTGTTGATGCCGGGCGCATAGTGTTTCACAAACACATCTTGTTTTAATACATAAATTACAGCATATGTCAACATTACCTTTGCTTTCCTCCAAAATTCTTTTGAAAACCTAAAAAGAAAACATACATTTATTCACCACTTTAATGTATTCAATTTTAAGTCTGTAAATCTAAAACTTTTACCATAAATGAAAAGTGAGAGAAGTATATCAATTCTATTAAATGTCAAGTATTTCTTAACACAAGAGGCCCACAGGCCTTATAGGTCACCTGAGCATCATGCAACAACTTTCAAATGATTGAATTTGGTTCATGTTTTAAGCTAGATGCTATTGCATTCATGATTTTGAAAGAGGCACCAATGCTAATCATAACTATACACTTAGCAATTGTTTGGTTTGTTTACTTAATACCCATAAGCAGGGTAGGGGAACAAAAATGTATGTCAACTAATCAGTAATATTCAGCAATAATCAGGAGTGCTCCTACTACACATGAACCCCTGACCCTAGGTCTACACATTGCAGAAGTTTTGAAAAGGCACACTCGCTTATCAAAAATGTTTGATTAATACCAAGGAGCATATTTCAAACAATTCATTTTCAGTATATAAGTAGAGCCCCCCCCCCCCCCCAAATTTTGGTATCCCAGACCCAGGGGCCTTGAAATTCACAATTCTGGAAGAAGAGCCCATCATAAATATGTAAATAGTTCATCTGCTTATTACCCAGAAGTAGAGAAAAAGATTTTCATAGATTTAATGCATTTTCACTATATAATCAATAGAGCCCCGCCCTAACACCATAACCCCTGACCCTGGGGCCAAAAAATTCACAATTTTGGTAGAGGCACTCTTGTTCATCATAACTATGTACTTAGTTATTTTATTTAATACCTAGGAGCTGTGAAGTCGTTTTTCAGAGCTTCAATGCATTTTCACTATATAATCAATAGAGCCCCGCCCTAACACCAGAACCCCTGACCCTGGGGCAATAAAATTCACAATTTATGTAGAGACACTCTTGCTCATCATAACTATGAACTTAATTAGTTTATTTAATACCTAGGAGCAGAGAAGAGGATTGTCAGTGAATTCATGTATTTTCACTATATAATCAATAGAGCCCCCCCTTACACCATATCCCCTGACCCTGAGGCCAAAAAATTCACAATTTTTGGTAGAGGCACTCTTGTTCATCATAACTATGTACTTAATTAGTTTATTTAATGCATAGGAGCAGAGAAGAAGATTTTCAAAGATTTAATGCATTTTCACTATATAATCAATAGAGCCCCGCCCTAATACCATAACCCCTGACCCTGGGGCAATAAAATTCACAATTTATGTAGAGACACTCTTGCTCATCATAATTATGTACTAAATTAGTTTATTTAATACTCAGGAACAGAGAAGAAGATTTTCAAAGAAATAATGCATTTTCACTATATAATCAATAGAGCCCCGCCCTAACACCATAGCCCCTGACCCTGTGGCAATAAAATTCACAATTTATGTAGAGAAACTCTTGCTCATCATTATTATGTACTAAATTAGTTTATTTAATACTCAGGAACAGAGAAGAAGATTTTCAAAGAAATAATGCATTTTCACTATATAATCAATAGAGCCCCGCCCTAACACCATAACCCCTGACCCTGGGGCCAAAAATTCACAGTTTATGTAGAGACACTCTTGCTCATCATAATTATGTACTAAATTAGTTTATTTAATACTCAAGAACAGAGAAGAAGATTTTCAAAGAAATAATGCATTTTCACTATATAATCAATAGAGCCCCGCCCTAACACCAGAACCCCTGACCCTGGGGCAATAAAATTCACAATTTATGTAGAGACACTCTTGCTCGTCATAATTATGAACTAAATTAGTTTATTTAATACTCAAGAACAGAGAAGAAGATTTTCAAAGAAATAATGCATTTTCACTATATAATCAATAGAGCCCCACCCTAACACCATAACCCCTGACCCTGGGGCCATAAAATTCACAATTTTGGTAGAGGCACTCTTGTTCATCATAACTATGAACTTAATTAGTTTATTTAATACCTAGGAGCAGAGAAGAAGATTTTCAAAGATATAATGCATTTTCACTATATAATCAATAGAGCCCTGCCCTAACACCAGAACCCCTGACCCAGGGGCCATGAATTTCACAATTTTGGTAGAGGACTCAATGCTGATTACAATCATACCAACAGTTTGACTGCTTGATGTCCGGGAGTAAAGAAGAAGATTTTTAAAGATTGCACTAATTTTAGTGGTTTTTGCCCCACCCCCCAGGCCCCAGGGGGGCAGGGACCATGAAATTCACAATTTTTGTTCCCCTTCACTTATAGATGCTTTATGCCAAAATTGGTTGAAATTGGTTCAGCGGTTTCAGAGAAGAAGCTGAAAATGTTTAAATGTTAACCCACATGACGAACGACGACGGACGAAAACAGATAGCAATAGGTCACCTGAGTTTACTAAGGTGACCTAATAATGAACAAAGCAACTTCCAAATCTGAAACTGTGTAGCCAAAAGGAAGTTGTCAAGTGGTAGACTAATTAAAAGTGTGAATTTGAAATAAATTCTATTATCTTTTTAAAAAGTTTTTTGTGCTTTATTTAATATCAATAATTTCAAAGCACATTGTTTCTTTGTTACATGCATGTTTTCATGTATACATAAGAGAAATGACAAATATTTTTAATGTGCAGATTAAACAGAAATGAAGATTTTGTGGAAATATGACCCCATGGAAAAAGTATGCATGTCTTAACAGTGTTTCCAGCTGTGATTTTAATTATCAATTAATTTAAGTTACTTACCCTGAAATTTTCTTCATCCTTTTCATAAATGACAAACATGATTTTCTCTATGTGTGTTTCATTGTGTGAAGCAGCATACTCATCAACTACTTTTTTCACACAATTTGCCACTTCCTCTGCGGGTATTTTTAGCTGCCCAGTGCCAATAGCAGGAAATGCCATTGTTTTAAACATCCCTCTATCTGCCCCATTTATGCATGCTTTCACAAATTGTTCAAGAATCTATTTATAAAAAAGAAACAACATGATTATGGTTAAGAAGCTCAACTTTATGAGGGTTTTTCCATGAGCAAGACAACTTAATGCTACATTCCCACTGTTGTGCGGTCAGTTACGCACGTCACAATAGATCAATCGTAGTTGATTGCAGAGTTTTTATCGAATTTTATTCCAAGATACGAAGAGATGCGTATAGGTGCGTTTTCATACGTTTTGTTATGCTTTTATGCGCTATGGTCACGATGGATAAATTTCATGTGATGCGATCTCTGACGATCTGACTACCGTTCGGATAAGATGAATTACGTTACAATAGGATTATCAAGATTTAGTCGAAAAAGGACCTCGATCTGTCACGAATATCACGATCCGAGTTCTCGATTAGAAAGGATCTTCTACGTTTTAATACGTACTCTTGCGATATAATACGTTCATCGTGCACTCTTGCGCTAATGCACGATAGAATATCACATTCATTGCAACGTCTTTCACGACCAGGATCAAGATAGAACACGCTTTAAGCTACGATTGTACCCTGACAAATATATTAAAAATCTGGCCATACTCAGTCCATTATATTTTATCTATTAAAACATATAAATACAATCAATAATAATGACAACGTCATTAACATGGTGTTTGTAGTGTAACTATGGTCTTATGTAATTGCTGTCAAAGTAGAGCAAAAACTGCAGTGTAACTGATTTCTTATCCTTTATTTTTTTTTTTCACCGATGTTGCCTCTCATCCAACGGGTTCAGGTTCAGAAGAAGATAGGATCCCCCCCCTCTTTCCTTTTTCGTACCTGTTTTAGGTGGCATCTTTAAAAATATTTTTCCAAATCTCAGAAATTATTTTCAATCGGGGAAAGAAACGCGTTCAATTTTCCCGTTATTTTTGCAAGCTTAAGTACTCATAATATAGCGTGATCGTCCGCAACAAAGCGTTAACACTCGTGTCTAATGGCGTTTACTCTCATGCGTCCGTATCAAATCGTCTCTGAGCGGGAAAATACTGTGTCAGCATGTGAGCAGTAGGACCACGCAAAGCGTCACAGATAGTGACAGAACATGAGACATCACAACGAATCGCCACTCAGCGGGATGTTTGTTCTGTCCGAGATCGATCCCGATGATCATGATATGAAAGCCAGATTAGATGCGTTTTCTTACGATGCAGTTGAGGTTAGTTACGATGTAATGCAATTTGATGCGATGATAACGATGAAATCTAATCGTGTTAATCGTAGAAAAATTTTGACAGTCAAAAAAAATTTCACGATCAACACGATAGCCACGAGTGAGCACAAGATTTGTTTCGGTTTGATACGAGCACTACGATTTCTCCACGTTCGAGTCCCCGATATCAATCGTGGTGCCAATCGTGATAGTGGGAACATAGTACATGTATAACATAAAAAAGGCTCATGAACCACATTGCTCACCTCTTAAGGATGTTTTCATATTTCTTTGACTATGACTAATGGGTTTAACCCTTTGAGTTTGAACTTACATTGTCCCCCCTAGTTATGAATTGAATAAATCTAAACCTTCACTACCTGAAGATGCTTTCATAAAGTGTAAATAAATGTGACCAATGATAGCTTTGCTGTTCTAGAGAAAAGTTTTGTTTTTTTAATACAAATTTCTTATTTATTCCAAAGTACACAAGGGGGGGGGGGGGGGGGTCATGATTTTAACAAACCAACTGAGGATACTTTCATAGAAATATGAACAATCATGGCTTTGCTGTTCTAGGGATAAACATTTTTCATATAAATTCTTATGTAATCTATACTACCTAAGAATGCTTTTTTTATCAATATCACTAATCAATACACTTTTGATCTTGAGAACAATAGTTTAAAAGATTTTTTTCCTATATATATACTCCTATGTAAAAAGAGGTAGATTCACGTACTCCATAAAATGGCCCTGTCAATAGACCAATTAACCGACCAAGTCCTTTGGTCGGTTAATTTAAATTTCGGTTAACATAAATTCTTATGTAATCTATACTGCCTAAGAATGCTTTCTTATCAATATCACTAATCAATACACTTTTGATCTTGAGAAGAATAGTTTAAAAGATTTTTTTCCTATATATATATTCCTATGTAAAAAGAGGTAGATTCACGTACTCCATAAAATGGCCCTGTCAATAGACCAATTAACCGACCAAGTCCTTACGTCCTATTTTGATCATCAACATAAAGTTGAGACTTAGTGCTTTCATTTCCTATAAAAAATTTTCCTCTGACTGTCCAAGTTTGGAAACTCAGGCGTTGTGAAACTGCAATGTTCTTGATTTTTGAAGAAAATGGGTGAAATTGAGCATCTTCAACTTTTAATAAAAATATGAGCCCACCCTGCGATCCAAAAATTCTTTCATGGATTATAATCTTCTGAAACAGTTCTTTCATTATATAATTCAACATTTTAGATCAGAGGTTGGGGGCTATGCAAAATATTAAAAAAAAACAGCTTAAGACTTTAAAAATGGCGCTCGGCCAGGCAAGAGGTGCTGTTTAGCGAGTGGTCGAAAACATGCCGGACTCTTAATTAATACTAATTCTAAACCGTTCCTGGATGTGGAAATTATGTGATACCATTCTCAGTGATATATCCATGCAAATTATATTGTGAATTGTAAGTGAATGTGAATGTGATTGTGATTGGGATTTGGTATTGAAGATCATATAAGCCCAGTGCCTGTTGTGAAAACTGTTCACGGTCACTCTACACAGTAAGAATGTCGACCCCTAGTGTATCTACCCGAGGGAATAAAAAAGGAGAGAAAAATGAAAAATCAAACGATGAAAATCAAGAGGAAAGCACTTTGACAGACGTAAGTAAACAGCTAACCCAGATTTCAAAAGATCTCGTGGAATTAAAAACTGAAATTAAAAAAACTGTCAAAGCTGATAAGTTGGAGACGCTTGTAACCACAATTGTGAAAAAAATTAGAGAACAAAACAATAAAGAAAGAGATGAGAGTGTAAAAGCAGAAGTAGAAGAACAGTGCCAGGCATTAAAAGTTGAATTTCAAAAGAAAATAGATAAGGCAGCGGGAGATATTGAAAAACTTGAATCAAGGGCAGAAGTACTAGCCGAGAAATTAGCGGAGAGCAATAAAGAAATCAGAGAATTAAAACAGAGGGTGCAAATGAACGAAAAAATTGCAGGTGAAGCTTTCAGATTGAGCAACAGAAATGAACAATACTTCAGAAAATATAATTTTAAGATCATGGAAGTTATGGAGAAAGAAAACACTCAGATGGTTGTAAAAGAGTTTATTCAGGCGAACGCAGGTGTACAACTCCAAGATCGCGAAATAATAGCAGCGCATCGTATTTCGGGAGAGAACGGAAAGCCAAGGCCCATTATTGTTAAAGTGATAAACTCAGATGCCAAGGCCAGAGTCATGAGGAAGCGTTCAGATATAAAGAAGCTAGGAAACGGTTTGAAATTGGTGGACGATGTGACAAAAGCAAATGGGGAACTTATCAGTAAACTTCTAAGTCAAGAAGACATCGAATCTGCATGGTACTTTAACGGTTCCATCTATGCACAAATCGAGGGAAGCGAAAAAAGAACGAAATTTGACATAACAGATGATCTAGACGACAAGATCAACAAAATTAGTAAGTGATTTTTTCGGGAAAAAATGTTCCGCCATTGTTTACTTTGTTAATAACAGTCACACCATAAACTTCTGGTTTGAGTCCTGCTAGTTTGGATGATCCACGGCTGACTTTAGTGTCAATTTAAAGTCTATTTTTCAGATTTTACGTGTTTTTTTTTGTCTGTTTTTTTTTCTATTCATTTATTTTTTTTTCTTTTTTCTTTCATTTGTTTACTTTTTCATTCCTGTATTATGTTTTTCAATGAGATTGTTTGTTTGAAAGGCCAGTATGAATGTAATGAACTTAGCATTATTTTTACACCGATATGGGTTCGATAAAAATAGCAACAGTCAATTGTCAAGGGTTAAATACACAATCAAAGAGAAAAGATGTACTAAACTTTTATAAAACAAAAAATTATTCTATAGTTTGTTTTCAGGATACCCATTTTACAACTGACTTAGAATCATGTGTAGAGACTCAGTGGGGCTATAAATGTGTGTTTAATTCATATTTGTCAAACTCTAGAGGGGTAGCCATTTTTTTCAATGATAATTTTGAACTAAAGCTCCACAGGGAGAAAAAAGATAATGAGGGTAATATTTTAGCACTTGACATAAGTGTTGATGATAACAGAATTACTATTATTAATATTTATGGCCCAAATTACGATAGCCCTGAATTTTATGAAAAAGTTAGGGACTATTTCTTAGAATTTGATAATGATTATTTTATCCTGTGTGGAGATTTTAATCTGGCATTGAATCCCAACATAGACACATTTAACTATGCAAATGTAAATAACCCCAAAGCCAGAGATAAACTTATTGAAATAATGAATGATTTGAATTTAGTTGACTATTATAGAATACTTAACCCAGATAAAAAAGTTTATACATGGAGAAGAAAAAATCCAGTTAAGCAGGGTCGTCTTGACTACATCCTTATATCAGAAAACCTATCAAATATTGTTGAACATTTTGATATAAAACCTGGGTATAGACCTGATCATTCTTCAGTTACAATTGAGTTAAAGTTTAATTTATTTGAACGAGGACGTGGACTATGGAAATTTAACAATAATCTTTCACATGATAAAGAGTATGTTGAAAAGGTGAAACAAAAAATTCAATTAGTTAAAAACCAGTATTCTCAGGACCTAAATGGAGTAGAAGTAGAGACTTCAATTGATGACTCTGTATTTTTTGACATACTACTAATGGAAATCAGGGGGTTTACTATATCATAATCAACTTTCAAAAAAAGAGAAAAAGATAAATTAGAAAAATCATTAATTAAGGAAATAGAGGATTTGGAAAACAAAAGTACAATTCCTGATTTCTCTGTACTGGAAGAAAAAAAAATCTACTCTTGAAAATTTAAGAAAAGAAAAACTAAAAGGTAATATGATCAGATCTAGAGCCAAGTGGGTGGAAGAAGGGGAAAAGCCAACAAAATATTTCTGTCATCTTGAGTCGAGAAATTTCCTGAACAAAACAATAAAAAAGGTAGAAACTCTAGACAAAGGTATTGTATATAAACAATCTGATATTCTAAACGAAGTAAAAAATTATTATGAAACTTTATATAAAAACGCAGATTCTGAATTGATAGACGTAGATCTCTCTAATACCATTCAATACCACAATGTTCCAAAATTATACATAGAAACAACATTAATCCTAGATAAAGATATAGACGAAGAGGAGGTTTTTCTGGTACTGAAAAATATGAATAATAATAAATCACCCGGAAGTGATGGATTCACAACTGAATTCTTTAAGTTTTTCTGGAATGATCTTAAAATGTTTATCTTAAAAGCAATAAATCAAATATTTCTTCAGCTTCCAATATCCCAGAGACTTGGTATAATATCTTGTTTGCCAAAAGGAGACAAGCCAAGACATCTCTTAAAAAACTGGAGACCAATAACTCTTTTAAACGTATTCTATAAGTTAATATCTGGTTGTATTAGTTATAGAATAAAATCTACACTCGATCTTCTTATTTCAGAAACACAAACAGGATTTATGAAAGGGAGATATATTGCGGAAAACACACGATTTATTTATGATCTAAGACTTATGTCTTATACTGAAATAAATAATACACCTGGATTGTTGGTTCTCATTGACTTTGAGAAGGCTTTTGATTCCATTTCATGGTCTTTTGTTTACAAGGTTTTACACTTTATTGGTTTTGGTAAAAATATAATTAAATGGATTAAAATTTTAAACACAAATTTTGAAGCTTCTATACTCCAAAGCGGTTTTCTTTCTAAGCAATTTCCAGTCCAGCGTGGATGTCGCCAGGGAGACCCTGTTTCTCCATACATTTTTCTTCTCTGTGCAGAAATTTTAGCCATTCTTATTAAACAAAATCATGATATAAAGGGTATTGTTGTAAATGATAAGAAACACAAATTATCTCAGTTTGCTGATGATACTTCTCTTGCCCTTGATGGTTCTGCAGGTTCTTTGTATGCTGCACTTGATACATTAGAATTATATGCAAAATTTTCAGGTTTGAAAATAAACAGTACAAAAACTAAAATTATTTGGATAGGCTCAAAAAAATTTTCTGCTGAGGTTTTCCACCATTCAAGATGGAAGCTAGATTGGGGGGCAACAACTTTCTCCTTGCTAGGAATAAATTTCTCTGTCGACCTAGAAAAGATTGTTGATATAAATTTCAAAGTCCAATTGCCAAAAATCACTTCAATGATTCAGCAATGGAAAAGACATATTCTAACTCCCATTGGATGGGTAACAGTTGCAAAAACTTTAATTGTACCAAAATTGAACTATCTATTTAATATCTCATTACCAAATCCAAATGAAGAAATCTTAGACAATTTAACACAGCAGTTGTTTAGATTTGTATGGGGGTCAAAAAGTGATAAAATAAAATGTGTTGTTGCTACGCAACACCAGACATTGGGAGGCCTAAACATGGAACATCTTAAAAATTTTATACTTTCTCTAAAATGTTCATGGATTCAAAGAATTATTAAAGGAAGTCATTCATGGTTGAGTATTTTTGAAATAGTTTATGGGCAAGATGTTGTGGAAAAGATTTTGAATTTGGGTGATGATTTTGTGTTGAAAATGTTGAAATGTACAGAAAACAAATTTTGGAAAGATGTCTTAGAGTCTTGGTTATCTGTCATCACTGATAATTGTTTTGACAAGGCAAATCTTACACAGTCTGAAATTTTATCAACCCCAGTTTGGCTAAACTCTTGTATCAAAGTGAATAAAAAGAGTATTTTTTATAAAGAATGGTATAAAAATGGTGTAAAAATTATTGATGATTTTTTGGATGTCAATGGGTCATTTTTATCTAGAGAGAATTTTGTGAAAAAACATAGCATTCATCATGTATGTTTTATGCAGTATAACAGCATTATTAGTGCTATTTCAAAGTTTTTAAAAGATTCAAAATTTTCTAGGGTAGGTTTCTCAAAGCTACAGCGCCCATTTTTGCCATTGTTATACAAAAGATTAATATTGATTGATAAATGTTCAAAAGATATTTATAAAAATATTAACACAAAGAATGTAAAGCCAACTGGTTTTTCAAAATGGAATTCAGAAATGCTTCTAAAAGGATTTCAAGAAATGGAATTGAGAGATGTTTTTAATGTGTGCTTTAAGGTGTCTTCAAATTCAGCTGTCCAGTGGCTACAATTTAGAATTTTGCATAGAATACTACCCGTAAATTATTACCTTAAAAAAATTAAAATAAAAGAAAATGATATTTGTACATTCTGTAACAATGAATGTGAAACCATATTGCACAGTTTGTTCATGTGTAAAGATGTAATGCATATTTGGAATGATCTTAGTCTACATATTTACAATTACACATCAAAACGTGTAGGTTTTAATATTTAAAATGTAATCTTTGGAGAGTTACCTTTGTCAAATTCAAACTATGTCATAAATTTTGTAATTTTATATGCTAAACAGTACATTTTTTACTGCTTAAAAAATGCAAAGAAGCCTAATTTAAATGGGCTGATTGCCCATTTAAAAATGTATTATAAGGTTGAAAAGTACATATCTGTTAAAAATCTAACTGCAGAAAATTTTGAGTCTACATGGTCACATTGGAAAACTATGTTGGAAATGTAAATCCTCTGAAAAAAAAAACATATTTAGATCAAATGTAGCATACTTTTTTTGTCCCCTGTTTTATTCATATAAAGTGTGTAAAAATTTGCAAAAATTGATGTATTGTTGATGTAAGTATGAGTGAAGTGCAAAAGTGGGTGGGTGTGAAAAATTTTCTGTGCAAATTTTTATAAATGTATTTGATGTTTGTTTTTAAAGCATGGAAATAAAGCATTAAAAAAAAAAAAAAAAAGAAAAAAAAAGCTTAAATGTTTGGTTAGTTTTAACGAAATTTTCAAGATTTGAGGAAAATAACAAAATTCATGACGTCATAATACATAGACAAGAAAAAAAATTACGTCATTTTTATTTGATATGAAGTCACCAAGGGTCCAAGTGAAATATAACATATTTTCAACTAAAACTGAGTAGTTCTTATTTTTCAGAAATTCACAGGGCCAAAAATGGACCAATGTGAACTTTCTTCTTTTATCCCCAATTTTGACCACCCTGGCACCCTAACCAAAGGTACTGTCATGATTCAAACAAACTTGAGTTTAAATAAAATATGTAAAGATTGATTGATTGTACGTTATTCATAGCCCCTCGAAAACTTTTCACTCGTTTGGAGACGCCAAAGATTGAAAGTGGAGAGCTGTAAATTTTGTCCTATGCTCAGAATTCAGGGGCATTGAGCAGTGAGGGATCTTTTTCGTGCCAGCACCTACATGTACTGCAACACGGGACTTCGGTTTATACTGTAATCTGAAGGACTGGTCTCTATGCCCCACATTGGGGTTCGAAGCCGTGAAGCAGCATCAATTCCTTACTTCGCTACTGTAGAGCAGACATTTATATGTAAACAAGAGGCTAAATTCAACTGTGCATCTGTAAATGCCAGCAAATTTTTTAAAGGCTATACCTTAACTAGCACTTGCAATTTTTTTAAGATATACATATAAACCTACAGTGAAAGTACAAAATGAATCTTCTCTTGATCTTAACTTATTTTACATGAAATTTTTACTGAAAGATTATCATTTTTTTTTATGCCCCTGGATCAAAAGATCCTGGGGGTATATTGTTTTTGTCCCGTCTGTCTGTTTGCCTGTCTGTTGTCAACTTTAACCTAGCCCATAACTATCGTGCTGTCAAGGATAAGGCTTAAATATTTGACACGACATCGAATGTTCACTATGACAAGACCTTTCCATTGGCACAGATATTTTTGATCATGTGATCTCAACTGTGACCTTTGACCTACATTTGAAAAACTTTAACATTGGCCATAACTATTGCAATGTAGTCTACCTCCCACTCCAGATTTGTGTTACCATCAGGGACATAGTGTTTCACAAACATATTTTGTTCATAAGACAAACTTGGATTAAAGTACCATAACCTTGTAATGAATACCTTTCACTTACTTTCAAAGCTTTATCATTTCCATCATTCCAAGGGAAAAGTGCACCATGGAAAATCTTTTTGCATTTTAATCTGTATCCTTTAGTTTCTTGGACATCTCCATAATCAATCCTTTTGTTAATATGACCTGTTTTGCTAATAATTGGAATTTTAGCAATTTCTGATTTCAGATCATTTCCAGCAGCATTCAGTATGGATTTTGAGACTGCCCCACTTGTAAGATCTAAATTCAAGGCTGTTGTGTTAACTATCACATCAACCTGTAAATATAAATACAATTTATAAGACTGAGTATATCTCTGCAAATATATATATATATATATGATATAACATCCATAAAATTTTTTGAAAACCTTTCCACTTCAAACTGTCAAAATCAGAAATAGCTAGAGTGCAGTTCAGAACTTTCAACTTTCTAAAAATAGTAAAGATTCTTCTGTAATCTAACAAAATGCTTAAGTTACAGAAACAATATTGATCACTGTTCAATTAAAAAGAATAACCATAAGTACACTATATGGTACTTAATGCTAACCCTCAGGTGGTCCTGATTAATTTCAAACAATGCAGTACATGTATAATTTCTGAAACAAAATTGTGACAGGGAAAATTTAAAACTGGGAAGAATTGTTTGCAAGTATAAAACTGCAAAAATGACCCTGTATACAGAATATATTTCCAGGGACATATATACAATATACAACTGTATATAGGTCCCTGATATTTCTAAATAAAGTGTATCAATCTTCAACAAATCAGGTGGCTCAAGGGCCATAAGGCTCATACAATTCACTCCAGCCCTGCTGCTTTTTCAGAAAATTTTTTATAGTGGATAATTTCCCTTACTGAAAAAGGATAACCCAATATTGTGAACCACATGTAACCAAAGTATCTCTTACAAGAGGCCCAAGGGCCTTGAATCATTCTTCTGATAAATTGTATAATCTATCACTTCTATTAGAAGCCTCCAACTCTATTAGAATCATAAGACCCAAAATGCATCAACTTACAAAGTTTGATAATATTTAGCCAGTTAAGACTGAAGATATCATAATATAATTATAAAATACCATAAGTAGGTCACAGTGACCTACCTTTTGATTGAAATTTTCTGAGGACTCAAGATACATTAATTGACAAAGACAGATGATTCTAATTAAATAAGGACCTGAGATATTTAATAGTAGGTCACCATGACCTACTTTTTGGTCAACATTCTCTGAAAAACCCAAGATGCATTATCTGACAAAGTTTGATGCTTCTAAGCCAATTAGTACCAGAGATAATTAAATATAGCCATCAAATGTCAAAAGTAGGTCACAGTGACCTACTTCTTGGTCGACATTATTCAAAAACCCATAATGCCTAAACTGACAAAATTTGATGATTCTAAGCCAATAAGCACCTGAGATATTCAAAATTATGTCACTGTGCCCTACTTCTTGTTGGACATTCAACGAAACCCTAAGATGCATCAACCGACAAAGTTTGATAATTCCCGAGCCAATAAGTACCAGATATAATTAAATATAAATATATAAATATAATTTCTGGTCGACGTTCTCTGAAAACCCAAGGTGCCTAAACTGACAAAGTTTGATGATTCTAAGCTAATACATACCTGAGATATTCAAAAGTAGGTCACTGTGACCTACTCTTTGGTCATCATTCTCTGAAAACCCAAGATGCATCACTGACAAAGTTTGATGATTTTAGGTCAATAAGTACCAAAGATACTTAATTTTAGTCACAAAATGTCAAAAGTAGGTCACCATGACCTACTTTTTGGTCGTCACTATCCAAAAACCCAAGATGCATCAACTCACATAGTTTGATGATTCTAAGCCAATAAGTACCGGAGATACTTAAATAAAGCCATAAAATGTCAAAAGTAGGTCACCGTGACTTACTTTTTGGTCGTCACTCTCCGAAAACTAAATATGCATCGACTCACAAAGTTTGATGATTCTAAGCCAATAAATACCTAAGATATGTAAATATAGCCATAAAGTGTTGAAAGTAGGTCACCGTGACCTACATTTTGGTTAACATTTTTCAAAGACCCAAGATGCATCTACTGACCAAGTTTGATGATCGTAGGTCTGAAAGTAATCAAAATATGCGTTTTAAACAATTTGAAAACAAATGTCGGCAAAATTCAAAAAGTAGGTCACAGTGACCTACGTACTTTTTCATAAATGTTTTAAGGTCCCAAGATGCATCAAAGTACAAGATTTGATGATTCTAAACCTCCCAGTGTCTGAAATAATGGGATTAAATGTTTTAAAAGGATAAGTCATAAAGTTCAAAAAGTAGGTCAGGGTGACCTACTTTTAAGTTGACGTTGTTTGAGGACCCAAGATGCATCAACTCACAAAGTTTGATGATCATAGGTCTTAAAGTAATCAAAATATGCCATTTAAACAATTTAAAAAACAAATGTCTGCAAAATTCAAAAAGTATAGGTCACAGTGACCTACTTCTTCATAAAAATGTTTTAAGGTCCTGAGATGCATCAAAGTACAAGATTTGATGATTCAAAACCACCCAATGTCCGAAATAATGGGATTTAATGTTTTTAAAAGGATAAGTCATAAAGTTCAAAAAGTAGGTCAGGGTGACCTACTTATAAGTAGACATTGTTTTAGGACCCAAGATGCATCAACTGACAAAGTTTGATGATCATAGGCCTTAAAGTGTCCAAATCATGCCTTTTAATCAATTTGAAAACGAATCCCCGCAAAATTTAAAAAAAGTAGGTCACCGTGACCTACTTTTGAGTTAACATGTTGTGAAGTCATAAGATGCATCAACTTACAAGATTTGATGATCCTAGTCCTTATAGTAAGCAAAATATACACGTTTTTATTAATTGTAAATTTAGGTCAACTTTAAAGTGACCTTGAGACCATGCCCTTTGCCAAAGGGTAATTCCCCTTGCAAATTTTAAATCTTCGACATACCCTGATCCTTGTATGTAAGTTTGGTGAAAATCTGCCAAGTGGTTATGGAGAAGATTTTTTAGCAACCAGTACTTTTGGTTTTGTTTTCCTGATTATCTCCCCTTGTTTAAAGGTCCCAACCCTTATTTTAAAATAAATGGTAGCCCTTGGGCCAGGGATACCCTGTGACAAATTTGGTACTGATTGGCCAAGGGGTACTTGAGTTATGGCCCATATTCTAAAAAGTTTACGCACACCGGACACCGCATAAATGGCCATTACATTAGCTCTTTGAGCCTTTGGCTCAGAAGAGCTAAAAATCGATATGACTAATATAAATATGACTGTAATATTGATCTTACTCTCTTTATATTTACATTTGCAAATATCTTTCTTAGATGAACTTTTTGAACATCGATGAACCTATTGAAGCCCTTTTGGGCTTCACAGGATTTGACCAACTAAAAGTTCATTTCCCAGAGAACTTTTTAACATTGTTGTTTATTTTTTAAAAAAGATATTTCTAAAAGATTATTTCATATTTATATGTAACTATTTTTTAACTGGTCCCTAACTTTTATTTCCACCAAGAACCTTGTGCTTAAAATTTGACTTAACTTAAATCCAGATGTCAACATGATAGTGCTACATTGTATAGATAAGATTTTTAGTCTCTGTAACTTTCTAAAATAAAGGAATAGGATTTTCCTGATAATATGCACATCTACACATTGTTTTCTTAATGTCAGCAAAGTTTGACGTCAAATTCTGTGCAGCGGTTTATGAGGAGATGGGCTGACAAACTGTTCAACTCTATATTCAAGATATGAACAAGAATCTAAGTTAAAAAGTGCTGAAATTTCCAGAAAAATAACGGAATTGGAATTTCTTGGTAGTACACATATATCTACACATTGCGTCCTAAATATCTGCAAAGTTTGACAAAATTCTGTAAAGCGGTTTATGAGGAGTTGCACTAACAAACAGTTTATCTCTATATACAAGCTATGGCCAAAAATATATGTATATATACGATATTCCCAGAACAAGAGGCCCATGGGCCTTATAGGTCACCTGAGTATCATGCAACAACTTTCCAGTGATTGAATTTGGTTTTTATTTTAAGCCAGATGCTATGGCATTCACAATTTTGAAAGATGAACCATTGCTAATCATACCTATATACTTAGCAAATTGCTTAGTTTGGTTACTTGATACCCATAGGCAAGGTAGGGGAACAAAAAATGCATTTCAACTAATCAGTAATATTCATCAATAATCAGTAGTGCCCCTACCACACATGAACCCCTGACCCTAGGTCCACATATTGCACAATTTTTGAAAAGGCACCCTTGCTTATCAAAAATATTTGATTAATACAAACTTACAGATTTCAAACAATTCATTTTCAGTATATAAGAGTAGAAGCAGCCCCCCATCCCCCACCCCCCCTCTATGGTACCCCTGACCATGGGGCCTTGAAATTCACAATTCTGGAAGAAGGGCTCTTGCTCATCATTACTATACTATATAAGTAGTTCATCTGCTTAATAACCTGGAACAGAGACGAACATTTTCAAAGATTCATGTACATGTTTTTTCACTTCATAATCAATAGAACCCCACCCTAACACCTGAACCCCTGATCCTAGGGCCTTGAATTTCACAATATTGGAAGAGCACTCAAGTATGTACTTAATTAGTTTATTTAATACCCAGGAGCAGAGAGGAAGATTTTCAAAGAATTCATGTATTTTTACTACATAATCAATAGAGAGCCCCGCTCTAACACCTGAACTCCTGACCCTTGGGCCATAAAATTCACAATTTTGGTAGAGGCACTCTTGTTCATCATAACTATGTATTTAATTAGTTTATTTATTACCCAGGAGCAGAGAAGAAGATTTTCAAAGAAATAATGCATTTTCTCTATATACTTGATTTAGCCCCACCCTAGCAACAGAACCCCTGACCCTGGGGCCATGAATTTCACAATTTTGGTAGAGGACTCAATGCCGATTACAATCATGCAAACAGTTTGACTGCTTGATGTCCAGGAGTACAGAAGAAGATTTTTAGAGATTGCATTAATTTTAGTGGTTTTGGCCCCAGGGGGGCAGAGGTCATGAAATTTACAATTTTTGTTCCCCTTCACCCATAGATGCTTTGTACCAAATTTGGTTGAAATTGGTTCAGTGGTTGCACAGAAGAAGCTAAAAATGTTAAAAAGTTAACGACCGACGTACAACTGACAACGATGGACGAAAAGAGATAGCAATAGGTCACCTGAGTTTACTCAGGTGACCTAAAAATAAAGGAATCCAAATTTCATGGTAATATACACAGTCATGTAAACATTGTGTCCTAATTATGTGCAAAGTATTCTGTGCAGCAGTTTATGAGGAGTTGCGCTGACAAAACAGGACTGACACACTGACAGACGGTTCAAAAACATTATACATCCCACAACTTGTTGCATAGGGTATAATTAAATAAGTAGCTATTTTAGGAGAAGAATAATTTAAAGAATTTTACCTATGTATTCCCATGCTAAACTTTGACCCCCATAATGGCCCCACCCTACCACTTATGATTTAGCATTGATTTGAATAATGTAGTGTTTTGATGAGAAAAAAAATTTATTTTAAACAAGATATGAGTAAAACACTTATGCCCACTCCCCTATAAAATGGTGCTTTTCTAAGTTCCAGGGACATAACTCTGTCAAAAATGGCTTGATTGTACCCAAAACAGATCTTGACCTGGATATTCTTATGGTCTGTATTATCTGTATATTGAATTTCATTTCAGTATGTGCAACCTCTGAAAAGATAATGAATGGAAACTGTAAATAATTGAAATTTTTCTGTGTCCATTAGGCATAACTCTGTTCGAAATGGTTCGATTGTAACCAAAGCAGAACTTGACCTACAATGTAGATATTCTTATAATAAATCTCAGGTATACCAATTTAATTTTCATTTCAATATGTGCAACCTCTGCAAAGAATATGAACCGAAACTGCAAAATTATGTTGTATCATATATCATAAGTTCAAATAAGCTTCATTCCTTAAATGTGAGATCAACTTTGCCCTGCCCTAGGGTGTAAACCTACTAAACCATGAGTCCAATGGGTATAACCCTATCATAAGATATGCATTTTTTTCTCTCCAAAATTGACCTTTCCTTGTTTAAGTCACATTGTCATTATCCTGGCTTAATTCTCCATTCATTTAAAAGGTTTTAATTATGGTACATATATATATACTACCAGGTATATCTATTTTGTGAAATCTTTTCAAATATGAATGACAAGCAGAGTTAATATATTGGTATTTTTAGGTCATTTGTATGAATTTTTATCATTGTTTAATATTCATGTGAAAACAAAAAAAAAATTTGATTCATATAGCGTTATATATCATGGATCAGAAGTTCAATTTCTGTGGGTAAATAATCCATACTTTGAAGCTAAAATTTGAGACAATACAGAATTTTCAACTCTGATTTACCTCCTCTTCAAGCTCTGCTATCTTTCCCTTAATGACTTGAAACTTGATCTTTGGCAACCCTGTCAACAAATGAAAGAACACCTAATATATTAATAAATGTTGATGATGTATAAGTAAGCTTCACTTTTTGACAAATATAAACAAGAGGCCCATGGGCCACATCACTCACCTGAGCATTGCGGCTAAAATAAGTAGAAATTGGTTTATTATTGAAAAGTTTAAATCCAAAAGTAGTCCCATGACCAATCATGGCTTTGCTATTCTTGAGAAAAAGATTTTTTCTTTAAGAAATTATCATACATATATGTCTATGTAAAACTAATTTGTTCCGCCATTGTGGCCCTGCCCTACCCCCCGGGGCTCATGATTTGAAACAAGAGGCCCATGGGCCACATCGCTCAACTGAGAAGCTTTGAACATTCGGTTCTTTACCAGATTTCCCCCTTGTAATACATATTGTGACCCCACCCTACCCAACTGATCATAATTTAAACATTTGGAAATTACACTACCGTAGGATGCTTTGATTCAACATTGTGAAACTTTGATTTCCCATTGTGGACCCGTCCTACCCCCAGGGATCATGATTAGAACAATTTAGAATCTACACTATCCCAGGATGCTTCCACATAAGTTTCTGCTTTTCTGGCCCAGTGGTTCTTGAGAAGATTTTTCCTATATATTTCTATGTAAAACTTTGATCCCCCATTATAGCCCTGCCCAACCCCCAGGGATTATGACTTTAACAATTTAGAATCTACATTACCCCGGGATGCTTCCACATAAGTTTCAGCTTTTCTGGCCCCGTGGTTCCTGAGTAAAAGATTTTCAAAGATTTTTCCCATATATCTTTATGTAAAACTTTGATTCCCCATTGTGGCCCCACCCTACCACTGGGGGTCACGATTTGAATAATTTAGAATTTGCACTACCCAAGGATGCTTCCACATAAGTTTCAGCTTTTCTGGCCCAGTGGTTCTTGAGAAGAAGATTTTTAAAGATTTTTCTTATATGTTTCTTTGTAAAACTTTGAGTTCCCATTGTGGCCCCGCCCAACCCCTGGGAGTCATGACATTAACAATTTAGAATCTACATTACCCAGCTTTTCTGGCCCAGTGGTTCTTAAGAAGAAGATTTTTAAAAAATTTTCCTATATATTTTTATGTAAAACTTTGATTCCCCATTGTGGCCCCGCCCTATCCCCGGGGGTCATGATTTTAACAATTCAGAATCTGCACTACCTAAGGATGCTTCCACATAAGTTTCAACTTTTCTGGCCCAGTGGTTCTTGAGCAGAAGATTTTTAAAGATTTTTCCTATATATTTCTATTTAAAACTTTGATTCCCCATTGTGGCCCCGCCCTATCCCCGGGGGTCATGATTTTAACAATATATAATCTACACTACCCCAGTATGCTTCCAAATAAGTTTCAGCTTTTCTGGCCCGGTGGTTCTTGAGAAGAAGATTTTTAAAGATTTTTCTTATATGTTTCTTTGTAAAACTTTGATTTCCCATTGTGGCCACGCCCAACCCCTGGGAGTTTCAGCTTTTCTGGCCCAGTGGTTCTTGAGCAGAAGATTCTTAATGACCCCCACCCTATTTTTGTCTTTTCTTGATTATCTCCCCTTGTGTGGGGACTTGGCCCTTCATTTTCACAATTTAAATTCCCCTTCACCCAAGGATGCTTTTTACCAAGTTTAGTCAAAATTGCCCCAGTGGTTCTTGAGAAGAAGTTGAAAATGTGAAAAGTTTACAAAAGGACAGACAGACGGACGGCTAGAGGGACGACAGACAAAATGTGAACAGAAAAGCTCACTTGAGCCTTCCATTCAGGTGAGCTAAAAACTTGAATTTTCACTGCCTGAGGATGCTTCCATATAAATATGAGCAATTATGGCTTTGTGATCCTTGAGACAAAGATTTTTAAAGAATTTTCCTACATATTTCCATGTAAAATGTCAGTTTTGGCCATTGTGGCCCCACCTTACCCCTGGGGGTCATGATTTGAACAAACTTTAGTAGATATACTACCTGAGGATGCTTCCCAATTATCTCCCCTTGAAAGAGGGCGTGGCCCTTCATTTAAACAAACTTGAATCCCCTTCACCCAAAGATACTTTATGGTAAGTTTGGTTAAAATTGGCCTAGTGGTTCTTGAGAAGAAGTTGAAAATGGGAAAAATTTACAGACAGACAGACAACCTGACAGACAGATAGACAGGCAGACACCAGACAAAATGTGATCAGAAAAGCTCACTTGAGCTTTCGGCTCAGGTGAGCTAATAAAATGCAGAGATGTATGTCAAGGGATTGCTTAGAAAAATTAATGAATTCAATGCATGTACATGTACCTTCTTTTTCAGTCCTTTTGGATTCCACTTCTTCAATACAACTGACTACATTTTGGAATTCTGCTTCATCAGAATGACACAGTATAATTATCAAGCCATCTGGGGGTTTTGGTGCACAGTCTATGATACGCTTAACAAATTTTTGAACTGGCCATGTGTGATTATCCTTCAAATCAAAGCTCACTGACTTTTTCTTGTATTTGGTGACCTCTTGGAAGAAAGGCACTAAAACACTGTCCATTTTATGTTTTTCTCTATTCTCCCCTTCTTGCCATAATGGATATTTCATGAAAGCAGTTCTCTCATCTGGCTCAGGCCATTCAAAGTTCTTATCTACATGTACATTTAACATTAAATAACTGAATTGAAATACATTTTAAGTATGCACAAAAGAAAAGTTATTACTGCAAAAGCTTATTAATGAGACTATATATTGAAGCCCAAAACAAAAGTTTTTAACATTCATTTTTTTTCTCATCAAATTTTGCATAGTTTAATTTGTCAGCTGCTTTAGTTATTCAGGCATTGGCAAGTAATTGAAAAACAAATTACAAAAAAAAAATTATTATGTTTTGCATTTTTTGTATATTGAAAAAAAAAATTACTCTCGATTATTACAGTAAAAACATGCTTATAACAAAGTGCCAGAGATGGCCAATTTTACTTTGTTACATGTATTAGCATAATTTGATATATAGTATCAAGTAAGTTTACAATATTATATATAGTATATATACTATATAGTATAGTATATATATTATATACAGTAAAACTATTTAGTGCGAACATGGATAATGCAAATTCACGGATCCGATATAGCAAAGTTATCATTGATCCCCAGCTAATTAATCAAAAGCCTGAAAGGCTTCAATGGCGTCGAACAAGAAAAACAATTTCAAAAGATCTGCAAATAGGTCAAGTGAGTGACTCCGGTAACATAATGATAAAATTAAAAAAAAAAATAGTCTTAACACAAAGACAGTATAGGGCCTGATCGCCTTGTGTCCTGGTCCGAATGAGTCAGGGTTCGAATTGACCAGACATCGTCAGAAATGTCCATCCTCTATATCAATCTACCAGGTAATTTCTTTTCAGTCAATCGAAGACAAATGAAGGGTTTCATAAATTATTTTAATTAATTGCCACTGTCAGAGTGTTGTTCTGTTGTATAGTGATTGCATCTTTACTACAACCATGACTCTAATGTTACAAGTACGATCAACTTACGATAAGGCGCGGTAAACAAATGGAGGAAATGGATAAATACAGTAATACTGGCATTACTGGTCAATATCGTAGGTTGTTCGGCTAAAATTGGATTGAAGATCGTAAAAGTAAAGCTAAGATTAAGAAATTCAATCTTTATAGTCTTGTTGTATTCGTGTTTATTTTGTAATTATTTTACCATATTTAAATTCGTTTGTATTACACAGAGACATATACGTCTCTGTAATACAGTAGTCGGTCCCAAAATGTGATTCATGTCATTCGACGCACCCTCTCAGTAGAAATTCATCCGCAACAACCATAACTTTTTTTGCATAAACATTAAACATAATATTGTTGTTTTGTAGTAGTATTAATTGAAGATACAATTGATTTAATTTTATATTCAAGCTATTATTCATTGTGAACGTTTTAAAAGAAATCTGGGTTACAGCTGTTGCTATTTTCTATTGCGGATGCATCCACTGACACATACGGTCGCGTAAACCTGACAGACTGATCCCTAGATGACGATCGGGCAAGCCCGACGCCATAAAAATAACCGATTCTTTAAACGGATATAACGAATTATGGATATAGCAAAGTACTTTCATAGGTACCAGTGACTCCATTATTACTGAGTTTTACTGTATTTTAAAGTCATAGAGAATGAAAATCACTTCCCTATGAGCATCAATCGTTATAAGCATGTTCACTATATGCATGCTTTACTGTAATTTAATTGGTAAGAGTTATCAGAAGAATACCTGTATTTTCAAGCTGTTGTGACTTGACATACACATCAGCAAATACATCATCCTCTTTGCCATTGTGGAGAACAAAAGCTGTCTTTCCTCTGATCCAATATCTAGCATGTTTATCTGGAGAATACTCATAGAAGCATTGATTTTCTGAAAGAAATTTCTTCACTTCAGGAGGCATAGCTTCAATGGGTAGCAAAATATGCTGTTCTTTCATACATATTGAAGCAATATACTTTTGCATTTCTTTCAAAGCTGTGGGTGAACCTGTCATTTCAATTTCAACCGTTCTTTTCAAAAATCTTAAGGCAATCTCATTCTTCCTCGCTTCTTCTTGAAGTTCTTCCTTGTGGAAGGTTTGAATCCATTTGAATGCTTTTTGGTCCAGATGCCAGGTATATTTAGTTGATATTTTTGCCTCAGCTTCATTCATAAACATTTTCAAACTTTCATTATCTTCAAGATCCATTGTATAGACAAACACAACCTCAAGTTTAGCTGGTTTTTCCTCTTTGCTGATCTTCATAGTAAATTTCTTTTCTGAACTTTCTTCAAGTTTGCCGGCTTCTTTTGTGCACCATTGCTTGAAATGCTCTATTTCTGGTGAATACGTGATGGAGTATTTTTTCCATCTGATGGATTCTTGCAAAACTTTTGCTATCTCTTTCTTCTCCTCATCTGTTTTCCCATATATAAGTAGAATTTTTGTGTTGGGAAGTTCTGCTAATTCACTGACTGCCCATGTGCCATTACATCTTATTCTACTATCAATAAAAGCCTGAACATTTTCTCTGGATAAAAAGAATTCAAAGCCTTCAAAGCCTTTGCATACTTCAGGTTTAATATCTTTCAACCAGTAATTATTTGACAAAAACTTGATGGCATCAGCACATTCTTTTTTATTCCCAATCACCTTGACTCTCATATCACACTTGTATATCTTAACTTGTGGGAAGATTTCAACTGCCTGTTCTATTCTATCGAAAACCTTGAAAAGACGCCACTGCAATGGGCTGCACTCAAATATATGATATGAAATTTCTTCGTTGCTCTCAGGACTCCATAAAGTAGCATTTTTCATGTGTCTTTGCAGGTCTAAAAGTAGGTCTATCACATTTTCTCCTCTGCCTAAAAGAAAAACTCCACAGATATCCCTCTCTTCAAATGCTGAAACAAAACCATCAATAACTAAAGCAGATTGTTTAACTTTTCCAGAAATATCTTGAATTTCTTCAGATGGCCCTTTGATAACAAGCAGCTGTAGATCTTTGAAGCAGTCATCTGTTAACTTTAAGCATTTTTCAACCCACTGATCAAAATCCTTTTCATGGGATTCTGAGCTGAATTCAACCATGATGTACCCAGATGTTTTAAGTTTTATTTCACTTTGCAGATCTTTCAAATGTTTTTTAATAATATTTTTTGTCTCTTTTTCTGTCATGAAGAAAGACCATTTCTTGAAATTATAATAATCACATGGATATTTTTTTGAGTCTTCTTTTCCTGATCTAAATGTGAAGACAACTACAAATAAAAAAAGATACACAATTAAATTAAATTTTTGGAGCAGTCAGACAACTTCAATGATTTTTTTTATCATTGTAAGCAGATAGCTCCGTTGGTAGAGCACCTAAAATTTGGAGTGCCTGCCTGGTCTGTGAAATATTTTTTATTTACTGTTACACTGTCTAGTACTTATTGGAAGAGGGACTATTAATTGGTCTATCATGTAAAAACTACAGATCAGAATTAAGGAACCATTGTATGGGGTATTAACTTGGAAAGACTTATTCACTAGAAAATCCAGGTCGGCCACCTGGTGCAGTGGTTAAAACATCAGACTCTGCTCCAGGGTCACGAAGTAAGGAGTTGATCCTTATGTCATGGGTTCGAATCCCACTGTGGGACTGGAGAACGGTCCTTCAGATGAGACCGGTGTTCTGTGTTGCAGTAGGTGCTGGCAAGAAAAAGATCCCTCACAGCTTGATGCCCCTGTCATGCCTAGCATATATAAGGACAAAATTTTCAGCTCTCCACCTGTGGTTTCTCCATATAAAATTCTTGAGAAAGACATACATTAAAACATACAATCCATTAGAAATGCACACAAATTATATATTTTTTTCTGCCTATGACCTTGAACTTGCCAAAATGACTTCATGTCAAATCCCAGGTAAACTTCTGGTCATCACATTTGTATTAAGTATGAGCTTCCAAAGTTTCTCTGTAAATAAGTTAGACTTGGCACCATCCACAGAGAAATGGACAGCTAGACAGACAAGATGATTCCTATATACCCCTAAAACTTTGTTTGCAGGGTGGTGCAGTTAAAATTTTCTTATTCAAATACTGTGTAATCCAAAAATGAAATGTAAAATTGAATTCCCTTTTAGTAAAGAACTATGCATGCTACTTCTCGATTCCTGCCTACATTTTAAATCCATTTAATTCAAAATGGATGACAATTTAGCCATAAAATCTTTGTTTATTACAAAGAACAGTTCTATAGTGGCAATAGATTAATTTGTTTGAAAACCAGTGCTAAATAGTAAATTATGATTAAAATTTTAAAAAAAATCAGCATATATATCAAAATACAGTATGTTTCAGCTGTAAAGCACTTTAAAATTGCTGAAAAAGTAAGTTTGTGATTTTTTTGTACATAAACATGTCTATAAACATGAAAAAAAAATATCGTAAGAGCTACATGGATATTGTAACATTTTATGCTTGATTTTTGTGATTAACTCAAAAACATCACATCTTGAAATGAATTAGGGGGTGGAAAGGAGTATTTTTAATTTTATATTACTTTACAATATCCCCTATCAGAACAGTAAGTTATTTGTCTAATTGACCAAGTGTATTTACACATTGACTGGTACAATCTCAAGTTAGAAGAGCTGGACATAGACAATTAAATAAATGTTGAACCCTAAATATGCATCTTTCTTAAAATTCCTGACTGTGTATATTTTAAAATATGAATAATCAAAGTAAAGCATAGAGTTCAGACAATAAATTGTAAGTAAAAAAGGATTACTTTTTGAAGTTTCTTCTCTCTTTGACATATGCTTTGGTTTCTTGCTCAAATCATTGTTGTAAACATCAGATCTCGTTGTCGTACTAGGACCTATAAATACATGTCAATATTTTAATCCATAAAATCTTTTATTTTATCTTAACAATTTAATAAATTTGTCACCTTTGCATCTCTAATAATCATTAATGTGCAAACCTTAAACTCCAGCAGAAGAAATTTTCACCACTTTCTGACAATTCTTGTATTCCATATCCTTATACTATTACTAGTATTAATCAATTTATATTACAAAACATATTTATCATATCTCATAATGATCAATCTATACAATGTATTAGCTCAAGACAGTCAAGTGACAGCTACCTGTATTAAACTTCACGTTTCCCTGTCATTGTCATATTCTTATAATCATATTATACATGTATCTTGCTTCCTTGTGCATTCCAGTGATTCTTAAGATTTTCACAGTTTTCTCCTGATTATACAATAAAATATTTTTAACTCTTTATTCTGGCCCCATGCTCCCTCTTATGGGGTGGACAATCTGCAATCTACTCTACCTCAGGAAGCTTTCACTTGTTTCCATAATTGTGGCTTATAATTGTGGCTTTGGTGTTCTTGAGAAGAAGATTTTTAAAGATGTGGCCCAATCCTCCCCCTGGGGTTCATGATTTGAACAAACTTAAAACTATACTACCTGAAGATGCTTCCGCATCAATGTTGCTTATAAAGGTTTTGCTGGGTTTTTTTAAGAAAGATTTTCAAATATATCTTCCTTTTTAATTCTATGTAAAAATATGACACTCCATTGTGGTATTTGTTCTCATGGAGAAGATTTTTAAATATTTCTTCTTAGACAATCAATACTGTGAAAAATTTTACTGTAAACTTGAATCTAGTTTATGTCAAAAATATTAAATAAGTTTCTCCATCTTTCTTGCCCAGTGTTTCCTGTGAAGATTTTTTAAAAATATTTTTATTTTTTCTCTATTAGAAACAGGGCATTAATAATTACAACCAAAATGTATCACAATTAAGTATTAATACCTGTTGTTTGTAATTTTTCTTCATCATCACTTTCTTTTGCTTCATTTTCACTGCTTTTAGATCCACATACTTTGAAATATGTCCCTGTAGAGGTATCTTTGTGTAACTCCACAGGTGGATTCTTTTCTAAGCTGCTTTCATTCTCTGTTATAAAATATGTTGAAAGATTATCCCTGAATATTGTTTTCATGTCAAAATTAATATCTAAATCTTGGCTTGGAAACTGACAAAGTTTTAGGGTCCAAAAAGTTTATTTAATATCTGAATTTTAATACCACTTGAGAATGCCTTCATATCAATACAGAATATGACTTCGCTGTTCTTGATAAAAAGATTTTTTAAACATTTTGTTCCTATATATTACTTCATAATAATTTGAATTTGATTCTCTACTCCAAAGGGCCATGATTTGAACAAATTACAATCTTCAATACATGAGAATGCTTAACATAGCTTTTTCTGTTCTTGGGATTTTTCCCTTTATTTTTCTATGTAAAACTCTGATCCACCGTCGTGACCCCACACTACCCCCTGAGGTTATGATTTGAACAAATTTAAATTTACAAAACCTGAGAATGCTTCCATATAAATACAGTATCACTAATCATGGCTTTGGCATTCTTGAGAAGAAGATTTTTAAAATGTATTTAAATGTAAAACTTGGATCCCCCATTGTGGCCCCCCTAACCCCCCCCCCCCCCTCCGAGGGGCGGGGGGGGGGGTAATAATTTGAATAAACTTTAATCTACAGTACCTGAGGATAATTCATATGAGTTTCATCTTTCCTGCCTCAACAGTTTTTGAGAAGAAGATTTTTCCTATCATTATTCCTATGTTAAACTTTGATCTGCCATTGTGGCCCCATCCTACCCACGGTGGTCATGATTTGAACAAATTTGAATGTACACTACCTGAAGAGGATGCCTCTGAGTTTCATCTTTCCTGGCCCAACAGTTCTTGTGAAGAATATTTTTAAATTTTTCCTATATATTCCTATGTAAATCTTTGATCGGCCGTTGTGGCCCCCATCCTATCCCCAGGGGTCATGATTAGAACACTCCAAACTTGAATCTACACTACCTGAGGATGATTCCATGGGAGTTTCATTTTTCCTGGCCCAATGGTTCTTGAGAAGATTTTCATAGGATGCCATTAATTTTTCACTTATTCATTATTATCTCCCCTTGGAAGAGAGTGTGACCCTTCATTTGAACAAACTTGAATCCCTTTCACCCAAGGATACTTTGTGGAAAGTTGGGTTAAAATTTGACTGGTGGTTCTTGAGAAGAAGATGAAAATGTGAAAAGTTAACAACAGACGTCGGACAAATTTTGACCAAAAAAGCTCACTTGAGCCTTCTGCTCAGGTGAGCTAATTAATACTGTGGAATGAATCTCAGACTCTAAGGATTTGGTATGTTTTACATACTATTGAATTGACATTTGCTGATCCACATGTGCATTAGAACTGATACTAAAGCCAGAGAAAAGAACATAATTTATCAATAAGAAGTTTTTTATAAACAACTTCTCAGAATTTGTAGCAAAAAAGTACCGGTATATGGATTGCTGAAAAGTAAAGAAACTTTAATCTGATAAATTTTGTTTTCATATATGCAATAAACATTTTTGTTTTGATATGCATTGAAATCTTGGAAATGGAGTCTGAACTCCAACACCTTGACACCCCAGACATCTCAATGTTTCCTAATAGTCTCACAAATGTCAAGATATCCAAGTTTATCTTCACTACAAAATAAAATTTAGTGTTTTATTTCCATTACACTTCAACGCTGCATGACCATTAGTTACGGTGCTCCAGTATAACCGTTACCCTATATAATCTTTATTTCTAGGGCTTAATTAAACAAAAGACTGGTAGGTTAATAGTATATTCATATGCATAAAAATTCAGCGCTCTCACACCACTTTTTCGGACTGGGGCCGGGGCCGTTCAAATTGGGAAAATTATTGTCATTTTGGGAAAAGTTGGATAACCAAAATTCATTTTAAAAAATCCTCCAATTTTGCTTTTCTACCTTTTTGTCATCAATTTAACTATTGTTTTGAATAATGACAGTTTAACAGAACAAACATGGGTACGTAGGCTATTTATGAAAGTACATAAGCTTTGTCATTACTATCTTTGAGTGTTGATATTGCAGTTATCTGTCTTCCTGAGTGACAATCGCCAGTCACATAGTCTCGAATTTCCTCGATCACATGGACATATTTGCTTACCAATTAATACAGCGCGAGACTGAATATGCCGAAGCGTGGGTATGTTTCTAGGTGCATCTTACTAATGTTTAAAAGAAATGTCTATTTTTGAAACCAAAATGACAAGATACTCTGCACTTTTACTTAGTATATACACATTTTGTAAAAACAATAAACTGGTTCCCCGAACCAGTTTATGAATGCATTTGGCTTGAACTAATAAAACAGTTGTACAGTGCGATTAAGTTTCATGAACTTTTATTTTTTAATAAATATCTTGCTATAGAAATTGGGGAAAAAATTTACACCTTTCTTTAGGGAAAAAAGGTACATTTTTTACATTGGGAACGGGGCCGAATATCAGCCCAAGATTTAGAGAATCGAGAGCCCTGAAATTTTTAAAGTATCTACCTTTTTCTGTTAAAGAGTCCCCTTCAGAGGTGAGCATTTCTCTCTTTGAATGTTGCTGTTCAGATGGAATATTTGATGCAGGATGCTTTTTTCCAAGTAAAGTTTCGGAAAATTCAGATTTTTGTGTCTCTTCTGGTGCCAATGGGGTTTTATTCTCATCTGCTTTTGGCAATCCTTTTTGATGTACATCTCTTGGGAGTACTTTTTGGTTTCCTGGCATTAAATAGAATTATAATATCAATGAAATATGTGAACATTTTTCTTGTGCTCATACAGTCTTGACTTCAATTTGAATACATTCTCTTAATATTGTCCTCTCTTTTGAAATTCAAAGAAAATCCAAATTTGACACAAAAAGCAAAGCTTAAGGGGGGAGGTTGCGGTTTTATTGTGTAAACTTCAATAGCGAAATTCTTCCTTTTTTACCATACATAACTTTAGTGTACATGCCAGATTTGATGGAAATCTACAGTCAAGGTATTTTTAAGTGGCTGTCTCAAAGTACAGGTACGTTTACTATAGCATATGCCATTATATAGGAAAGGGCCAATTTTTAGCACCTTAAAGCAAATTATACAAATACTACAACATACTTTTTGTTCAGACTTTAATATATGATGGGTAATACATGTACCATATTCTACATTATGAATGTAAGAAACACAAAATTCTACCGTCTTGTTACCAGAGGGGGCTTCTCAAAATGCCTAAAATTAATTATTTTTCCTGTTTACATAGAGTACTACAAAGTATTACAGGTATAGACAACTTAATATTTGAAAACTTAAAATGATGGAGATATTCTCAAATTTCTCTGTTTTAAATTTCAAGAGCGTATGATTATTACTTTTTTCTTTAATAACATTTTATTACCCCTTTCTTTAAGAGATTACTTTTATCTGTATCATATCATTTATATTCAACTTACTTCTAATTAAGACAAAATTTTTATTCACTGTAGACATCATAGCTCGTTAAACACGAAAATCATGTACATGTAAAATAAATCTGTGTATTTACTTCTCAATTTACTCAGCAGCCATGACAGTTCATGCATGACGTACTGAGACTTGCGCTTGAAATTTACAATAGCTCAGTAAAGCAAATGTCCATGTTTATAAAAAATTGTGATGAATAGCAACACTAAACATAATTGGATAAATAAAATCATTCCATCTGTCATTTTTCCTTAAAAGTGATATTTAGGCTTAAAATATTAAGGTAATTACCATGAAGTCCATTCCCTATAAATCCTTAATCTCATAGGCTGACCCAAAATAAAATCTGTCAAGGTCAGGAAACATGGCAAATTATGGGGCGCCATTTTGGTATTTACTGCCAAAAAGTGATATCACCTATTCGAATAGGTGATATCACCTATTCGAATAAGTGATATCACCTATTCAAATAGGTGATATCACCTATTTGATTTGATGATATCACCTATTCGAAAAGGTGATATCACTTATTCGAATAGGTGATATCACCTATTGAAAATGAATAGGTGATACAGTCCCTGAAACATTCTACTTTCCCATTTTTCCATTCACTTACTGTTCGTTTACCGTTCGTTCAGCGTGCGTTCACCGTTCGTTCACCGTGCGTTCACCGTTCGCTCTCCGTTCACAGTTTTGCGTTCACCGTTCACCGTGTGCTCTCGTTCAGCATTCACAAAACGTTCACCGTTCGCTCTTCGTTCCGTTTACTTTGCGTTCACCTTGCGTTCACCGTTCACTTATCGTTCAGTCTTTATTGTCATTCGGAACTCTGAAGTGAAAGGACTTATCTTTTTGATGGTAAGGATTTACAATTTTTTTGATTAAATAACTTAGATATCGTGTTTGAAAAATAATTATTTCATTGCAAAAATTATCTTTGGTATTTATATTTTTATTGTCATAACTCAGCTGTGACTTTATTCATGAAATTTCCCTGGAAAATAATACATTAAATACTTAATGTACATGTATGTAGAACGATGCTAAAATATTAAATTTCAAAAAAGGCAATGTACAAATTCTTTACGCAAAAGACGACAAATCACCAATGGATGTTTAATAATTAATGCAAGTCTTTTAGAGGACGTGAATACACAAAAAATATTCCTACAGTAACACGTGTTTCGAACTACACGTAGGTCTTAGAATTATGAACAGTACTGCTAATATTCAGTTAATTAAATATTTTAAGGCTTATTAAATTGATAGTGTGGTTTTAAATTTTAGGAAACACCAAATTTTAAAAAAAAATCTTTTATTAGAGATGGAAAATTCCTTCCTTTACTGTACAAAAATATATGTTTGCCATTCAGTATAATTAAGCTCTTAATTGGTTAATTAAGCCCCCCCCCCCCCCCCCCCCCCCCCCCCCCCGATGCCTTTTCTCCTGAAATAAAATTCTTATAATTTTCAGTACATTATACTTAATATCAAATGTGTATTGTAACTCAAGAAAATCAGTTTTAAAACCAAAATCAAACAGTCATTAAACAATATTATTTTTAAATAAATTTGTGCCAACAATTATAGTATTTTCAAAACGAAACACGGCTTACATGTATTTAAAAGCATTATAAATATTATTCATTGATTTTTTCTGGAACTAAATATATGCAAGACTTATTTTAATGTTTTAGATTATAAATAATTATCTAGGTAATTCTTAGACTTAAGAAAACGGATTATTTGTTCTATCAGAAGGTGTACATGTAAGTGGACCGTGAAATTTGATTAAATTGGATTTCATAATATGCAGAAAGTGGAATAAGGTTGGGAAAAAAACGCAGCATGAAATGACTTAAATTACAAGTTATATCCATGATTCCATTGATTCAATGCTTGGGAATCTCTAAAAATGATTTTACCAATTATTCATCAATTTAATTTTTAAAAAATAAGCCCTAGAGCTAAATACTGAAAAACAATTTCCCGAATATTATGTCGTGTGCATGTACATTCACCGACAAAATATTTATGTAAGCTTTAAGAAATGTTTATTTGTAAACAAAAAAAAATATATTTATTTTTGGTGTATTTAAACATTTTCAAATTATCTTGACCACAATAACCAATAAACAAGAATAAACATCTTAATTGTACGGTTTATCACAATAGGGCACCCTATATTTGACGAGAACATAGTTCTGTACGACTTACTATATTATTTGTATACAAGCAATAATTAGTTCGTTCATGTATGTACCGCGTACAATGTAATTAATTCATTCTATAAGAAATAGTTTTATCTTCTTAAGTCCACATTATTTTATTCGTTAAAGGGGGAGGAAATAAGCACCTCCTTAAAATTTACCTGGTCTTAGAACCCCTGTCAATCATCTGAAATAAGCCTGGGATTGGATACTTTGATTTGATTGACATTTAGTTGGCTGCTGTTGTGTATATCTTTTGTACCTTGTCTGGAGATCTTACCGACCATCGAATTAACTTTCAGGCTTTTGATGCCTACCGCACATGCCAAGATGATAGAGAAGCAATCAAATCGTTGTTCTTTTTTTTTAATTTGTAAGAATATGCCATTAATATAATCATTCTATCAAATAATTATAAATCAAATAAATATCATAAATAAATGACAAGAAAAATCATGGCTATTTAATATATATTATAAATTTAATTTTAAAAGGGAGGATTTCATATCGCGATTACAATCGATAATTTTAATTTCCGTGTCAAAACATGAGTTAACGTACATTTATTCCTTCATTAATTAACAAAATAAACTGACCTGCCTTTGAAGCTAGTATCATATAATTTTATTTTTTTAAAAACAAGTATGACAACATTGTAACATTGTTCATGAGTCAAGCGAATTTATATTTATAAGACTAACCTGTACGTGTCGCTTTTCTTCGAGACATGGTGACGAAGTTACGGTACAATAATAAGTTTTAGAAGAGAAATTACTCAGAATATAACATCTTGCTTTGTATTTAATGTTTAAAATTAATAATGAGTGTTGAAAGAAAAAAAAACGATGCTATTCAATTTGAATTGGTGATATCACCTATTCGAATAGGTGATATCACCTATTTGAATTTCTTACAACATTAAATAATGAATGCTCCCTATAATAGATAGATTACCAAGAAAATCAGACAACCCAGTTTTTATGCTTTTTTCAGAGTTTTTCCATTTTTTCCTAGAGTTTACTTGATATATAAGTGAAATAAATACATTTGTGAGCAAAACAAACTACAATTTCTATTAGGGTTGATAAAAATTAAATGCAAAGTCTCTTAGAACCATGAGTCATAAAACGAAAGTGAAAGTAAATAAGATTTAGGCACCTAGGGAGCTGTTGTTATTTCATAAATAATTTGAATAGGTGATATCACTTATTCGAATAGGTGATATCACGTTTTTGAATAGGTGATATTAACCTATCATTTTGAATAGGTGATATCACTTATTCGAATAGGTGATATCACCTATTTAATTTGAATAGGTGATATCACTCATTCGAATAGGTGATATCACCTATTTAATTTGAATAGGTGATATCACTCATTCGAATAGGTGATATCACCTATTCAAATAAGTGATATCACCTATTCAAATAAGTGATATCACTTATTCAAATCAAATAGGTGATATCACCTATTTGAATAGGTGATATCACTTATTCGAATAGGTGATATCACCTATTCAAACAGGTGATATCACCTATTCAAAATCTGGATAGGTGATATCACCAATTGAATAGGTGATATCACCTATTCGAATAGGTGATATCACTTTTTGACAGTAAATACCAAAACGGCTCCCCATAGCAAATAAATTTAAGTTGTGATGTTTACATACACGAAAAATACTGATATATGGATTGTTCTGTATATTTTTGGATCGATTTATCATTTAATTTCTATAAAATACTTGATTCTGATTGGATAAAAAATTCTTTTGATAACTGCATCAATAAAATCTAGAGTGTGGTTGCACTTAGCAGCTGGAGCTACTTTGACAGTCGGTACATGTATATTCCCTGCTTCCAGGTTACTTTTTGAAGAAATAATTAAATACCTTTGCTTTAATAAATATTTTCATGAATTTCAGAATCTGTCCGTTAGGTTCCTGACTTACCCTCTACTTTCATTTCATTTGAATTATCCCCCTTTGCTAAACAAATTAAATTGTCTGCAATACAATTACGGGAAGGAAGGGAAGAAATCATTTAATCGGCATACTTTTCTTAAATGTTTGACTTTGAGATATCTGGTATGAAACAATAGAACTCGGAAAAAATGTTTTTTTATGCTACTAAAGTGAGGAAAACCGTAAATCTGTTAAATCGTGGGAAACAAGTGATCGAGAAAAATGACACTGCATGAATTGAGGATGGAATTCTTTAATCTTGAACTATCAGCAGCAGATTCTTTCAGGTTTTTACGGCATTGAAACGTCGTGATACGTATCGGTTTGAAATTCAAATGAAAAGATGCGTACAATGAAATCCAAATTTCTGTGAACTAGAACTGTTAGCCTTGGATAATTGAGTAGCTTCCCTTTACATTAACGAACTTAGATAACTTATCGGGGAAAATATAATCAGAGGGATAACACAACAGGTAAGTTTTTTGTGTTAAAGAACTTTAAATTATTTTGGCGACTGTTGGTAATCACACGACAATATTTGAGAATGTTTTTCGTTAGCATGGTTAGAGCCATTTTGAATTTTCAGCAACGTTAACGTTATGGTGATGATGTATTCGTGCACACTGTTTTTGATGCATAAATTTAAAAGAAAAGTGAAAGAAACTTTCATTTTATTAATTTAAAATCATAATTATGTGATAAGAAATGAATGTAATAAATTTTTCTTTGATCGATGTATCAAAGAAAAATTTGGACAGAAAACTTTTTCATCAATGCGCTACGCGTATTGATGAAGTTTTCCGTCCAAATTTTTCTTTGATACATCGATCAAAGAAAAAATTATTACATTCATTTCTTAAATGTCTGTGATAACTACATTTTGGAAGTCCAGGTAAATCATATTAATAAAATAGCCGTTTACTGAAAATTTGAGCCAAAATCCATGAGGGAGCGAATTGCTCCCACTTTGCACCATTAGAGAGATCGTAAAGAGTTGTAGCCCTCTCCAAAAAAAAAAGGGAAAGGTCATAATTTGGATAATTTAAATCTACACTACCCCAGGATCTTCCACAAAAATTTCATCTATTCTTGACCTGTAGTTCTTAAAAACACAATTTTTACAATTTTTCCCATAAATTTCTTTGTAAAAATTAAATTCCCTATTGTGGCCCCGCCCAAACCCCGGGGGCCATGATTTTTACAATTGAGAATCTGCACTATCCCTGGATGCTTCCACATAAGTTTCAGCTTTTCTGGTTCAGTGGGTCTTGAGAGGAAGATTTCTTAAGATTTTTGCTATATATTTTTATGTAAAACTTTGATTCCCCATTGTGGCCCCGCCCTACCCCTGGGGGTCATGATTTGAACAATTTAGAATCTACACTACCCCAGGATGCTTCCACATAAGTTTCAGCTGTTCTGGCCCAGTGGTTCTTGAAAAAATTTTTAATGAACCCACCCTATTTTTGCCTTCTCCCCTAGTGAGAGGACCTAGCCCATAATTTTAATTATTTTAATCCCCCTTCACCCAAGGATACTTTGTACCAAGTTAAGTTAAAATTGGCCCAGTGGTTCCTGAGAAGAAGTTGAAAATGTGAAAAGTTTACAGACGGACAGCTAGACAGATGGACGGAAGGATGACGGACAAAATGTGATCAGAAAAGAACACTTGTGCCTTCGGCTTAGGTGAGCTAAAAATGCAATAAGTTTGGTGAACAACAAATCTGGATTCACCAGTTTTAACGCTGCTAGTATCTCACACATTACCTTTTTGTATCCCAGAGTCTCCTTCAGGGGTTACATTCTCTCCCTCAGAAGATGCCTGCTTAGTTGGAATGTCTGGAGCAGGAAGCTTCCTGCCAGATGAAGTTCGGGAAGGTTCAGATTTAGGTTTTCTTTCTGGTTGTGTTGGGACTACATTCTCATCTTTTCTTGCCATTTCTTCATGAGCTACAATGAGGTTTTGCAAATTAGTAAAATGCCGTTCTAATAAGCAAGAGGCTTGAGGGCCTTACACAGTCATCTATATATAAAGGGTTCATAAAAGTATCAATCAAAATAAAAATATAAAGTGATAGATAAAGCACTAATTTGTGGAAATCGAGGTCAAATTCAAGGAAAGGTCAAGGTCAAACAAGAAGTCTGTGAGCCAATGCTCACTAGTAATACCCCCACTCTGATGTCATTAATAATACACATCATGATAATATAAATTATAGAGCTGAAACAGATGTTCGAACATTCGCGAATGAATAGTTTTTCAAGAATATTTAAATATTCGGTCACATGTAATACCTGTATTTCATGCAATAAATGGTGTAGGCCTGTCCACTAAATTTTTTATCACGGTAGAAAAAGAAGCAAACGAAAGCAAATACATGTTTAAGAAAGGTTGTAAACTTTGTCCACATGGTACTACTGGCCTGGTAAAGACACAACACCAAAGTTAATTAATCATCTTAATGCCAAACATTCTTCAACCTCTTGTATCTCAGATTTAATTTAGATATAATTGTGACATTGACCGCCATGCTTATCGAAAGTAATAAAAGATTTATATTGTGCGGAGAATAATATTCCAGATCAAAAAACAGAATCGATTGTTCACATTTACAATTTATAAATAATTGCATAAATCATGTATGAAAAATATACATTATATTTTTTTGAGAATGTTATATTTTAAATTCATTAAATATAGATTCAAAAATTTACAGGACTTTTCCGGAAATGGACCGATTTTTGTTTTATTAATGTAAAAGTAAAATATGGCGAACACCTGCTGCTTTGGAGATAGCACGTTTTACGTAATCGGAATGCAATACAGTGACCTAATGTAAAGAAGTAAAGAGGCCTATGATTGTTGATTAAGGTTCATTTTCAAATTTAGTTTTTTTTCTTGAAAATAAACGCAAGTGCTAATGTACATTGTACATGTCAAACGAATTTGAACAGACGTCAATCTTAAACACAAAGATATATAGTAATAAAGAATAGGATTTACAACTAAATAAAAAGGCATAATAACTCTTTTATTTAAGTACGGAATGTTCGAATACAAATCGAATAACAGTCACGAATATTCGAATGTTAATTTTGATTCATGGTATTTGTTTCAGCTCTATTAATAACACAAGTTCAGTGACAGGCAGATGCACAGATAAATAGGAAATTGACATCACATTCATATAAAGCAAGTCCCACCATTAAGCATGCCTCAACAAAGTATGTGATAAAATTTCAAGCATCTATATTGAGTAGTTGCTGAGAAAAAGGCAACAAAATTTATTATATGTTTGCTACGGACAGACACATGAATAAACAGGAAGTTGACATCAGAAGTAAAAATATTAAATGTTTCCCACCAAATGCATGCCTTAACAAAGAGTGTACTAAAATGTCAAGCAAATGCAATGAGTAGTTGCTAAGAAAACTACAACAAAATTGGTTGGTATGAAACGGACAGACACACAGGTGGACTGGAAGTTGACATTGAATTTGAACAAAAATAAATTCCACCATATGGCATGCCTAAGAGAAGTTTGTTTTAAAATTTCAAGCATTAGCAATGAGTAGTTGCTGAGCAAACAATGAAAAGAATTCGTTTTGTATGAAATGGACAGACACAAGGATATTTAAAACAGGAAGTTGACATCGGATCTAAACAGCAATGAATTCCACCATATGCATGCTTCAGAGGAGATGTGATAAAATTTCAAGCAACTGCAATTAGAAGTTGCTGAGAAAACTGCAACCACAAATACTTTATGTTTACTTAAAATAGTAGGCTTCATATTTAGCTGCTTGGGCGCAGACGAGTATGCATGGAAGATGGACAAGAAAAACTCTATAAGCCCCAGCCATTATCAGAACAGGGCATAAACATAGGTAATCAGAGATTACAGAGCTCACCTCAACTTGTGTTGTCTTTAAGTAAGACAAATTAAATCACACAATCAACCAACAAAAAGTATACATCCAAAAATGTAAAATTTATGCAAATTTGATAAATTTGGAATAGACCTATATAAAAACTAAATACTAGTTCTTCATCATGAAAATGTAATTAAAATCCAGCATCTGAAGCAAGATTGAAAGTTTTCATCCCTTGATGCATCATTTGTGCAACTTGTTTATATAAGCCTTATAGTTTCTTGGTGATAGACTTGCACCCATAACTTTTACGAGGTCTATTATCTGGAAAATGTATGTCGAATTCAGCATCTGAAGCAAGTCCATTAGTGTGCATCCTAAGATGTATCATCCATGCAAGTTTGGTCAACATAGGGCTTAAAGTTACTTGCAAATGAAACCTGTATAAAAAAATTAACCTTTCCACTAATCCAGAAAATGTAGGTAAGATTCAGCATCCGAAGCCAGCCTAGTATAATGCACCCTTAGATGTACCATCCATGCAAGTTTGGTCATTATAGGGCTCAAAGTTACTTGGAAATGAATCCTGCACCATGAACTTTAACCTGTTTACTCGTCCAGAAAATGTAAGTCAGATTCAGCATCCGAAGCAAGTCTGGTAGTTTCATCCTAAGATGTACCATCCATGCAATTTAGTCATTATAGGATTCATAGTACTGTACCTTGGAAATGAAACCTGCACCCAAAAACTTTAACCTGTTCACTCAACCGGAAAATGTAGGTCAGATTCAGCATCCGAAGCAAGTCTAGTAGATTACATCATAAGATGTACCATCCATGCAAGTTTGGTCATTATAGGGCTCAACGTATATTGGAAATGAAACCTTCACCAAAAACTTTAACCTGTTCACTCAACCGGAAAATGTAGGTCAGATTCAGCATCCGAAGCAAGGCTGGTAGCATGCATCCTAAGATGTATCATCCATTTAAGTTTGGTCATTATATGTCTCATAGTAACTTGGAAATGAAACCTGCACCAAAAACTTTAACCTGTTCACTCAACCAGAAAATGTAGGTCAGATTCAGCATCCGAAGCAAGTTTAGTAGAATACATCTTAAGATGTACCATCCATGCAAGTTTGGTCATTATAGGGCTCAAAGTATCTTCAAAATGAAACCATCACCAAAAACTTTAACCTGTTCACTCAACCGGAAAATGTAGGTCAGATTCAGCATCTGAAGCAAGGCTGGTAGTATGCATCCTAAGATGTATAATCCATGTAAGTTTGGTCAACATTGGGCTTATAGTTACTCGGAAATGATACCTACACCAAAAACTGCACCAAAAATGTTAACCTGCACCAAAAACATTAACCTGGTCATTCCTTTGCTGAAATTGCAGCATCTGAAACTTTGACTCGTACAATGAAACACACTAGCAACATCTTCCATGCATGTCTAATCAATATAGGACATAAAAGTACTTAAAAAGAAAACTGCTCCAAAAAACTTAACCTTAACCCGGGACGCCGACGCCGACACCGACGCCAACGCCGAGGGTATCACATAAGCTCCCCCAAACTTTGTTGAGGTGAGCTAAAAATGCAATAAGTTTGGTGAACAACAAATCTGGATTCACCAGTTTTAACGCTGCTAGTATCTCACACATTACCTTTTTGTATCCCAGAGTCTCCTTCAGGGGTTACATTCTCTCCCTCAGAAGATGCCTGCTTAGTTGGAACGTCTGGAGCAGGAAGCCTCTTGCCAGATGAAGTTTGTGAAGATTCAGATTTAGGTTTTCTTTCTGGTTGTGTTGGGACTACATTCTCACCTCTTCTTGCCATTTCTTCATGAGCTACAATGAGGTTTTGCAAATTAGTAACTTATGACATTCTGAGCAAGAGGCCCAAGGGCTTTTAACTCTCAGTAATAAAGGGTTCATAAAAGTATCATCAAAATAAAATATAAACTGATAGATAAAGCACTAACTTGTGGAAATTGAGGTCAAAATCCAAAGAAAGGTCAAACAAGAAGTCTGTGAGCCAATGCTCACTAGTAATACCCCCACTCTGATGTCAATAATACACATCATGTTAATATACACACAACTTCAGTTATAGGCAGATGCACAGATAAATAGGAATTTGACTTTACATTCATATAAAGTAAGTCCCACCATTAAGCATGCCTCAACAAAGTATGTGAAAAAATTTCAAGCATCTATGTTGAGTAGTTGCTATGAAAAAGGCAACAAAATTTATTATATGTATGCTACGGACAGACACATGAATAAACAGGAAGTTGACATCAGAAGTAAAAATATTAAATGTTTCCCACCAAATGCATGCCTTAACAAAGAGTGTACTAAAATGTCAAGCAAATGCAATGAGTAGTTGCTAAGAAAACTACAACAAAATTGGTTGGTATGAAACGGACAGACACACAGGTGGACTGGAAGTTGACATTGAATTTGAACAAAAATAAATTCCACCATATGGCATGCCTAAGAGAAGTTTGTTTTAAAATTTCAAGCATTAGCAATGAGTAGTTGCTGAGCAAACAATGAAAAGAATTCGTTTTGTTTGAAATGGACAGACACAAGGATATTTAAAACAGGAAGTTGACATCGGATCTAAACAGCAATGAATTCCACCATATGCATGCTTCAGAGGAGATGTGATAAAATTTCAAGCAACTGCAATTAGAAGTTGCTGAGAAAACTGCAACCACAAATACTTTATGTTTACTTAAAATAGTAGGCTTCATATTTAGCTGCTTGGGCGCAGACGAGTATGCATGGAAGATGGACAAGAAAAACTCTATAAGCCCCAGCCATTATCAGAACAGGGCATAAACATAGGTAATCAGAGATTACAGAGCTCACCTCAACTTGTGTTGTCTTTAAGTAAGGCAAATTAAATCACACAATCAACCAACAAAAAGTATACATCCAAAAATGTAAAATTTATGCAAATTTGATAAATTTGGAATAGACCTATATAAAAACTAAATACTAGTTCTTCATCATGAAAATGTAATTAAAATCCAGCATCTGAAGCAAGATTGAAAGTTTTCATCCCTTGATGCATCATTTGTGCAACTTGTTTATATAAGCCTTATAGTTTCTTGGTGATAGACTTGCACCCATAACTTTTACGAGGTCTATTATCTGGAAAATGTATGTCGAATTCAGCATCTGAAGCAAGTCCATTAGTGTGCATCCTAAGATGTATCATCCATGCAAGTTTGGTCAACATAGGGCTTAAAGTTACTTGCAAATGAAACCTGTATAAAAAAATTAACCTTTCCACTAATCCAGAAAATGTAGGTAAGATTCAGCATCCGAAGCCAGCCTAGTATAATGCACCCTTAGATGTACCATCCATGCAAGTTTGGTCATTATAGGGCTCAAAGTTACTTGGAAATGAATCCTGCACCATGAACTTTAACCTGTTTACTCGTCCAGAAAATGTAAGTCAGATTCAGCATCCGAAGCAAGTCTGGTAGTTTCATCCTAAGATGTACCATCCATGCAATTTAGTCATTATAGGATTCATAGTACTGTACCTTGGAAATGAAACCTGCACCCAAAAACTTTAACCTGTTCACTCAACCGGAAAATGTAGGTCAGATTCAGCATCCGAAGCAAGTCTAGTAGATTACATCATAAGATGTACCATCCATGCAAGTTTGGTCATTATAGGGCTCAACGTATATTGGAAATAAAACCTTCACCAAAAACTTTAACCTGTTCACTCAACCGGAAAATGTAGGTCAGATTCAGCATCTGAAGCAAGGCTGGTAGTATGCATCCTAAGATGTATAATCCATGTAAGTTTGGTCAACATTGGGCTTATAGTTACTCGGAAATGATACCTACACCAAAAACTGCACCAAAAATGTTAACCTGCACCAAAAACATTAACCTGGTCATTCCTTTGCTGAAATTGCAGCATCTGAAACTTTGACTCGTACAATGAAACACACTAGCAACATCTTCCATGCATGTCTAATCAATATAGGACATAAAAGTACTTAAAAAGAAAACTGCTCCAAAAAACTTAACCTTAACCCGGGACGCCGACGCCGACACCGACGCCAACGCCGAGGGTATCACATAAGCTCCCCCAAACTTTGTTGAGGTGAGCTAAAAATGCAATAAGTTTGGTGAACAACAAATCTGGATTCACCAGTTTTAACGCTGCTAGTATCTCACACATTACCTTTTTGTATCCCAGAGTCTCCTTCAGGGGTTACATTCTCTCCCTCAGAAGATGCCTGCTTAGTTGGAACGTCTGGAGCAGGAAGCCTCTTGCCAGATGAAGTTTGTGAAGATTCAGATTTAGGTTTTCTTTCTGGTTGTGTTGGGACTACATTCTCACCTCTTCTTGCCTTTTCTTCATGAGCTACAATGAGGTTTTGCAAATAAGTAACTTATGACATTCTGAGCAAGAGGCCCAAGGGCTTTTAACTCTCAGTAATAAAGGGTTCATAAAAGTATCATCAAAATAAAATATAAACTGATAGATAAAGCACTAACTTGTGGAAATTGAGGTCAAAATCCAAAGAAAGGTCAAACAAGAAGTCTGTGAGCCAATGCTCACTAGTAATACCCCCACTCTGATGTCAATAATACACATCATGTTAATATACACACAACTTCAGTTATAGGCAGATGCACAGATAAATAGGAATTTGACTTTACATTCATATAAAGTAAGTCCCACCATTAAGCATGCCTCAACAAAGTATGTGAAAAAATTTCAAGCATCTATGTTGAGTAGTTGCTATGAAAAAGGCAACAAAATTTATTGTTATGTATGCTACGGACAGACACAGGAATAAACAGGAAGTTGACATCAGAAGTAAAAATATTAAATGTTTCCCACCAAATGCATGCCTTAACAATGAGTGTACTAAAATGGCAAGCAAATGCAATGAGTAGTTGCTAAGAAAACTAAAACAAAATTGGTTGGTATGAAACGGACAGACACAAGGCAGACAGGAAGTTGACATGGAATTTGCAAAAATAAATTCCACCATATGGCATGCCTAAGAGAAGTTTGTTTTAAAATTTCAAGCATTTGCCATGAGTAATTGCTGAGAAAACTGCAACAAAAATTTGTTTTGTATGAAACGAACAGATGCACAGGAAGTTGACATAGGATTTAAACACAAATGAATCCAATCATATGGCATGCTTCAGAGAAGATTGGTTTCAAATTTCAAGCATCTGCAATGATAATTTCCAGAGGAAACTGTGACCAAAAATACAAGGGTTGATCCAAAAGTTTGTGGAATTTCTTCATATATTATTTATTTTTAAATAAAATTGGTTGAAAGTTACTAAAGTGACTAAAAACACTTGTTGAATATTTTAAGTAAAAAAACATTTTAGATATTTATGATAGTAACTCTATGGCAGTTGCCATAGAAATGGTTGTTTGGAAATGCGGGGTGAGACATTAACTCATTTATTATCTTTTTAATTCTTTTAAATACGTAAAATGAGAATGAAACCGCCCTTTGTGGTACATAATATTATGTCATTATTACGATTGTTTGATCTTTTACACACCTTTGTGTTAGAGTTTAACTAATTTTAATGGATATTTAGTATATAAGTTGGTGATTTATCGTTCACCTTTAAGTTGTTGGACAACGTCAAATTTCGGTCAAGACAAAAGTTTTGTAAAAATCCCAGGATAATTCTATATAATTTAAGAAAACTAGAACTTCCATGGACGTTGATTAAAGGTGTGGTCGCATTTTGGAGGCTCTATTTTAAGTGTTTATCCCCTTAGATAAATTAAGTCCGTGTAATGGACGTTGTCGGCTGACGTACTGTTCTTGACATTGCTACTGAAATTGGATCATCATATAAAAAGATTGGGAGTATTTTGAAATATGAGTGAAAAATGAAGATAAGTTGGTGCGAGAGGATACTTGCAGGTTTTTCTTTAGAAACAAGAGGCCCATGGGCCACATCGTTCACCTGAGCACTGTGGCAAGGAAAAAGTAGAAATTGGTTTATTATTGAAGAGTTTAAATCCAAAAGTAGTCCCATTACCAATCATGGTTTGCTAATCTTGAGATGACTTTTAATGAATTTTCCTGTATATTTCTATGTTAAACTTTGATCGGCCATTGTCATTGATCGGCCCCCGGGGTCATGATTTGAACAAACTTGAATCTACACTACCTGAGGATGCTTCCATATAAATATGATCAATTATGGCTTTGTTATTCTTGACAAGCAGATTTTTAAAGAATTTTTGTATATACATGTATTTCTATGTAAAACTTTGGTCGGCCATTGTGGTCCCACCCTACCCCTGGGTGTGAGGATTGGAACAAACTTAAATCTACACTACCTGAGGATGCTTCCATATAAATATGATCAATTGTGGCTTTGTTATTCTTGACAAGAAGATTTTTAAAGAATTTTCATATGTATTTCTACGTAAAAATTTGGTCGGCCATTGTGGCCCGGCCCTACCCCAGGGGGTCATAATTTGAACAAACTTGAATCCCCTTTACCCAAGAATGCTTTGTGGCAAATTTTGTTGAAATTGGTCCAGGGGTTCTTGAGAAGAAGTTGAAAATGTGAAAAGTTTACAGACAGACAGATGGACAGAATGACAGCTAGACAGAGGTAAGCCTGACAAAATGTGATCAGAAAAGCTCACTTCAGCCTTTGGCTCAGGTGAGCTAAAAACTGGAGAAAGGACAGCATTTTGTAGACTTACGTATTTGAATTGGAATAAGAGTGAGATGCTTGTATAACATGACGTGACATATCAAACTTGACGTAACGTCCAAGTCTCCCCCAGATTTTACAACAATCCATTTTCAGAAAGCTTGTATGACCTCATAGGTAATTGAAAAGTTGTGAAAGAATTAAGTACGTTAGTTATTATACGGAGGTCCATTTTTTTCCGTAATATGATATACAGGTTTGCCAAAATTTTAAAACTATATGCATGTACTAGAAGATTGGTAGTTTTAGAATATGCGAAGCAAAATTTACACACTCTGTCATTTAGACCTATAGACCACGTTTCAAGATCCGTTTTTTCCGGATATTGCTAGTTTTTCCACTATTTTCGACAAATATTTCTAAAATTGAAGTAGTGCACACCCCTCGAGCAAAATAAAACACGTATATTTCAAAACATTTTGATGAAAGACGGATGAAAACAGGTATAAGATTTTGATCGAGGAATGTGCAGTATGTTTATTTTGACTTTACAGTACTATTTCTGGTGGCAGATTGAAAGTGCATTGAGAGGTGTATTTTTATCTATGTGAAATTATATGACCATAGTTCATACAAAATGTTAATAAATAAATAATCCATGCATCGGCAATAATTTATTTTTCATTTTAGTCTATTTGTCAAGAAAAATAGCATACAAAGAAGAAGTCTCAATAAGCCATTATCTGTGGTCCCCGGTTACTTGTCAAATTTTGAACTTTCATTAAGAAGCTTAAAAAGTAAATTACATTGTTCTCTTATGTCTGTAGTATATGCTCCAACGTTTAAAAATTTCAAGTAATTGCAAAAAAGAACAAGCGAAGCTGTGTTTTGAAGGTGGGGTCCTTTGATTTTCATGAATATCAAAAGAAATTTGTGACAGGTACCCACTGCACGACTTTCGTAAACATCGAGCGCAGCTTTGTTCAAAGTCGACATCAAAATATAATGTGTATATTATATTTATACAGATTGTGTAAAAATATCTTTGTTGAACAACATTGCGCTCTATGTCTTCTACTTAAATGTATCATGATTTTGTATCTGTTTGGTGAGTACATTTACATAGGATTAACCTCTTGTTGACCTGCTGAGAAGAGATAATATGTCACGTGATTCCATTCAGCCACAGGTGAATACCTTTGGAAAGCGTGTTTTCTATAGGAAGCGACACATGTAGCTCGTATTTGAAAAGTGCAGACACCAGCTTTCATTTTTTTAAATAAAATAAAAAAGCTCTCTATAGACTTCGATGAATATCACTTATGTTAAACTTTGACGATTTTCCGGGACATTTTTTTAATTCTCATGCACGTAATCGCAATATTCCTGTTCATTGCGAAAAGCACACGTGTAGATGTATATAAATACATATTAAATCAATTTCTTGCGAAAAAGAAAAGCAGAAAATACCAAAGACGTAATAATTTCTTCACATTTAATCAGTCTCAACAAATGCACTCACATACTGACCACTTCAATATTCAAAGCAACTTCATACTCTTGTCACGTTTTTGGATGCTAGCTGCATGCATATAAAATTTTATATAAACTCGGAAAAACTCAAAATGTATTTATAATCGATAAGTAAATCGGAATATTGCAGAATTTACAGCGAAGTTAAGAAATATATATACATGTCAGGCAGGTAGTATCTGGGGAAGGGGTGACCCATTCTTTTCAGGGATAAATCTTGAGTTCTTCACCCCCCCCCCCCAAAAAATAATAACAAACTTTCATACGCCTTTACGCTGTTACAATATGAATAAACACACATTAATGTTAATGTTTAATTTTTCAAATAAAAAATGAGTTTTTTTAAACACCTAATTCTACATTAATCGTTTTCAAGTTTGGAGAAGAATTTCCTCGATCTTTTTCTTTTGCTTTATCAAATTCATGTTTCTTGTTTTCTTTTCTAAGCCTCCCCCCTGAATGGGAGTGTATGTCTGTGTGTATTTACCGTTCATTATTATGCAATCGCTTGTGCTTTTCAAACAATCACATAAAAGAAAATTATTGTAGTGAGTAAAATATCTTGACATTTTATTCAACAATGATAGATTTAAAAAAATTATTGTGATTAGGGGGCTTTTCAAAACCCCGACAAAAATACCTCAAGAACTAAAAAAGACTGCTACCCACCCTAAGTTCAGAAGAATACGATTGATACAAAATAAAATTCAAACGTATTGAAGATTATTATTACCCATCGTATATTGTTTATTATTTCTTATCTCACGCTACAATTCATCGGTGTTTTCCTTTATATAATACCTAATTTAAATGTCTCCGCCCATTTGTATGTAATAGAGGAACCGTACTCTGTTCGAAAGAAAATGTTCCGGAATTTGTGTGTTCAGTAGGTTTGAAAATCGGCTTGTATTTCTTTATATTCCAAGTTATTAATAATGATTGTACAAAATGTTAATTAGAAATACTTTGTTATACACAATGAAACTAAAAATAATACCGTATCCTCATGTATATTCTGTAAAATAAGGGCAAAAAAGGGACCACGCTGCTATACTTAAGTGGAAAACTCCTTTGAAAATACAAAAGACAGATGACGATGGGTCCTGCATCGGACAAATATTTCCAAAAAGGATAAAGAATTAACCAATGAAAACGCTAAATTAAAAGAATAATCAATTGATTAATCTTTTAAGCACAGAAGAAGAAAACGGGTTTGTATTTTATGCCAAAGGTATAATTTTATTTAAAAAGAAACTAAGAAAGTTCATATACATGTAGCAACCGTCAACAGATGTGAACAAATTACGTAATAATGACAAATATGACGTCACAATAGATCCCGTTTGATTTTCTTATGATTTATTTATTTTTTATTCAAAACACTTATAATATAAAATTCTTTGCAAAATCTGTTCAAGTTAATCAATATTCTGAGGCCATATATTGTTGCATTCTTATATAAACACACATGTATATACGTTACGGATGAATTTTAAAATATATCCTTCCCACAGTCAGATGGTTAATATTAAAAAAAAAACAGATACTCTGAAAACGTTGATCAATATTTAATCTCATGCTCTATTTTTGTTCAGAAATATACAAAAAGAGATTTAAAAAAGTGTTACATGTACATATAACAGGCACGTAGCATCGTTTTTGAAAACGGGGGGGGGGGGGGGGGGGCTTTTATTTCCAGTTGAGTAAAAAACTGGCTGCCCCAGCCAGAGAATTTTTTTACTCAACTGGAAAAGTTGACGAGCCAAAAACATAGGCATTTCCAAAACTCGAAATTCCTCTTTTGTGGGGGGTGGGGGTAGCGGCAAATTTTTTCAGGTGCCGAGTTCCTTCAGTACTAATTTTAGCATACAATACCACATTTCCCTTACATCGCATTACCATAGTAAAAGCTTGGGGCCGACCAGCTTTTCAATACACAAATTCAATAGTAAAAATTAAAGTTTGGAAATAAAAGCCCCCCCATTGCTACATGTACGTGGCTGTATAAATCTGAAAGAATTTAATCCCGCATTGAAATTTTAACGCATTATTATGTCAATGGAATATTATTAATAATAATATATTGATGTTATACATCTCTCGATTTTCACTCATATGAAGACGCCACCATTTGCCATGAAGAGCAATTCTGGTTAAAATCAGATTTCTTTTTCGCTCCGAAACTCTGGGGTGTTGCTAAAACGCAGAACTGAAAGCTGAAAATATTACTTTAGATTATATCATTTACAATATATAAAATTCTCAGAAACCATATATTTTATGCATTTTTAATTCCTCCTTAATGAATACAAGTTTATTTAACCATTTTAAGTTTGTCAACAGACGGAAAATGTTGAAGGTTTCAATGATCATTTCTACAGTATAAAGTTTATGTGAATTACAGTGTATGTCTGAAAAACATTGGGGGGGGGGGCAATATTTGTTATCTTAATGAATCATGGTAATTGGTAAGAAAAATAAAATGTATGAAAATATCTTCTATAATAAAATTACTATTAGAGCACCCCGGATAAACACCTCGATTGTAAAACTGGTAGTTCAATTTTTATACTAAATAGAGTCGCTTCCTATCAATAAAATTAAAATCCTGGATACATACTGTAGATGGAGTTGTAAATCTAAATTGTTGTTAAACTAATATATCGTTCTTACGATGGATGAAGTTTAATGTGTATGTGTGTGTAGGGGGGGGGGGGGGGGGGAGTGAATGACTTCGTAAAACATTTAGAGATTGTTTTTCCGCTTAGTTCTGATACCTTGCAATTTAAGAAAAAAATTAATCATGCTTAGTATTAAATTCCTTTGCAAGATATGTTTTCTTATGATGCAGCTATATTATATATATGAATTTCTCAATATGCATATCATATACCACTCATGGATTTAGCGGGGAGCAAGACCAACCCTGTCCTTTATGTGACCAATATATTTGTGTGACTGAGGGCACTCTGACCCCAAACTGCCCCCTCCCTTTTCAAGATTCCCGGATTCGCATATGCATTCATAATGCATATGTCAAAACTAGTTCTTTAAGTTTTTGTCTATACCGATACACGTATTTATACACACCAGTAGTTTTTTTTCCTTCCGCCTATTTCAAAACAATTTAGATTTTTTTGTTTATAAATGAACATTCTTAAAAAATGATTCGAACAAAACATTTGACAGATGGATACTAGTTAGTACATGTATAACACAGGATTATTTCATTGACCATCGCATGTACATGTTATGAGGGATGTATGATTAACGAATATATCATATTATACTTTAATTTTTCCGTTCTGCGTTTTAGCAACACCCGAAATTCTGATAGTTGCAAGCAATCTCTCACCAGAGGGCGCGCTCCGCTTACACTGGAGCGGAGCGTAAAAACGCCTTCTGGTGAGAGATTGAGTCGCAAGGTGTAAAGCAACTATAAGAATTTCGGAGCATAATAAAGATCTGAAATAGACATTGAACGCAAGTCGTTAAAGATACCAAGGTTAGATATATTTGCATTTAGTAAACATAATGGCAGATCAGTCTGCAATTCAAGAATGTGCATCACATGTGATCCAAGAAAAGGGGAGGTCGGTTTCGGGTAGGGGGCTACTTGCCATGATTCAAAAATGCTGAAAATCGTATCGTAAATGTCGATTAATGATTTCAAGCGACTTGTCAGAAGGGAAATTTTCAATGCTAATTACTACCAAAAAAGAATCGTAGCTCCTTTGAATGTTTTTCATATCCTGATGTTCTTTTTTTTTGTTTTGTTATTAAAGTTGAAAAAAAATATGTTCACGTATGCATAATGTATTCTCAAAAAGTAAAGGCCGAAACTGAAAATTGTGTTTTGTTAATTTGTATACATGGTATCAACAAACTTTAAATTAAGATAGCCGTCTTTATCATAAAAACCATCATATTAATGCACAACAATATCGTATGCAGTTAATTCATACATGTATAATATATGCCCTCGTGTTTATTTTCTATTTACAAACTTTCACTGTATAGACACACACACACAAATTGAATAAAAGAAAGATATCGTTAATTCAAAATTTTAAGATTTAATCGTGATCAAAAAATTGGAATAATGGACTTCAAGCTAAATATCATGTTCCTTTGACTTTCTTGATGAATCGTTTTCTCCGAAAAACTAGCAAAATCAATGACCAACGAAATTTCCAGTAAAGTCCAATATTTTTTAAATTCAGCGAAATTTAAACTCTCTCTCCACATTTAAAGAATAGCTCAAAAAGGAAACAGAAGAGTAAGCAAGAACTTTTTTCAGTTCAAAATTTATTCTTCTTTTACTCTGTATCGGGAATAAAACACTTAAAATCCGAAAACGTCAAGTTGACGTCATAACGTCATTGCATTATTTTCTTACGAAAACTACCTATATTTAAAGAGCTCTCTCGGAGAAATGGTTTGAGATAAAAGCAAAAATTAAAATGACTTAGGAAGTGTTTAACCTAGATATGTTTCAAGAACAATTTAATAAAAATTTGGGTCTGGGCGGATTTTTTGCTCATACCGTACTTTCTTCTTTACCAGTATTGTTGCATTATGACTCTTAAGAAATGAGGAATCATTTTTTGAGTTTTATTGGGATGTAAAACGGGTTGGTCATGTTATCAAATCCTATAAAGCCCAAAGCTTTATGGAAGATTTGATCATGTGCCATGGGGTCAAGATTTGAAAAAACTTGAATCTACACTACCTGAAGATGCATCCATTTAAGTTTCATCTTTCCTGGCACAGTGGTTCTTGAAAAGAAGATTTTTAAAACATACAATCATATTTTCACTTTTTCTCAATTATCTCCACTTAAATAAGGGTGATCCTTATTTTGAAAAAAAACTTCAATTCCCTTAAACTAAGAATACTTTGTGCCAAGTTTGGTTGAAATTGGCTGAATGGTTCCTGAGATGAAGTCGAAAATGTGAAAAGTTAACGACAACGACAGACAACAGACAAATTTTGATCAAAAAAGCTTACTCGAGTCTTTGGCTCAGGTGAGGTAAAAATGCAATAAGTTTGGTGAACAACAAATCTGGATTCACCAGTTTTAACGCTGCTAGTACCTCACACATTACCTTTTTGTATCCCAGAGTCTCCTTCAGGGGTTACATTCTCTCCCTCAGAAGATGCCTGCTTAGTTGGAATGTCTGGAGCAGGAAGCTTCCTGCCAGATGAAGTTCGGGAAGGTTCAGATTTAGGTTTTTTTGCTGGTTGTGTTGGGGCTACATTCTCATCTTTTCTTGCCATTTCTTCATTATCTACAAAGAGGTTCTGCAAATTAGTAACTTATGGCATTCTGATAAGCAAGAGGCCTGATAGTAAACTATAAAGGGTTCAAATAAGTATAAATCAAAATAAAATATTATACATATATTACATGGCTTCGAGGGCAGCATACCAGAATATTTGCCCCTCGGTGACAGGAAAGCCCTGGAGTGTTATGTTGCCCTCTGCCTGCGGCACTGGGCGACATAACACTCCAGGGCTTTCCTGTCACCGAGGGGCAAATATTCTGGTATTGCTGCCCGAGAATTAAGCCATGTAATTTATGGTATATAACATGTTTAAGCATTGAACCCAAATTGATCATCGAACATATTTATTGAACACTATGCTCACATATGTACATTGAGTATAATTCCAAAATATCCCATCCTGTTTCATGGCAGAATGTTTTCAGTATGCTGACACTTGTGTTGATAACCTTTGTTGTATATAAAGAATTTTTCTCCTCAATTAAATTATCTAATTCCTCTGAATTCAAATAAACAAATCGCAGACGTTGTTTCAACATTTTACCTTTCGCGGAGCTGTTTACGTTTGCTTAGCAATTGCCTCTGTGAATTTCGAACCCGAAACAATTAATACCGTATAAGTGGAAATTTTAGCGAGGATTTAATTTTGGCATTATTAGCGAGGTCGCCGAGATCGCTAAAATTGAATATCGCTAAAATTTATTGCATTTTATTTGTTATAGCTTCTTTAATGTGCAATTTAAAATTGCAAAAATAACATCTCGCTAAAAATAAATTACCAATTTTTAAGGACAAATCGCTAAATTTGCGTCTCGCTAAAAATTCCACTTATACGGTATGCAGCATGATTGCACGCGAAGGAACATAACTGTGTTCGGTAGGGCAACATAACTGTTTCCGGTGGAACATAACTGTATCCGGCGTGATTCGGCAGTTTTTCAGGGCATATGGATAACCAGAAGTCTCTGTTGAGACTGTAGCTCTACTGGTTTGTACTTATAACAAAGGATGAGAAAAGAAGCCATTGCCATCAGACCAAAACTGTAGGATGACTAGCGTTTTTTAAGGAATTTAAAAGAAAATTCGATTTTGAGTAACCATGACAACATCGTTCATCGAAATTAAAATCCAATGCATTATTTTATGTATCTTAGTGTAGTCTACTTGTGTGCCTAATAATATTAAAATCAAATCAAAACTGTAGGAGGAGTAGTGTTTTAAAGAATTTCAAAGAAAATTCTATTTTTAGTATACATGGCAACACCGTTCATCCAAATCAAAAACCAATGCACTATTTTATGTATCTTAGTGTAGTCTACTTGTGTGCCAAGTTATATTGAAATCAGACCTAAAATGTAGGAGGAGTAGCGTTTTAAAGGAATTTCACAGAAAATTATATTTTTAGTTACCATGGCAACACTGTTCATCGAAATCAAAAATCGATGCACTATTTTATGTATCTTGGTGTAGTCTACTTGTGTGCCAAGTAATATTGAAATCAGACCAAAACTGTAGGATATCTGGCGTTTTTAAGGAATTTCACAGAAAATTCTATTTTTAGTAACCATGGCAACACCGTTCATCGAAATCAAAATTCGATGCACTATCTTATGTATCTTAGTGTAGTCTACTTGTGTGCCAAGTTATATTGAAATCAGACCTAAAATGTAGGAGGAGTAGCGTTTTAAAGGAATTTCACAGAAAATTATATTTTTAGTTACCATGGCAACACTGTTCATCGAAATCAAAAATCGATGCACTATTTTATGTATCTTGGTGTAGTCTACTTGTGTGCCAAGTAATATTGAAATCAGACCAAAACTGTAGGATATCTGGCATTTTAAAGGAATTTCACAGAAAATTATATTTTTAGTTACCATGGCAACACTGTTCATCGAAATCAAAAATCGATGCACTATTTTATGTATCTTGGTGTAGTCTACTTGTGTGCCAAGTAATATTGAAATCAGACCAAAACTGTAGGATATCTGGCGTTTTTAAGGAATTTCACAGAAAATTCTATTTTTAGTAACCATGGCAACACCGTTCATTGAAATCAAAAACCAATGCACTATTTTATGTATCTTAGTGTATTCTACTTGTGTGCCAAGTAATATTGAAATCAAATCAAAACTTTAGGAGGAATAGCGTTTTAAAGGAATTTCACAGAAAATTCTATTTTTAGTAACCATGGCAACACCATTCATCAAAATCAAAAATCGATGCACTATTTTATGTATCTTAGTGTAGTCTACTTGTGTGGCAAGTTAAATTGAAATCAGACCTTAAATGTAGGAGGAGTAGCGTTTTAAAGGAATTTCACTGAGAATTCTATTTTTAGTAACCATGGCAACATCATTCATCAAAATCAAAAACTGATGCACTATTTTATGTATCTTAGTGAAGTCTACTTGTGTGCCAAGTTATATCGAAATAAGACCTAAAATGTAGGAGGAGTAGCGTTTTAAAGGAATTTCACAGAAAATTCTATTTTTAGTAACCATGGCAACACCGTTCATTGAAATCAAAAACCGATGTACTATCTTATGTATCTTAGTGTAGTCTACTTGTGTGCCAAGTAATATCGAAATCAGACCTAAACTGTAGGAGGAGTAGCATTTTAAAGGAATTTCACAGAAAATTCAATTTTTAGTAACCATGGCAACACTGTTCATTGAAATCAATAACCGATGTACTATTTTATGTATCTTAGTGTAGTCTACTTGTGTGCCAAGTAATATTGAAATCAGACCAAAACTGTAGGAGGAGTAGCGTTTTAAAGGAATTTCACAGAAAATTCTATTTTTAGTAACCATGGCAACACCATTCATTGAAATCAAAAACAGATGCACTTTTTTATGTATCTTAGTGTTGTTTACTTGTGTGCCAAGTTATACTGAAATCAGACGAAAACTGTAGGAGGAGTAGCGTTTTGGAAAATTGTTTACAGACAGACGGACAGACAGACAGACAGAAGGACGGACAACGGACACCTTACTATCGCATAAGCTCTTCTGGTCTCTGACCAGTAGAGCTAAAAATATTATATTTGTAATATAATGGGAAAACTTCTTCAAAAATGTTATATAAAATGATAGATAAAGCACTAACTTGTGGAGATTGAGGGCAAAATCCAAAGAAAGGTCATGGTCAAACAAGAAGTCTACAAGAAGTCTACCCACTCTGATGTCAATATACACATCATGTTAACATATACACAAGTTCAGTGACAGGCAGATGCACAGATAAATAGCAAAGTGACATCACATTCATATAAAGTAAAGTAATGCCCAGCATGCCTCAACAAAGTAAGTGATAAAATTTCAAGCATCTATATTGAGTATTTACTGACAAAACTGCAACAAAAACTATTGTTATGTATGCTACGGACAGACATAGGGATAAACAGGAAGTTGACATCAGAAGTGAACATATAAATGTTTCCCACCAAATGCATGCCTTAACAAAGATTATTAAATGATAAGGAATTTTGGTGCTCTCTGATTGGTCTAGACGCCATTTACTGGTATGTACCTCAGAGTGAGTTCACCTCGTATGACGTTCTGGGAGGTTTATTCGGGTTTTCCCTCTCGACCAACCATAGATTTGCTTACAGCTTTTTCGACCAATCAGATTGCGTGTTTCAAAGCATGTGTCGGTGTGAATGTAAACATGTCAGACGCCAGTACCAAGGAGATTGCGAACTTTTGAAAGTAAATGGTTGAGTATTTATTAGGTCTTTCCACCTTTCTGTGGAAAGACCTATTGAAATTGTTCTGTTTATTATTAGGTCTTTCCACCTTTCTGTGGAAAGACCTATTGATTTCCTTCTGTTTCTTCTTTTCCTTATTAGGTCTTTCCACCTTTCTGTGGAAAGACCTATTGATATTCTTCTGTTTCTTTTTTTCCTTATTCTTTATTATTTTTCCGCCGTGTGATTTTTTGTTTAAAGATTTATCGAAAAGATTTTTATATCATTAGAATACACTTCGTAAAAGATTTTCGCAGTTGACCCTGCGTATAAGAACTTCGACCTCTTTCGGAGTTATTACCCCTTTCGCAAAAAAGCTTGTTATCGCTACTCCTCCGAAACCATAAACTGTAGAGAAATGAAACCTTCATTATTGTCTTTGACTAATTTAGTAGACACTCCAATGATTCATTGCGAAAGTATTCGTTAACCCTTCAATGAGTTATTGCCCCTGAAACTTTATGAATTTTAGGAATAATTATAAATTCTCGAAACGAGAAGTTGTAGAGACATGGGACCAACTGCATAAGATTCTTTGGCCTTTGACCTTAAAATTCATGTAAAGGTCAAAGGTCAAGGTCATTCCAAAAATGAGAAAATTAGCTCTTTTTATATATTTTTTGTCTTTCAACATATACTTTATGTCTATGCATCATTAATATGTACTCTTAAAACTGTTTCAAAGATTTCATTCTTGTCCCCTAAGATTGAACCTTCTAAAAGTTATTGCCCCTTGTGCGAAAAACCTTGTTATCGCTACTCCTCCGAAACTGTAGACCCTAGAGACACCAAACCTTCACTAATGTCTTAAGGGTCTTTAGACCTAACTTCACTGTATAAGTGCAAAAGAATTTGATGACCCCTTATATGAGTTATTGCCCTTTAACTTCTTTATACTTAATTTTGAACCTTGTATGTTGAAAACTATAAATGGTAGAAGCATGGGGTCAATTGCCTTGTGACCCTTGACCTTTGACCTTGAAAATTATGTCAAGGTCAAAGGTCAAGGTCATTCCAAAAATGAGAAATTAAGCTCTTTTTATATATTTTTTGTCTTTTAACATATGCAATCAGTCTTTGCATCATTAATATGTACTCTTAAGGTATTCAATCCCTAATGGGATTAAATTCAGTGAAATTGAATACATAACTGATATGTATGCATTGAATACTCAGTTTATTTAGACATATTTCCCATTTATTACTATTAGTATGTATAGTAGGATGTGTCCTAATTTATGACCTTGAGTTTTGGTGAGAGTTATCTCCCCTTTTTTTAATTAATAAAAAAATCAATTTAAAAAAATTTAGCCGGTAAAAAAATTGTTTTCAATTGCCATTCTATTTGTAATGTTTCAATGCATCTTTCCACCGCAGGATTTATTGATATTCAAATTATTTGAATTTTTATTTTGAAAAAATGTTTATCCCAATAGACTTCAATGCAATCTTTGTTAATTAACTACTGCTTAATTAATGACACATTAAAAACTTTCTCGCAGGCAATCCTTTTCCACTATAAAATGCTTTAATATTATATCAGTGTATTATCTACTTGACGGACATTAAAGGGTAGGGAATTAGGTCCCATTAGGGATGGAAATCCTTAAAACTATTTCAAAGATTTTATTCTTGTTCCCCTAGATTGACCCTATCAAAAGTTATTGCCCCTTATGCGAAAAACATTTATATTGCTACTACTTCAAAACCGTAGACCGTAGAGGCATGAAACCTTCACTAATACCTCAAGGGTCTTTAGGCACATTGTATAAGTACTAAAGGATCTAATCTTAATGACCCCTTATATGAGTTATTGCCCTTTAACTTCTTTGCACTTAATATTTAATCTTATAACTATAGAATTAAAAGTCGAAGAGGCATGGGGTCAATTGCAATGTGATCCTTGACCTTTGACCTTGAAGATCTGATCAAGGTCAAAGGTCAAGGTCATTTCAATTTTTAAAAAAAATTTTATTTTCTTTTTTTAAGCCATTTCCCTTAAAATTAAATTTGAGAGTAAAATATAAAACTATAAGAAATTTAAAAAGGTGGAAAGACCTCTTATTGTTCTGTGAACAATAAGTCTCCTAGTTTTTTATTATTTTTCCGCCGTGTGATTTTTTGTTTCAAGATTTATCGAAAAGATTTTTTATTCATAAGAATGTACTTTGTAAAAGATTTTCGCAGTTGACCCTGCGTATAAGAACTACAACCTCTTTCGGAGTTATTACCCCTTTCGCAAAAAAGCTTGTTATCGCTACTCCTTTGAAACCGTAAACCGTAGAGAAATGAAACCTTCACTAATGTCTTTGACTAATTTAGTAGACACTTCATTGATACATTGCAAAAGCATTCGGTGACCCCTTCAATGAGTTATTGCCCCTGAATCTTTTTGAATTTTACAAATAATTAAAATTTTTCAAAACGACAAGTCGTAGAGACATGGAACCAACTGCATAAGATCTAATGACCTTTGACCTTAAAATTCATATAAAGGTCAAAGGTCAAGGTCATTCCAAAACTGAGAAATTTAACTATTTTTATATCTCTTTTGTCTTTTAACATATACTTAATGTCTATGCATCATTAATATGTACTTTTAAAACTGTGTCAAAGATTTCAGTCTTGTCCCCTAATATTAACCCTTTTAAAAGTTATTGCCCCTTGTGCGAAAAACCTTGTTATCACTACTCCTCCAAAACCGTAGACTGTAGAGACACCAAACCTTCACTAATGTGTTAAGGGTCTTTAGGCCTAACTTCACTGTATAAAGGCGAAAGAATCTGATGACCCCTTATATGAGTTATTGCCCTTTAAGTTCTTTGTACTTACTATTAAATCTTATAACTTGAAAACTATAAGTCATAGAAGCATGGGGGCAACTGCATTGTGACCCTTGACCTTTGACCTTGAATATTTTTTCAAGGTCAAAGGTCAAGGTCATTCTTTTTTTTTTATTGAATTTTAACTTTTTTTATACTTTAAAAGAGTTCTGGTTTCTTTTTCATGGAATTAAATTTTTTGGAGTCAGGTATAAAATAAATTTAAAATTCAAAGAAGGTGGAAAGACCTCTTATTGTTCTGTGAACAATAAGTCTCCTAGTTATTCTTCTCATTTATTATTTTTCCGCCGCATGTTTTTTTGTTTGAAGATTTATCGAAAAGATTTATAGTCCATAAGAATGTACTCCGTAAAAGATTATTGCAGTTCACCCTGCATAAATGAATCTTGACCCCTTTCGAAGTTATTGCCCCTGTCACCAGAAATGTTTGTTATCGCTACTTCTCAGAAACTGTAAACCATAGAGGTATGAAACCTTCACCAATGTCTTCGACTAATTAAGGGGACTCTTCACTCTATTCATTGAGAAAGCATTTGGTGACCCCTTCAATGAGTTATTGCCCCTGAAACTTTTTGAATTTTACAAATAAATAAAAATTTTCAAAACAAGAAGTCGTAGAAACATGGGACCAACTGCATGAGATTCATTGACCTTTGACCTTAAAATTCATGCAAAGGTCAAAGGTCAAGGTCATTCCAAAAATGAGAAAATTAGCTCTTGTTGTATCTCTTTTGTCTTTCAACATATATTTAATGCTATGCATCATTAATATGTACTCTTTAAACTGTTTCCACGATTTTATTTTTGTCCCCTAAGATTAAACCTTTAAAAAGTTATTGCCCCTTGTGAGAAAAACCTTGTTATCGCTACTCCTCCGAAACTGTAGACCCTAGAGACACCAAACCTTCACTAATGTCTTAAGGGTCTTTAGGCCTAACTTCACTGTATAAGTGAAAAAGAATCAGATGACCCCTATATGAGTTATTGCCCTTATATCTTGAAAACTATAAATGGTAGAAGCATGGGGTTAATTGCAATATGACCCTTGACCTTTGACCTTGAAAAATTTTCTCAAGGTCAAAGGTCAAGGTCAACAAACAACAAAATTGAAATTCAAAGAAGGTGGAAAGACCTCTTATTGTTCTGTGAACAATAAGTCTCCTAGTTGTTTATTAATATTGTTTTTAACTTTTTAACTAATATTTGTTTAGCTGTTGAAGTATATCAACATGTAAAAATTGTAATTACGCTTTACATTATGGTTGTTTATATTTGATGGAGACAAGAATGACAGAGTCAGCAGTGTTGTAAAATTCCTCATCATTTAATAAAACGGTTATTGACTTTTGAAATCGGTCTTCGGCCTCGGTCAACCAATACCTGACCAGGTCTGTATAGTCAAGAGTAGACCTCATCAAAAGTGAATAATTGTATAGTGTACTAAAATGTCAAGCAAATGCAACGAGACAAACTGATGAACAGGAAGTTGACATAGGAAATGAATCCCAGGCTTCAGAGAAGATTGCATTCATATTTCAAGCATAAGTGATGAGAGGTTGCTGAGTAAACTGCGTCCACAAATACTCTATGTGTTCTTAAAATAGCAGGCTTCATATTTTAACTGGTATGGTGCAGACAAGTTAAATGGAAGATAGACATAACAAACTCTACAAAGGCCCAAGGGTCACATCGCTCACCTGAGCCCTGGCTATGTAAAATTAACAAGCAAAAATCAGTTAAGTATTGAAAAAACTAAATATTAAAGTGGGTTTAGGTGGAGTCATGATTTGAACAAACCTGAATCTACACCACATGAGTTTCATCTTTCTTGGCTCAGAGGTTCTTAAGAAGAAGATTTTTAAAGATATTCCCTATGTATTCCTATGTTGAACTTTGACCCCCCATTGTGGCCCCATCCTATCCCCGGGGTCATGTTTTGAACAAAACTTGAATCTACACTACCAGAGGATGCTTCCACATGAGTTTCATCTTTCTTGGCTCAGTGGTTCTGGAGAAGAAGATTTTTAAAACATGCCATTATTTTTTTATAAATTCATATTTATCTCCCCTTGGAAAAGGGCTTGGTCCTTCATTTTAATAAACTTGAATCCCCTTCACCCAAGGATACTTTGTGGCAAGTTTGATTGAATTTGGCCTAGTGGTTCTTGAGAAGAAGATGAAAATGTGAAAAGTTTATGACGCCAACAGCAACGAGAATGACAACAGAAAACGGACAAATTTTGAACAGAATAGTTCACTTGAGCCTTTGGCTCAGGTGAGCTAATAAGCCTCAGGCATATTCACGGCTGGGCTTAAAAAAAGCAACAAGTTTAGTGAACAACAAATCTGGATTCACCAGTTTTAACGCTGCTAGTATCTCACACATTACCTTTTTGTATCCCAGAGTCTCTTTCAGGGGTTACATTCTCTCCCTCAGAAGATGCCTGCTTAGTTGGAATGTCTGGAGCAGGAAGCTTCCTGCCAGATGAAGTTCGGGAAGGTTCAGATTTAGGTTTTCTTTCTGGTTGTGTTGGGACTACATTCTCATCTTTTCTTGCCATTTCTTCATGAGCTACAATGAGGTTTTGCAAATTAGTAAAATGCCGTTCTAATAAGCAAGAGGCTTGAGGGCCTTACACAGTCATCTATATATAAAGGGTTCATAAAAGTATCAATCAAAATAAAAATATAAAGTGATAGATAAAGCACTAATTTGTGGAAATCGAGGTCAAATTCAAGGAAAGGTCAAAATTGGCCCAGTGGTTCTTGAGAAGAAGTTGAAAATGTGAAAAGTTTACAGACGGACAGCTAGACAGATGGACGGAAGGATGACGGACAAAATGTGATCAGAAAAGAACACTTGTGCCTTCGGCTTAGGTGAGCTAAAAATGCAATAAGTTTGGCTGCTAGTATCTCACACATTACCTTTTTGTATCCCAGAGTCTCCTTCAGGGGTTACATTCTCTCCCTCAGAAGATGCCTGCTTAGTTGGAATGTCTGGAGCAGGAAGCTTCCTGCCAGATGAAGTTCGGGAAGGTTCAGATTTAGGTTTTCTTTCTGGTTGTGTTGGGACTACATTCTCATCATTTCTTGCCATTTCTTCATGAGCTACAAAGAGCTTCTGCAAATTAGTAACATGGCATTCTGATAAGCAAGAGCCCTGAGGGCCTTAACAGTCAACTATAAAGGGTTCATAAAAGTACATAATTAAAATAAAATATTAACTAATAGATGAAGCAATGTTAATGAAACAAGAAGAAAAACAAGATGAATAGGCTCAATAAAATATTGTTTGTGAACTTGAAAAAACGGGCTTTATAATTAACAGTTTTGACACAGACAATGATGTGCTAACTCATGAATACTGCAAATAAAACATTAATATAATACATGGTAAAAATATGTTGCAGTAATTTATGATTATACCAACAACTCCATACCCTGTGACTGCAATAAAATTTTGATACCCAAAACTATACACAACTTTTGTAAAGAAGTTTGTCCAGTACTTAGTACATGTATATATATTTAAAACCAGGGTTTACAATGGGTCCATTTTCTATTACATTGTTTCTTAGATTCAATGGTGTCTTGTCATTACAGTACTATGTACAGTCATGATTAGAAAAAGTGCCCAATATTCTAAAATTGTTCATTTCACAGGCTGTCCCTGGGTCCGAAGTTCTGGTGCTAATTATCTAACTTGAAACACAGGGAAGCTAAATTTAAAATAATTCATATAAAATTAATAAAATAATTTTATAAATTTAACAAAATATCACATTTGATTTTTGGAAAAATTAAATCAAGAGAAACAGAATATTTACTTAACAAAATTAAAAAAAAAATTCAAACTTGCATCTGTTGGTTGATGAATTGCTTTGCAGTGGTAAAACAGCCGTTGGTTGTGATGTTATAACATTAGTGGATCCTACAAAATAAGAGAAAAGAGTACCAATCTAGCAGGCAAACATGGTTGAGACTACAACCATTAGTTAATGGGTGAGCACTGAGCATTCAGTCCACTGTTTAAGGTAGGATTCTTCTCTGGTTTCTGACTAGATGAAACATTCAAAGTATATTTGCTTATATGTCTTATATATTGAGATGTAAGGAATTTAAAAGACTATATTTTTCTTTCCTCATCACAATTGTACAACTTAAAATAGAAATGGTAAACTGTGCTTGAAAACTAGCAGGGACTATATTTTTGGAGGAATGATGGCGTATGAAAATATCTTCTTTTCTGCCTCTCAAAATTATAATAGAACAATGAATTTAGTTATAATTTTTACACAATCGAAGACTTGGAGAAATTTTCAAATGTAAGTTAAATTAATATTGAGGGACCAAACTTTCAAAATATATCAAATAAATATGATTTTTCAAACAAACTAGAATTTTATTAGCTCTTTATCGCTTCCTATCAAAGTGCAGATTTGAGCCAAAAATCCATAAAAAGTATTTTTTCTCTCTTACCAAGCGATCAAAACTTTTTGTTTTTGTATCATTTTGTACATTTATAAGACTACTTTATTATATGTGAAAATAAGAAAAATTTAAATATAGGAAGCATTTGAAAATAACTAATATATCCTAAAAAATTAAGAAAAACAGAGAAAATTCGGAATAGCCAATATCCATTCAAGTTAAATTATTTATGTAAATTTGGTAATATCATGCTATAGACTCGATATAGTAATATGTTTTTTTATACAAAAAGAACAATCATTTAACTTTTGAAATAGAAGTAGGTATCACATGATTAGGAACAGTATTTTTTATTCTTAATGTCAAGGAAAAAGATAATGGCCTTGACCTGACCTTTTCTCTAATATAAAACGGTCAAATTTAATTTCACTGATACTATGACTTAATTACTACTATTGTCTTCTTGATTCCTTGAAAATTTCATTAATTTTTAATTATCAGAAATATGAGAAGAATCCTACCTTAAAGAGGGAATTTTTGTCATAATTTTATATAATAATCATTTTATCATAAATAAATTTATGTTTTAAATAGCATTGATTGAGGTGAACTTTGCATTAAATACTTTGGTTAAATGCTAGTTCTGAAAAGTGTGATTCTCTTTATCAAGTATCAACATGATCAAACACTATTATTAAAAGAACAACCTTGAAGATACTATATGGATAAACAGTGAAAACATAATTAAGTACTGTATACAGGGTTTTTTTCGCTCCGTGGTATTTTCGCCCTTTTACACTTGCTATTAATTTTTGCCCCGTCTTAAATTTGCCCAGTTACAGATCTGTTTAAGAATGTTTACTAGCTGTTATTTGAATTTTCCCCATTTTAAATTTGCCCACTTGTGACAATTAAGTGTGAAAGGGGCGAAAATAAAACAGGTGAAAATTTCCCTGTATACAGTATTCACACATCTACATTCAAATGACAGGGACACATCAAGAAGCAACAAAGATCGAAGTCTCAGTCATGTCTATTTCAAAACTTAATTTGCACAGCCTGAATGAAGCAGAAAAAATGTTTTTCAAAAGGTTCTTACTCCACAATGCCATCTGATAAACCACCTCAGTGATGTCTTTAAGGGTTTGTGTTTGATCTGCTCCTGATTTGTAATGTTTCAATGTACTCTTGTGCTTGTTTTCTGTTTGTTTTTTATATTATGACATGTATGCACAAGCTTAAATAAACTTACCTTGATCAGAAACTTGTGAATCCTTTTCAGGGCCCCCTACATCTATTCCAAGTGACAACATATCTGATGAATAAAAATTACACATGTATGTATATAAGAAGAAATATGAATAAAAAATCTTAAAGTTAATGTTCATGTTACATGTAGTTTCTTTTCGCAACCTATTTAAATGCACACTTTTTAGGGTTTCTTTATCTTCAGATAAATGCATTCATCCAACCAGTGACTTGTTTCAACTTATGTGGGATTTAACTAATGACAAAACAGCATATTGTAGTAAATTTTGATGTAGTTTGATGTTTTCTAAATAGTATGATGATGGTTAAAATAACATATCACCTCATTTTGTGGTATTTTTAAGAATTGGTGGTTTTGTATGATGTCATAGTTAAGATTTTCTGTTACAGAAAATTTAACATTGTCAAAACATTTTTCCGGATTTGGTTTGAATGTTAGATTTTTCTGGATTTGGTTCCAATATTATAATTTTCCCGCAAGCATGAGATTTTTACAACTGTAGAAATTGTTTACCAGTGTTTACTAGTCACTGTGCTGATTTATCATGTGTATTTCAACTTTTCTATGAGAGAAAACTTGTAAGTTGTAAATCACAACACACCACATCATGTTAAGTCATCATGCATGTTGCTGTCACTGCAACCAAATAAAGGATGTGCATTTACAGAGGGAGTTAACTTCTCTATGAACTTACTTGATGAGAGTCAGTACATTTTCCCTAAGATTAGGCACTGCCCCCTTTTTATAGCCTTAAATGTGCTGCATATTGTTACATACATGTTTTATAATACTTATTAAGTCCAATTCTTCATGTAACTTTTTAGCAATAAAATTCATTATTCCAAAATCCAAAGATAACAAGAGGCCCATGGGCAACATCGCTCACCTGAGTAACTTGGGTGATGCAGATCTTTACCAGATTCCCCCTCTTGCTATACCAATCATGCCCAACAACCCCGTCCCCCTTCCCTTTTTTATTTAAAAACTTAAGAATCTACACTACCCAAGGATGCTTCCACATAAGTTTCAGCTTTCCTGGCCCAGTGGTTCTTGAAAATAAGATTTTTAAAGATTTATTCTATATATTTCTATGTAAAACTTGGATTCCCTATTGTGGCCATGCCCTACCCCCCGGGGGTCATGATTTTAACAATTTAATATCTACACTACCCAAGGTTGCTTCCACATAAGTTTCAGCTTTCCTGGCCCAGTGGTTCTTTAGAAGATTTTTAAAGATTTGTACTATATATTTCTATGTAAAATTTGGATTCCCTATTCTGGCCCCGCCCTACCACCGGGGGTCTTGATTTTACCAATTTAATATTTACACTACCGAAGGATGCTTCCACATAAGTTTCAGCTATCCTGGCCCAGTGGTTCTTGAGAAGAAGATTTTTAAAGATTTGTTCTATATATTTTTATGTAAAACTTGGATTCCCAATTGTGGCCCCGCCCTACCCCCGGGGGTCATGATTTTTACAATTTAATATCTACACTACCCAAGGATACTTCCACATAAGTTTCAGCTTTCTTGGCCCAGTGGTTCTTGAGAAGAAGATTTTTAAAAATTTGTTCTATATATTTCTATGTAAAACTTGGATTCCCAATTGTGGCCCCGCCCTACCCCCCAGGTTCATGATTTTAACAATTTAATATCTACACTACCCAAGGATGCTTCCATATGAGTTTCAGCTTTTGAGGCCCAGTGGTTCTTGAGAAGAAGATTTTTAAAGATTTGTTCTATATATTTCTATGTAAAATTTGGATTTCCCATTGTGGCACCACACTGCCCCCGGGGATCATGATTTTAACAATTTAATATCTACACTACCCAAGGATGCTTCCACATAAAATTCAGCTTTCCTGGCCCAGTGGTTCTTGAGAAGAAAGATTTTTAAAGATTTGTTCTATATATTTCTATGTAAAACTTGGATTCCCTATTGTGGCCCCGCCCTACCCCCGGGGGTCATGATTTTAACAATTTAATATCTACACTACCCAAGGATGCTTCCAAATAAGTTTCAGCTTTTCTGGCCCAGTGGTTCTTTGAGAAGAAGATTTTTAAATATTTGTTCTGTATATTTCTATGTGAAACTTTTATTCCCTATTGTGGCTCTGTCCAAACTTTGGGGGTCATGATTTTAAGAATTTAATATCTACACTACCCAAGGATGCTTCCATATAAGTTTCAGCTTTCCTGGCCCAGTAGTTCTTGAGAAGAAGATTTTTAAAGATTTGTTCTATATATTTCTATGTAAAACTTGGATTCCCAATTGTGGCCCCGCTCTACCCACGGGGGTCATGATTTTAACAATTTAATAATTATCTACACTACTCAAGGATGCTTCCACATAAGTTTCAGCTTTCCTGGCCCAGTGGTTCTTGAGAAGAAGATTTTTAAAAATTTGTTCTATATATTTCTATGTAAAACTTGGATTCCCAATTGTGGCCCCGCCCTACCCCCGGGGATCATGATTTTAACAATTTAATATCTACACTACCCAAGGATGCTTCCACATAAAATTCAGCTTTCCTGGCCCAGTGGTTCTTGAGAAGAAAGATTTTTAAAGATTTGTTCTATATATTTCTATGTAAAACTTGGATTCCCTATTGTGGCCCCGCCCTACCCCCGGGGGTCATGATTTTAACAATTTAATATCTACACTACCCAAGGATGCTTCCAAATAAGTTTCAGCTTTTCTGGCCCAGTGGTTCTTGAGAAGAAGAATTTTTAGTAACCCCACCCTATTTTTGTCTTTTTTTGATTATCTCCCCTTGTAAGGAGACTTGGCCCTTCATTTTAACAATTCAAACTCCCCTTCACCCAAGGATGCTTTGTACCAAGTTTGGTTAAAATTGCCCCATTGGTTCTTGAGAAGAAGTTGAAAATGTGAAAAGTTTACAGACGGACGGATGGACAGACGGACAGACGAATGGACAGACGGTCAGACGGACAAAATGTGATTAGAAAAGCTCACTTGAGCCTTCAGCTCAGGTGAGCTAAAAATCTATAAATTTATCATTTCTGATTGTCCCCAACATTTATGCTTAGTTCACATTTAAACCGATGGTTGAACGACCAAAATTTTCTCATATCGTCGGCTAAAAACATGACAGTCAACAGCAGTATAAGGCAATGGGAATTAGTCACATAAAAAAGGCCCATGGGCTACATCACTAACCTGATTTCCCCTTTGTAATACCCATGATGCTTCCAAGTAAGTTTCAGCTCTTCTCTCCCAATTGTTCTTAAGAAGATTTTAATTTTTTTTTTTTTATTGTGGTCCCACCCTACCCAACAGGGTCATGCATTTTAACGATTAAGAATTTAACACCCACCCCCACCCCCATCCCACCCCTAATTACCCCAGGAAGCTTCCACACAAGTTTAAGCTTTTCTGGACCAGTGGTTCTTTAGAAGAAGTTTTTCCAATATATTTCAATGTAAAATTTGTTGTCTCTTTTGTGACCCTGCCTTACCCCCAATGGTCATCTTAAAATTGAACAATATAGATTATACACTTCTCTAGGATGCTTCCACATAAGATTCAGCTTACCTAGGCCAGTGGTTTTTGAGAAGATTTTTTTTTAATCGATCAACCCACCTTTTCTTTCAATTTGAAAGAGGACTTGGCCCTTCATTTAAACAATTCAAACTCCCCTTCATCCCAGAATGCTTTTTACTAAGTTTTGTTTAATTGGCCCAGTGGTTCTTGAGAAAAAGACAAAAAATGTGAAAAGTTGACAGCCTGACGGTGAGACGGACAGACAATGGGTGATCAGAAAAGCTAACTTTATCTTTCAACTTTGGTTAGCTAAAAAGGCAATAAAAAATACATAAATAAACAAAAAGTCAAAATTAGAATCATACAAAAATATGATCACATCATATGGAATGCCAAAACAAAGAGTGCAGAGCTAATATTACCAGCATCTGTGAAGAATTGTTGCTCACATGCACTTGGAGGCTGGACCCCCTACCCCCCTTTCCAGTTTTTTTTTCTTTTTAAACCCCCAAGTGCCTGTGTAGTTCCTGAGAATATTTATTATTAATAGTCACATTAGGGTTAAACAGTATAGGTGTCCAGGATAAAATAATCTTACCAATTTTTCCACGTCTTTTTGTTCTTGCTTTTGAATGAACATGCCCTAAAAGATGAAATCACAATACAATAACTTGTTTACTAAATTTATTGTTTTCTTTTTGTATACACTTGTCTTACTGAATGTATAAAATTTTTATTTATTTTGTCATTTCTTAGTTCAATTACCATTTTGAAATACTCCATGAGGGAATGATATGAACTTGCATTTTGTTGAAAAAAAAAACAAATCCATATTAATTCTGCAGTGAAGTTTAAAATAAGAAATTTCCAACTGCATAATTCATTAATAAATGTGAGTATGTTGTTGATTACTCCAAAAAACTATTATAATTATAAAGACTCTCACAATTTAAACTTGCTATTAGAGCTAATACAGAACAGGTTTTCTTACTTGAAAGTTTTTTATAACAGCACCTAAAAAGAAGGTTTTTAAACATTTTTACCTCGTTGATCTTGCTTCAAGTTTAGAAGAACTTCTTCACAATCAAAATATTCATTTGCTATGGTTCTACAAAACGCTTTTAGCTCTTCTTCCTTTTCTGCAACAAGCCATACCCCTTCTTTATCTGGATACACAGAGATGTTACCCTTCTTGCATTTTTCACTTAACCTTTCAAGGGTATTTTCCATTTGCAAAACATCTGACTTTTTTCCTGCAAACACTATTTTGATACTGTTCTTCATTGTAGTCAAAATTCCCTCTATTTCACCTAAAACAGTTTTAGAATCTTTATCAAGATTTTGACCCATGCTTATCACTAGCTGTTGGTCAGTTTTCTGAATTCGATATTTTGTTTCAGTAAGAAATTCTGCAAGAGTTTTCTGCATTTTTTCATTCTGAAACATATATTGGAGTTTGTAGTAGTCTTCATTGCTGCATAAAACTTCAATCTCATATAAAGGTTTGGCCAGGTAATGCACAGGTAAACGAAAGCTTTTAGCAGTTTCCTCGTTGCACCATTTAATACAAAGATGACCTGGAAAAGTAGTTTTTCTTTATTTATTCTTTTCATAATATGAGAATACTGTATAGAAATTTAATCTTATTTCATTGGGACATAGCTCTGTCTGAAATAGCTTAATTGTGACCAAAACAAAACTTGTCCTAGATATAATTCTTCTGATAAATATATACGAGGGCCGTTCAAAAATTACACGGACTGTGCTATTATTTACTTTTATAGACGTCATATAGTTATGAAAATTCACAGACATGTGTATCTTAAAGATTTCAATAAATTTTAGGCAAAATTTCTGTATTTAAGAAAAATTCTACTAAAATTATCGCTATGTTGATATCGCTGATAGAGAGGTACGGAGCAAGACAAAAAATTTGAAGCAAAAGCATGCGGAATCCAAAATCCGAGACGGCACCAAAGCAATAAAATATTTTTAAAGAGTATCACATCCTTTTAAATCCCTGAAAAGTCAAATAAAACAATTTTCAAATATTTGGAAATTAAACAGATAAAAATAGTATACCTGCACTTCTTGCTCTAGGGTCATCTGTTTGTGGAATTCGTTCACCTGGGTTTGATGCCATTTTGTTCTGCTTTTCTCACAAACACCTCTTATCTACAATATTACAGAGAAAATATTTGACATAAAATAACAAGATGACAAAATGTAAAAGATACTCAAGCTGTAGAAAGTCAACAAAGAAATATTTTTTTGATATGACATATGAAGAAGGCTATCGAGTTTCATCTTATTCTGAATAAAATACATGCATGTACACCAGTACACTGTACATTCATTTGAATTATATTCAATATGTCACTCATTTCAGGGAGAATTTATGAAGCATATAGCTGCAATTGTCTGAATTTTGATTGAGATGTTTGTCTACCAGTATATGAATGTACTTAATCTTGTACTGGAGTACTTTATACTTGTACATGCAGTTTTGCTAAATGACATCACAAATTTAATATAAATAAGTGATCCAAGTGACTTTAATACAGGTCTGTAGAAATAAAGTTTAAATGTTTATATTTACTATTGTTCTCTTACTTTAGGTGCTTAAAGGTAATGTAATACATCCCCTCCTTAAAAAGTTATCAATTTCTAAAGACAGATAAACTGCAAAAAAACTGCAAAAAAAAACATGACGTCGAAGGAGGTCACAGAGCAGCAAGTTAGAAATTTTCTTCTGCATTCTGAAAACTGTTGAAAATGTCGGATAAACCAAACAAAAGGCCAATGGGCCTTATAGGTTACCTGAGTATCATGTAACAACTTTCCAATAATTCAATTTGGTTCGTGTTTTAAACCAGAAACCATGAAATTCAAAATTTTGAAAGAGGCATTAAATTATTGCTTATCATAATTATGGATTTGGCATGCTTACTCTAGTTATTTAATACCCAGAAGCAGATCAGAGTAAAAGAGAAAATGCAATTCCACTTTATCGCCAGTTGTGCACCTCATCCCACAGGAACCACTGATCCTGGGGCCACATATTTCAACATTTTTGGAATTTTATCATAAATTTTATTTCATCATACATGTAAGTGGATGATTAATACCCAAAGAGTAGATTTCAAAGCATTAATTTATTTTCAGACCATGTAATCCCCCCCTCCCATACCTCTGACCCAGGGGGCATGAAATTAATATGAAATATTAACCAATTAGCTAGATGCACATTTCTTCATCATAAATATTAGCATAATACCCATGTAGGAGCAAATGAAAAGATTTTCAAAGAATTAATGCATTTTTAATATATAATCAAAAGAGCCCTTCCCTCCCTTATACAAAATGGCAAAACCTCTGACACAGGGCCCTGGGGCCATGAAATTCACAAATTTGGTCAAGGTATTATAACTTTATACTAAATTAGATTATTTAAATTATTACCCAAGAGCAGAGAAGAAGAAGATTTTGAAAGAATTAATGCATTTTCATAACATATTTAAAAGAGCCCCACCCTAACACCAGAACCCTTGACCCTGGGGCCATAAAAATCACAGTTTTGGAAGAGGCACACTCTGACTCATGATAACTGTATGTACTAAGTTTATTTAATAACCAGGAGAGCATAAAAGATCATGTCTCCTCACATGACATGCTTTAATAGACAACTTTCACATTACAAAAGTTATTCCCCTTTGCGGAGTGAATCCAGGGTCAACTGTTGTAAGATGCTGTTTTAATTCCCTCTATAACCTTATTAATTTTATGGGTCAGTATCTTAGAAATATAATCAGCTTTTTTAATATGCTAATTATGTTTTTCATGTTGCCCCATTCTCTAGCATAATACAAGTACAGATTGAAATTGTCCCATAACCATGATAACATTTGAAATTTAAAAAAATAGCCTACAAAGGACAAAATGGAGAAAATGAGTGTTACGTCGACAATGGGAGACAACTCTTAGGAATGTGAAATTCGTCTATATTGATTTCTTCGTTTTTGAGTACTTTACACACATTGGTGAATTTACTGACAACACCTCAGAACTCGACTTTCAAGTATTTAATTTTTTACAAATTCTTTTGAATTTTCATTACAAAAAATACCTTGATCAAGGTATTCATAATACCTTGATCAAGCTATATAGTTTTATCAAGCTACATATCTTTATCAGGGTATTGTGGTGGACCTGTAGATTGAGTTGCATAATTCATATAAGTGGGAAGATTTACCAATATTCCTCAAGAAGATCGATTATGTAATAGATGTAATTCTAACAACATAGATGATGAAACTCATTTTTTAATAACATGTAAAAAAATTTGATCATCAAAGAAAAGAAATGTTTCAGTTAATTAATCATAAATTTCCACTATTTTTAGCTTTAGATGATGAACAAAAACTTTATTGGTTACTCAATTCAGAAGATAAGGAAACTCTTAATTTTGTGGGCAAATTTATAAATGATAACATGTTATAGTACCATTAGTCTTTTACACATACATCAGGGGTAGACAAATAGATTTTTTCAGTACTTGCCCTCGGACGGGTAACTATCGTAAAACTACTTTTCCGACCAAAAAATCTGCTTGTCCCACCGTTTTCTTAAAATACATAGAACTGAAGCATTGATATTAAATTATTTCTTGAGTGAGACACCTAAAATCACAAAATTCTTCCAGAGATAAATTTAGATGAAAATGATTCAATTTAAGGAGTATTTTTTCCTCAAAATTCTGCAATAAAATACTTGACATGTACACTTTTAAAAAAAAATAATATTGTGGTTATTAAATGGAAAAAGATGAAGATATCGGACACTGATCAATCTCATAAAACCTACAAACAAAACGAGTCTGTGAACAAAACAATTAATACTGCATGCTGTGTGATTGCCAGGGAACAACAATCAACAACAATTTTAATACCACTAACTTCTGTATTCACAGTATGAATTGAGTTTATGTATTTTGACAATAAATGTCTAAATTCCCATACCACGTTTTTAACGACATCGATAACTCCATGTTTTACGACATATGCATATTTTTACAACACGTTAATGGGTAAATTCTAGAGGAGTTCCGTTGCTATTCGATGTACGTATGTACAGCCGATGCAGTAGTCAACACCGGTGAAAACAGGTGCTTTGCTTAATGATTCATGATACTTTAAAATCGATAAAAAAATATGTTTGAGTATTGTAAAAAAAATTTTTTGTTAATTGGAAAACAACTTGTCCGCGGACAGGCACCTGTTATCAAATCACTTGCCCACCAACCAAAACTGGTTGTCCCGGGCGTCGGGCAGTGCTATTTGTCAAGCCCTGATACATGCATATTTGATGTATTCCTTTCAGACAGGATTATTGTTGAAATGATTTATGTCAACTGCTATTTGTATAATAATTGTTTAGCTATTCATTGGCTTATCTTTTCCTTATTATTGTAACAATTTCATACTTGTCTGTTATGGGCTCTAAATTAGAAATAAAATGTTCTGTTCTGTTCTGTTCTATAAGAGTTTAACTTTTCATTGGGAAGAAATATAGTAACCGCATATATCAGGTGACTGCAGGATAGAGAGGTTGTACGCATTTTAGTCTTCATAAACAAATCTGGCTCATCCCCTGCATTTTTGGGGGGGGGGGGTGTCGTGATTCTCAACAGCTGCTCAATGCCATTGACAATGGGCAGTATTCAGCCTCAGCGAAATTAGTTAGTGTTCTAATGAAAATCGATTATGGTAAATAGATATAGGACTGCCAAAAATTAGGTCTATAGGCATGATAAGAACTCCAAGAATTGAACAGGATTATCCAATCGAAAACGAAAGTAGAATTTATTTTTCCCTCGCCAACTAACGACGATATTGACTTCCACGTTACAAAAACATCATATATAATAACATCAAATACTTATCACCTGTTAAAGTTAAATTTTCCTCTCTTTGTGCGTTGTCATTTCATCTAAATACTCTAGAGGCGAACTGTCATCCGATCGAGCTCCCTAGCTGAGAGTCAACAGGCCAAACTGATCCACGTGCCGTCCTTTTAACCAATCAAATTTGATACCGAGAAGCGAAAGTTAATTTCGTAGAACTTTTATAATTAATTCAAAAAATCAATGACACATTCCCATTTGAACAAAAAGTCCTTAGACTGCAAAATAAAGTACACATAATCATGTATACGTATACATGTACAGTGGCGGATCCAAAAGGGGGTGTAACGGGGATTGCACCCCCCCTTGAATTTGCAGAGAGAGAGAGAGAGAGAGAGAGAGAGAGAGAGAGAGAGAGAGAGAGAGAGAGAGAGAGAGAGAGAGAGAGAGAGAGATGAAGTAACAAATTTTTGTTATGTTACTGTATTACAAAAAAAATTAATTGAAATATTTAATTATGTTGATTTTTTTTCTTTACTCTGTAAAATATTGTAATTTTGACAAAAGGGCAAATAAAAAAAGTATTCATTAAATCTTTTAATCCAATCTGAATTATTTCATTCCTTTTCAAATATTGCTCCGCTATAACGAAAATTGTTAAAATGTTTATTTGACAGAGTACACGAGGGGTGATAAAAAAAGAAATTAAACGATATCTTAGGTATTTGATAGTTATATATTATTGTTGAAATTTTCAAGTATTTTTCAAAGTGTAAATTGGGGGTCTTTGATAGCATATTGCTTAATTATTTAAAAACACATCCCTTTTGAAACTTGCTTTCACCGGGCAACATAACAAGTATCATATCTATTAACCATCTGCCTTCCTTCACTAAAACGATCTATCCAATCATTGATTGAATTTAAAGGAAGTCATTTGTCTTATACACTGTAAACAAAATCTCATACGCTACTTCATAGGCATTTCCAAGATATATCATAAATATTTTAGTCATTTGTTAAACGAGTTCCACTGAAACAACCATTTTTCGTCACAAGTACCTGCATAATGACGTCATTTTCACACTGAGAGCAAAACTTTATTCAGCATATGCTATTTATAGAACTTGTGTTTGGCTATGTGTGCACCAAATTTGTTTCTAATCTGAATTGTGATTTTGTAGATACACTGACATGTATAGAGATAGTTCGATTGCGAACTTTTTGATCACTTAACTTTGGTGGTGCTCATTTTTCCTTACCTGGAATCAAAGAGTTTAAGATTTTTTTTATATCAATAGGTACACTATTTAACAACTGTTCGATAATAATACTAAAACTAGAAAGATGTCCATAGGACATGAATGCCTCGCCGAGGATATATTAGTTAAGCAACATGAAAATTTGTATGTGTACAAAATTTGATCAGTTTGGTTCAGGTAGGGCTTATAGTTACTTAGGAATGAAAATATAGGTCAGATCCAGCATCAGAAGCAAGTCTGGTAGTGTCCATCCCTAGATGCATCATCCATGCAAGTTTGGTTCAGGCAGGGCTAATAGTTATTTTGGAATGAAAATATAGGTCAGTTCCAGCACCCGAAGCAAGTCTGGTAGTGTCCATCCCTAGATGCATCATCCATGCAAGTTTGGTTCAGACAGGGCTTATAGTTACTTGGGAATGAAAATATAGTTCAGATCCAGCCTCCGAAGCAAGTCTGGTAGTGTTCATCCCTAGATGCATCATCCATGCAAGTTTGGTCTAAGTAGGGCTTATAGTTCCTTAGTAATGGACCTGCTCCAAAAACTTTAACCTGATCACTCATCTGGAAAATGTAGGTCAGATCCAGCATCCGAAGCAATTCTGGTAGTGTCCATCTTAAGATGCATCATCTATGCAAGGTTGGTCTAAGTCTACTAGGGCTTATAGTTCCTTGGAAATGGACCTGCTCCAAAAACATTATTCTGTTTACTTATCTGGAAAATGTAGGTCAGATCCAGCATCCGAAGCAATTCTGGTAGTGTTCATCCCTAGATGCATCATCCGTGCAAGTTTGTAATAACAAGTGAAGTTTAATAACACCATCTTGAATGGTATGTTTTAAACTGAGCTAAACACTAATTTAAGAAAATTGAGTTCAAGCTAAACACTAATTTAAGAAAAGTGAGTTCAAGGTCAAAAGAAAGGTCAAGGTAAAAAAAAAATTGATGCAGTTGCATAGCTCTCATCAATATCTATCAGCATATGAAGTTTGATGAAAATGTCTTGGATAGTTTCTTTAAAACTTAGCTTGAACAGAGCTAAACGCAAAGTGTGACGGAAGGACGGAACACGGACATGACAAACACTATATGCCCCGGCCATAATCATGGCGGGGCAAAAAAATAACTTCAAGAAACACTATAACACATTTCCTCTTTTAAAAGTGTTCATATTATTTGAAATATTTTGCAACTGTAATTGTCTTCTACGTTTAAAGATAGCTATGTCCCTCCATATTAAAAAGAGGTCTGGAAAACAAAATTCTATGCTAAAAATAGACCACGTGCTGCTATCCTTGAACTACTTTCATGGTTTTTTACACTCTTTTTGAAGACAACGATACATAGTTTTGAACTTGAAATTATCATTTAAAGGTGCAAAATTTAGACATTTTCTCAACAAATGGTTGTAGAGAGACCATTAATGCACAGTTTGCGAATTCTTTTTTTTGGATTTTTTAAGGCTTTGCTGAATTCTATAGCTGCGCAGTTCTAAGGAGCATATCAAAAGCAAATTTTTCTGCAAAAGTATAGATTATATATGCACAACATGCATTCAGTTATGCATATTTATTGTATCTTTATCATAAGGGTTTAGAATTTGATCAAAATATAATGTACTTTAGCCATTTGAAGAAGTGTTTACATTTTGTTCTCACTGCACTAAAGTTGGCCGTACATCGCTCTTAACACAAGTTATTTTGGATTGCTACCTTGCATATATTGACAGATTTTTAATCCCACTTAGAATTTATCTTACAATGTAAGCTTTCAAGTTGTGTTTGTTCACGGTAGAATTGTCAAATATATTAAATCATTCCTAAATATGATACAGTTTTCGAAAAGTTTGTTCTAAAAAATCTTTTTTTTTTGCAAAAAACTTAAAAACCAAGTGTTTTATTTATTTTCTCTTGGTTTTGTCTAAATGCCATTATCTGATTGGTCAGGAAGATTGTCTACTTGTTTATTCTTGTGCAATTTTAGCAATTCACGATTATCGTTCTTGACTTCCATATTTAGAAATCGTCCAGACCTGCTAAAGTAAGGCCTTTTCAAAAGAAATGGGAAGTATGAAAGCGCTGGCCCTCACTTTTCAAAAGTAGTGACCAAGTTTAAAGTTTGTAAAAGAAAGGTCAAACTCCATGGTCAAAGGGTAAAGGTTCTTGATATCCAATGAAATTTGAAATATGAAAGCCCTACCCGTTACCGTTCCAGAGTTATGACCAAGGTTAAAGTTTTTTTGTTAGTACGGAAATCTCTAAGGTCAAGGTCAAAATTGTTGTTTTCAAATGATAGGTCTTGCCATTAAGAATTAATTATTTTAAATATGAAATTCCTAGTATCTACCGTTTAAAAACTAGGGTCAAAGTAAAAGTTTGGAATTTTTGTATAAAAAGGGTAAAACTCAAAGGTCAAGGTCAAAGTGTCAAGGTTCTTGGTAAAAGAAAGGGTCTTGTCACGAGAATTAAATATGTGAACTATGGAAGTCCTAGTCCTAAACCTTCAAAAATTATGGTCAAGGCTGTATTTTTTAAGTAGGTCAAACTCCAAGGTCAAAGGGTCAAGGTTCTTGGTACACAATGAAGCGTCTCTTCACAAGAATTACATATGTGAAGTATGAAAGCCTTAGCACTTTCTGTTCGAAAGTTATGGTCAAGGTTTAAGTTTTTTCATAAGCACGTAGATCTCCGAGGTCAAGGTCAAAAGGTCTAGTTTGGTGATATCCAATGGAAGGCCTTGCCATAATCAATACATATGTAAAGGAATGTCCTGGTTTGTACTGTTCAAAAGATATGGCCAATGTAAAAGTTCAAAATTTTTGTGTAAAAGTGGGTCAAACCTCAAGGTCAAGGTCAAAATGTCAAATTTGGTGGTACCTAAAAGAAGACCTTGTCACAAGAAATACACATGTGAAATTTCAATGTCAAAGTTCCACTAAATCAAAAGTTATGGACAAGGTTAAAGTTTTTGCGGACAAACAAACAGAGAGACAGCAAGACAGACAGACGGACACGATAAAAACTATATACCCCGAAACATTTACGAGGACATAAAAAACAAGATGTGCTTATAAAATTCTGATGCCCCCGTATAACAATATAGCAAAGATCAAACTTTTCTTAAATGCAAATATAATTGAATGGTAACAAAAGTAGGGTATTCTCACTGGAAAACAATTGTGAAATTTGAAAGTAAGCTATTGTTAAAGTTTTTTAATAAGGACAAAAATCTCCAAGGTCAAAAGGTCAAAGTAATTATTATCAGATGAAAGGTTTTGCCACATAAAATACCTATGTAGAGTATGAAAGTACTAGCCCTAACTCTTTAAAAGTTAAGGTCAACGTTCTTAAAAAGTAGGTCAAACTCAAAGGTCAAGGACTAAGGGTCAAAGTTATTGTTATCAAATGAAAAATCTTGTCACAAGGATCAAATATGTAAAGTATGAAAGTACTAGCCCTAACTTTTTAAAAGGTCAAGGTCAAAGGGTCAAAGTTTTTGGTATCCAATGAAATGGCTTCCCACAAGAATTACATATATGAAGTATGAAAGCCCTATCCCTTAGGCCATTCCAAGTTTTTTCTATGTTTAGCGTCCGCGTGCGCCTTGGTTTTTGACACCCCATATAAGAAAAAACACACAATATCAGTACGGAAATCTACAAGGTCAAATGGTCAAGATTGTTGGTATCATGCAGTGAAAGGTCTTTTAACAAACATTACATATGTGAAGTATAAATGTACTGGTATCTACTGTTCAAAAGATATGGCCAAAGTAAAATTTTAAAATTCTCATGTAAAAGTGGGTCAAACTCCAAGGTCAAGGTAAAAACGTCAAATTTGGTGGTACCCAAAGAAAGGTCTTGTCACAAGGAATACACATATG